ACGACCCACAGTTTGAAAACCACTGGTCTGGAGAAGATGTGTTAGGAGCATCCATTCTGTCTCATAATACAACAAGGGGGCAGTCAAATTAAAAGGTGGCAAATTAAACTGATAAATACTTTCACACAACATATTGTTAGAATGTGGAGCTGATCATAGGAAGTTATTGAAACTGCAAATTTAGCAAGATTCGTAAAGGGACAAACATTTATATGAGTAATAGTATCCAGAGCTGTCATAATGATAAAAATTTAGGAAGGGATTAGGGTGACCAGATGTCCCGATTTTATAGGGACAGTCCCGATATTTGGGGCTTTGTCTTATATAGGCGCCTATTACCCCATCCCAATTTTTCACATTTGCTATCTGGTCACCCTAGAAGGGATATAAAACCTCTTGCTTCAGGGCTTAAGGCAATTTCTATTGGAGATCAAGATGAGATCTATCAGAGGCAGGATATCTCCCACATCTGCCTTCTGCGAGGTTCTTCCACTGTCAGAGGCGGGATGCTGGACTACATGGACTTGTGGTCTGATCCCATAAGGTAATTCTTCAGTTCCTACAATAATGTTTTTTAAATGTCTCTTGGACCTATGCTGTGCATGGTCTGCTTGATCACTTCTAATAGCAGCAGATCTAATGTAACTACCAGCTGGTATCTGCATGTATATTGAGCTATTTACAGTGTCCCCTTGAAATTTTAAACTCTTCAGGGTGGTGGTTTCTACCCCCATATCCCTAATACTAGCTAGGATGCTTCAAAGCAGGCTGAGACTGAGAGAGCACTGTGTATTGCCTGCCCGCAATCCAGGCCTCAAGTAGATGCATGATGGGACAGTGATGTAAAGCTGTCTACTCAGGAGAAGGTTACTGTAATGGACAAGCAAAAAGGGCGGGAAACTTAAAAATGTGGGGCAGGGGTCAAAGGAGATTTGCAGACTCCCACAAAGAGAGAGAGTGAGCCCATAGCCACTTAAATCTCTGTGGGTTCTTGTGAGACAAGAGCTTTTGGAAACTTGCATGTTAAATGTGATATTCCACTACCTTTCTCGCATTGACCTGCTCAAACTGAGATTGCAACATAGAGATGTTCTCCTGGAAGTTACTGTGTTGTTTCAATTCAGCAGCGCTCTTCTCAACTGCGCTTCTAGCATGAGCCAAGCAGCTGAACCATAGTCTCTTAGCTTTGTTTCAGCTGAATCCATGGCAAACCACTTGCTGTCACTTTAGCCAGTTATATTATCAGGTGTCTCCATGCCAAGTCATTATCGTATAGGACAGTCACGGGGAGCTGCACTACAGTAAACTAGTGTCTCACGCTGGCTGGAGCTGGTGGTTGCTTGAGCTGGGTTTTCAAAGCAGCCTAAAGGAGTCCCATTGAATTTCCGTGGGAGTTGTCTAACTTTCTTGGACTCCTTTGAAAATCCCAGCCTCATGACATTACCTAGTGGGTTAGAAAGGCAGCAAAGTGAAGCTGTTAGAAGGGAACATGTGGCTGGCACTGATTAGAGCAGAGAGAGATTTTAGTGTGTGTGTAAAAGAACTGGATGTAGGCCGTGGGGAGAAGTAGGCCAGAATAGACAGCAATCACTTGCCAATATTTCTATTGCAAACATCATGCTGCTCCTGAACTACTTGAATGAACAGGATGTGAACCTCGATAATATCCTCCTGAGTCTTTCAGCAACTTTTTGCTCCGAGACGGAGGTCAACACAGGCACTACTCAGCTGCTTGGAATATGGCAGTTGCTTTGTGTGTGCGTGCGCGAAAGAGAGAGAAACCCTCTCTCCAAGTCACTTTGCGACCTCTGTTTTTTGCTGTCCTAAGCAGACTGTTGTATGCCTGCCCCTTCCAACCTGCCAAAGAAGAAAATGAGTCCCTTGCAGAATCACTCTCTGCTCTGGCAACCAACACAAGGGAATTTTGCTGCCTCTAGGAACTTTGTTCTGCTTCGGTGGTACCGTAGGCCCTGTTCTCCTATATAGTACTTGTGGCTTGGCTGGTTGTACCCCTTAACGGTACCTTTGCAGTTCTGCAGTCATCTAGGCATTTATATAATTCTGAGCAAATAGAATTTGTTCTTCCAAAGAGCATAACAAGGGTGTTTATTTCTTTCCATGGATTTAAAATAATTTGCAACCCCCCCCAAAAAGCCACATGGTATGATAGAGTGGATGGTAAATCGTTTGTCTCTCTCATTTCAGTCAAGACTGTGTAAACAAAAGATTTCAATAGCAGGAAATTGCCCAAGCTAGCTGTGTCTGCAAACACTACAGAAAGAAGGCTGGTGATCCAGTGTTTCAAAATACAGATGGATGAGGGTGTGTGGAGGGTTAGTAGACATTGTTACATATCTTGCCTTTGTTAGAGAAATTTATTTTCCAATTGGGGTTCATTCAGTTACTTGACTAAAACCCATGAACTCTACATTTACTATATTTACAAAACAAATGTCAATAGCAGTTGCTTTCCCACAATTAATAGCACTCAGCTTGTTTGGTTCACATAGTTATGGATAAGACAAATTAGATGGGTGGGTGAGAGCCTGTAGGATAAATATCAAAGGCCTCTTGAATGTAGTTGCTCACAACCTTAGGGGTGTTGATCATTGTCATCTCCTGCTGAAGTCAATGAGAGTTGAGAACGGCTCACCTGTCTATTGATATATTTATGTGGCTCTCATCACTCTTGTATTTAAGCACCTGACTTATTAAGGCCAAGAGCCTCAAAGGAATTTAGGTGCTTTACTCCCATGTTATTCTCACAATAAATACCCTTGGAAGGTAGGGAAGTGTTACCCCATTGTATAGGTGGGAGCTGAGTCACCAAGGAGATTAAGTGACTTGTACAGGAAGTGTGTGGCAGAGACAAAACTTGACTTAATCACTAGCACTTATTTTTCTTCAACCTCCAGGAGAGCAATGCTTCCCAGAACAAATACACGCTCCCATTCTGAAACTAGCATGTGTGGGGGAGGATTCGGAAATGTTTGAATGAGGACAGTGCACATTTCCTGAGTGTGTTTTTTTTTTAATCTGAATATCTGAATCCTTCTAGTGCTCTCAAACGTCTTAAGGCACAAACAAGGCTCTGCCACCATTGTTCCTCATGGGCTACCCTTTCTATGTCTTTGATGTCAAGTCCCATACATTTTTCCTTTCTAAGCACTGTTTGATGGAGGGGTTCTCTCAGTTGGCCCCTTTTATGTGTTCCTTCAGCTGCACAAAGGCAGGTCTGTCATGGCAGATGGTCTGGCTTCTTTCTTAGCACATGTCCCAGACATTTCCATCATCATAACAAGTTGCTGAACTCTCTAATGAATCTCAGAACTGGGGCAGAGACTGCTATCTGATGGTAATTACTACTGGTCACCCAGAAACCCAGGGCAAAAGGTATCTGACCCTGTTAATACTTCTGGGTTTTTGTCAGTCCCGCAAGTTACTGTATCTGTTTATATTGTTCCAACTCCTGCAGTAACATGTTGATAAAAGTTTTCTCTTCATTAGGGCTGCAAGTTTTCACACAGGTTGCTAGAATAATAACTGGAATAAACTGCCTGTTCCACTAAGAGGCAGCAACTTTGTCTGGTTTAAAGACAACCTTTTAATCCCTTATTTTATGCCCCGTCACCATAAAATGGAACTGCTCAGTGTTAATTTTAGATTGTGTATCCTCCTCTAACTTGTTTGTCTTAACTGAAGTATGCTCTGATAAGAAAGTGTAACCATTGGCACCATGATATATGTAACTCAGAAGGGAATTTCCCTACAGTAGGTCAGATACTATGGTGATAGGCAGCAATATAAAACCCTAAGATTGGTCCTTGTTTCACCTTTTGTGTCTGTGATACTTTGGGTGCTCAGCACTTCTGAAAATCTAGCCATCATTGTCACATTAGGAACTACTGTGTGCTGACGTTTTTTGGAAATCTGGCCCTTCTTTAGGTCCCTCAGTAGGAGCTTGGCTCTCTTGAAAATCTGTCCCCCAGCAGCGGATGCTGAGCAATTAAAAATCTGGTCCCCATGTGACTGTTCACCACAAGTGATCTATGGGCCACAGTTTGGGAATATCTCTTGAACATTCAGGTTCTTCATTCTTTCCAGCTTTGGAGTCTCTCTTGCTGCCAAGGCAGCTCTTAAGGACTTCTCTGAGAATTTATATAGGAAGTACCAATGTTATAAATTGTCAAAGTCCCCTCTTAAAGTGCAAGATCCAGCAAGATTACTGTATCTATCCTTGCACAGCTCTTACCCTCCCACTCCCAAAACATATGAACATGATCACATTCCTACAACACTGGTAGCAGGTTAACCTTAACCATACCACAGTTCCAACAATTGCAATTGTACTGAATTTCTGCTTTGGCCATGTGTAATGTAGCCATTTGCTGAGTAAGCCTAAATCTCAAATCAGAGGCAGAGAGAAGAATGTTGCTGTCCAACTATTGTGCAGTGTAACAGTAATTTGAATATGTAAATTTCCATTCCACACTGCCTTGATTTGTTTATAATGAGTGACTTCCTCATTCTTTATAACTTGGACCAGCTTTAATAATTTGAGCTGGATTTTTGAATGATAACTTGTGTGATCAAACTTTTTAGTGATTTTTTTATATGCTGTGTGAATAAATTCAGCAGTACGTAAGGGGGATTATAAATAGAGAGCATTGGACTTGTTCCTGCAAACCTTACTCTCACTGAGAATTACTAATGATAAGGAGAAGTCTATGCACATGACTAAAGACTAGTAACATGACTTGGGGTACATAGATTTAGGCCTTTAATTTCTTGACTGGCATATTGCAGTAGTGTAGTGGTAAACAGAGCTCATGTATTTTAGCAGATAACATATTTTATATATTGCAACTACCCTACCTATTCTATTGCTCTGATCTACAGCCTGACCAAGAGAGTCATCTGTGGTGAGTTTAAGATATTGTTGCTATGGGTAGCTAGGCTGTTTCCACAGCAAAGCGAGGCATTTGTCTCTCTATTATCAAAGGGAGGGTTTTCACAAGGAGCAGGGTAGCCAAATCAGGATATCTTTCAGTTGGGGGATGTAGGAGGGTCAATGGGTTGGGGCCTCAGAGGATGCTCATGATGGGAGGTGTTGGTTTTCATGAGGAAAGAAAGGTGAGGGAAGCTTTCCCAGCTGGGAAGCTCTTTAGGTTACTGGTGCTTTTCACTATGGAAGCCAAGGGAAAATTTGCCATTGGGAAGGTGGCTGGATTGGGGTGGGTATGGTGCCAGAGAGATGATGGCTGAAGCAGAGCTGGGCTGGGAGTACTTGATGCTTGGAAGAGGGAAGGACAGATGCATGGCCTTCCCTTTCTCCTCTCCTGAATATCAGTTTGTCTTTTGGCCTCCTTCTTCCGTCACTCTATCCCAACACAACCTTTTTGAATGTCAGGCCCCGTGGTGACTGCTGGCACCTGATGCCACTCCGCTGATCTGTACTTCACTCTGGTATGGACCGGAGGCTGGGTCTATCCGGGTGTGCTCCGTAGTGATATGCTGCCTGCGTGGCCCTTGTCCCACGATTGCAGTTATCAGAATGCCTCATGGGGCAAATGGGCTGAATCGTCTGATCAAGCTGGAAGTGAGTTGCGGGACTGGGACTTTTTCTACAGGCCACAGTGAATGGATTTTTGCCTTGTTTGCTTCCTGTTGCTGGGAGATATATAGCACCACTGTTCGTCAGCCTGCATCTTTCTGTTAGATGGGAGAAGAGGTAGACTACAATTAACAGCATTAGTAAGTACGGTACCTATTATTTTCCTATCATGTTTTTATGCACTCTGGTGGGAATGTGTATGCCAAGTACTGTATTTTAATACATGCTCTGTGTGTGTGTATAGATATGCAAAGTCCTAATAAGTATTAAGAATTAATACATTCTGTGTTTATTTATATATACACACAAACACATTCTAAAAATGACTGATTTGCTTTTATACACATATTTGAAATGGCTAAAGAAACCTATTAATATACTTAGTCACTGTCATCATGGTCTAATGGTGTTTACAGCTAAGTACTGTTTGGAGAATTCCTTACGCCACAAAATAAATTGAATGTTATTGGCAACATTTGTAGATAAAGCGCCCATCAAACATGTTGTGAATCTTCTTAATTTTCTCTACTGTCAACAGCAAGAGATATTCAGTTGCAAACTCAATGCAAGGCCAAGCGTGTCTCTTAAATTTCAGGGCTTGATTACTCCAAGTGTTGAAAAGCATCCTCCCTGAATTACTTTAGCTACCAGTATTGTGTTTAGAAAATAATTTATATATTTTGCTGCCACCCACAGTCACTGGTATGCTAAATGTAACACTCTTCTTGTTGAGCAACTCATGCATTTTAAATAAACATCAAACCCCAACAAAGGGGACAATTTTGCTTTATAGGCAATATTTGTTATCTTTATTAAGTACCGTATAGACCATCTGCAAAGATTTGCCTTATAGAACAAATAAATATCTGCTGCAACAGGCAATGGATGTATGTGTTTTTTGGTTGGCTTGGTCGTATTATCAGCAATGAAATTAAATTGATTTGCCATCCAGATTCTACACTATACATTTGTCTCTTGGGTTTGCCTCCAGTTAAGGATACAATTAACATATTTCATTCCAATCAGTTGAAAGCTAAGGATTTCCTTCCATCTGTTTTGAACTGATATGTGGGAGGAAATCCGTAGATGTTCCTGTTTTCAGTAAACCTTCTACTCACAGGGTTGTGTGTGTGTGTGTGTGTGTGTTTAAAAAAAGGAGAGAGAGAAAAAAAGCTGTTGTTGACTCATGTTTGACGTTAAAAGTAGCAGAATTACTTCTGTATACTTTGGAATAGGAGATTCAGAGTGCGAAAGTGTTTTCTCCCTGTTTATGTTTAATCTCTGGTTTTTCTTGGATCTGATTCTTAGTAGGCGGTCTTATCTTACTGAAGTTGCATACTCTACATCAACCCCCCCCTTCAAGAAAAGGGTCCCATCTGTAAAAGCATGAAAATGCATCCTCCTGGGTTACTGTTTTCCTTTTTAGCTGCATGGTTCATTTCCACTGTTGAAGGGCAGAGTCAGAAGGTAAGTTCGCAAGTCTTTATTTCGCAGTTAAATGATTGTGGGACAATTACTCGTTTTTAGATGGCTGCTGTGTTACTGAAGGATACACCCCCCCAAAAAAATGGTTTCAGTGTGAATTTAGTTATATGTTGAATCACCTCCCTAATTAGGCTATAAGACCATCTGTTACCTTTCCTCTGTGTGTATGTAATATCTATAGTCTATATTGTATATGTAAAATTGAGGATACGGAGTTTTGCTTGGATCTTAAGTAAACTTTGATTTACATATTATCAGCACTAAATGCAAAGAGGATACAATAGCAGCATGAGGTGGGCCCAATACTCTAAGAGGCTGAGTATCCTCGACTCCCACCAACTTTACTGGTTTCAGGGGGACTTTGCCCCTGGTAGAATTGAGCCCTGAAGTGCCTTGTAGAATTTCCTCAGTGTTTTCTAAAAGTATTTCTAAACTGCAGCTGTTGAAAAGTTGGCTTGAAAACGGTTAAGGTTGACATTGTGCCCAGTGTGAGATTTAAGTGATGAGCCTTCATGCTTCTCAGAGAGACTGAGAAGATACCCTGTTTAAAACCCAACAGAAGCAAAGCCCAGTCCAGAATCCAATCCCAAACCTGCCCAGGGGAGCATGAGGAGGTGGGAGTAAACTATTGCATGCTGATCTGTACAGCAGTGTTTATTCATATCAGACAGTGCAGCTTTCTCAGTGAATGAACAAACAATAGCTTCTTCACTGTGAAAGAATTGTCTGTCATAGCTCACAGGTTTTAAAAAATCGTAAGATTTTACAATAAACCCTTAAAAACTTTCAATTGAAATCTCTCTCCTTACCAAATAAATAAACAAATCCCTTTATTACCTGCACACTGGTTTGTTGTAGAGCTGCGTGTAAGTGCTAGATAGTGGACCTAGTGATTAGTTATTGTAGACTTATATGTCAGTGCTATGTAGGTGTGTAATTAACTTTGAAAATAGATCTATCTAGGTGAATACCTCACAGCATTCACTGTTGTATCTAAGCACCTTGATGCAACAGGAAAAAACATGAAAGCTGTTTCTTGGCAGTGTCCATATGAGTAATAAGAAATGTTTTCCCTTAGACAGATTTTTGTTTTGGTTCATACATCCAGTTCAATTTTCATGATTAGCAGCATTGCGAGGAATGTACATGTGGCTTTATTTAGACTGGTTTTCTCAGCTGTGTGGTGGAGATTAGCCATTTCAGTAGGATGGAAGGCATGTTCATTCATATTACAAAGTGTCTGCTGCCACTGCGTTTCTTGTCTCCTGCTGACAGAGGAATAAACTAGCCTATAAATTTAGAAGTTGCTTGAGAAATTTAGGAATCTTGTTCTCTGACAGAGTTGTGGAAGGGCTGCCCTCTATCAAAAAGTAGAGAGGGGTTTGCAATGGAAGGAGAGACATTAAGACTATTAGCAAAGGGAGCTAGGGATGTCCCTCCGTCTAAAAAGGCATGATTTAGGAGGAGGCAGAGCACTTAAAGGGCATTCAAATGCCCAAACTTCAGGTGGCTCTTTTATTAATCAGATCAAAGGCAGATGCAATGCAAAATTGGAGGGACTCTGTCTGGAAAGTGTAGTGAACAAGGAATCTAATGTATACTGTATTTCTGTCATGCCTTCCAGCCACGCTTTTCAAGTGCCCTAGAAACATTAATGAATGAAGCATTGCCACCTCATCTGTGAAGGAGGGGAATTAGATGGGGAAACTGAGGAATATCGAGCATAAGTGACTTGCTCAAGGGCACCCAGTGAAACTGTGTCAGAACTGGAACGCAGGTCTTCTATTGTACAGTCCTAGGCTCGAGCCACTGCTGCTACTTTATCATACCTTATTTTCCATATACAGTCTATAAATAACACCGTTACCCTGTTCACCATTCCACTATGCACCACTCTGCCCCACTCTGCCCTTTCTGTACAGACTGGGACCTTCCATAGTCACCCCCGGATGAGTCAGAGCTCCTACCCCGCAGATGCAGGCCATGAATTCCACTTTACCCATCCACTCTACCCATGCAGGCCTCAGACCTATTCTCCAAACCGGCCTAGGCCATCACTTGTACAGCAGAGCAGAGTCTCAGCAGGGTGGGTAGGATGGATTATGGTGTCATTTCTTTTTGGGTGGGCTGTCAATAATTTGAACATGCCACAAAGGCCGTGGATGAATCCATCATGTTGGTGACAGTATTCTGTGGAGACGTGAATCAGGTCGAGCAAAACAGGAGTGCATGGTGTTCTAGTGGACAGAACGCTGGACTGGGACTCTGAAAAACTGGGTTCAATTCCTGGCTCTGCCATTGTCCTGAAGCATGGCCTTGGGCAAATTACTTCACACCTTTTTCCCCTTGCACCCTTTGTCTTGTCTAGTTAGACGGCAAGCTCTTTCCAGCAGTACATTGTGTTTGTGCACACCTAGCACAATGGGGCTCTGATCATGGTGGGAGCCTTTATGTGCTGGAAAAAGATCAGTTATTTACAAAGAGAAGCAAAGTCAGCATCTGACCTCATCTTTGTTGCACAATAAGGGCTTGTCTACCTTGGCAATTAACAGCGCTGCAACTTTCTGGCTCAGGAGTGTGAAAAACACACACCCCTGAGCACAGCAAGTTTCAGCGCTGTAAAGCGCCAGCGAAGACAGTGCACCAGTGCTGGGAGCTACGCCCCTTGAGGAGGTGGGTTTTTTAGAGCGCTGGGAGAGCGACCACACAAGCCACCTTAAAGCATTGCAGTGGCAGCGCTCTAGGGTTGCCAGTGTAGACTAGCCCTAAGGAACCTTACCCACTAACATTTGTTACTCTAATAAAAGAAAATAAGATTAGAGTCAGGTCTTGGAGTCAGCCACCAGAATCGCTGTATTTGCACTGATACACCTTATCCCAGATCCAAGCAGGAGTAAGCTGCTACCAGTGTAAAGTCATGGTTTAGCCTGTCTGCATTTGTGGTTTGCACTAAAGTAGCTACACTGCCTGCTGGCCCCGCTTGATGAAATTCCCAGTGTAAACCAGGGTCCTCAGGGTGGGAAGATAATGGGGGAAATCAGATCAGTGACTAAAGATAACAATTTCATGCTTTGCTTTTTTTTTTTTTAAAGTTAAAATCCATGCACTGCAATGTCAAGACGATGTTCACCTTGGCTACACCGTGCACCTCCTGTGCTGCGGCTCCCAAAGTGGTGTGTCCAAAAGGGTGGATAAAGATGACCCAGGCGTTAGGAGAGAGAGGCTGCAGGTAAGGCCCATCTCCCTGTTCAGCCTGCCACATCAGGTTTACAGGTCGTTCTATAACTCTTTTGTATTTATTCTATATACTCACATATAAGTCAGCATTTCAAGGCATGCTTTTTGCTGGCCAGGGAGATGTTGCCTTATATAAGAATAAAGAAAGGGAGATGTGGCTGGTTTCTACCATTGGGTGGGGAGCAATATAATTCTGGTTTAGGCTTAAAGAAGAGGCAGCTTGAAGTGCATAATTCATGTATGCATACTCATGGTCATGTGTATAGATATACAGATAATGAGTATTTAATAGTGATATTTCTCTAGTGCAGTCATCTGAAGAACTCAGAGAACTGAACAGACATTAATTTCTTACACTTCATAACCCTGTGGAAGAAACTGTGACTAAAATTTTCAGAGTTGAGCACCCAGAGTTAAGCACCAAAACCCATATTTACGCACCTTTTATTAAAGTAGCCTGAATTTAAGAGGTCATGAGAATTCACAGCTTCACCTGAGTTCAGACAGGAGTTGCAGGTACTAGTACCCATAAAAATCAAGACCCTTTTATTTAGGGGCCTAAATACAGTCTATGGCCCCAATCCTGCAGCTTGTTTCTTGTGAATAGACCCTTGTGAATCCCCATTGACTTCTGTGTGGTCACAGGGGCCTGTTCACACAGAACAAGTTGCGGGATTGGGATGGGAGGTACTTAACTCCAGGCACCCAAGATTAAAAATGTTAGCCTATGTGATTTGTCCAAGGTCACATATTGAGTCAAGGACAGAACCAGCTATAGACCCAGAAGCCGTTACTTCCCTTCTGCTGTTCTGACAACCAAACCAAATTCAGTGTCACCTTTGAATTTTTTAACCCTCTTATTTTCCTTTTGAAGTGCTGCTTGTTCCTGTATTTATTATGCTCATTCTGTTAAGCCAGACACATTTCTGTAGCTGAACTGTAATGGGAAAAGGGTGAAGGGAAAATGAATTTACCAAAAGGTTGTAAAAAAACGGAACGCTGTAGATTATCATCTGCAAATCTAGTCAATCGTGAACTTTAGCAGCTAACATTGTCCACTGTTTTCTGTGCCTTACTACTAGTTGGAAACATTTTAAAAATAGCCCCAGCCATTTTGCAGTTATTGCAGATATGTTTGGTAATCAGACTGGCACAATGGAAGCAATAAAAGTGTGAAAGAAGGCGCTTGAGACTTGAGTTGAGTCGATGAAGGAAGGTTAAGCTCTTGCCAAAGATAAATTTAAGGGAGTAATAATTATATGACTAGGCACTAATATTTTTTAATGTTTCCTTTATAAATGATTGTTAAGATTCCTGAAGCACCTAGAGGCCCCAAGTGAGATCAGCACCCCACTGTGCTAGGAGCTGTGTACACAGTCTCTTCTGTGAAGAGCTTATGTTCTAGATATGGCAGACAGAGGGACACGAGAGAGGAAGGATATTAGACTGATTTTACAACTGAGGGAACATAGTAGTTTTTCTAAGGTTGCACAGGGAGCCTGTGGCAGAATTGGGAACTGACCTTGAAATTCCTGAATCCCCATCGAGTTCATTAATCACAAGGTCATTCTTTCCTTTGTGAATTAGACAAAGGATTAAAAATGCATTAGTGACTTTAACTCAGCACTCTGCACTACCATGCTGGAGATCAGCAGAGTGCATTGCTCTCTGGCTCTGCCTCTGGAGCATCTTCCCCTGCCCCCACCTGCCCACAACATGACCCCTCTGGCAGAAGTGGGGCAAGGGAGCTCTAAAGCCAGCCATGCCTGCTGTATATCAACTTAGGTTTCTGACATGCTTCCCTGCCACCCCCGGGCGGAATCCTCAGTTTCCTCTTTAGGGCCACTTTAAGGTCACTTTGAGCCCCTTCAGCACCACACTGTGACCTTAGTGAGGCTGGTGATCTGTCTCCATCTCCCACTAACCTTAACCGTGCCAGTGAATATTTCATTATTTCCATGGATCGCAAGTATGAGGGAGGCAGGGAGGGTCGGTCTTGGAGACAACGCACCCTTTCAGAGCTTTGAAGATGAAGACTGGGGCTCAAAACATGATCCAATATTTGATTGGAAGTTAATGAATTAATCGGAGCCCTGCATAATATAACCTCTTAAGTCTGGGTTGTGCTTGTGGTTCCGTGCCCCAGGACAGTGTATTGCACTCTTCATTCATATGGAGCGCTTTTCAAACAGTTTACTTGGTGTGGATCAAAAAGGAGCTCAGAAATCTCCCCTCATTGTCCTGATCTGTTATCATGTCCTATCCATACAGAACAGGTTGGGTCCCAAACTGTTTGTTACAATCACTGATCTTGGCTTTTTCTGTTTAAGATACAGCGTAAAGCTTGGAGAAGACACCCTTTCCCTACCAGGGTGCAGTCACATGTGTAAGATGGAAATTGAGAAGAAAAAATGCTGCCCGGGATTCTGGGGTACTGAGTGCTATGGTAGGTTCTTCATGGGTCCTTCCAGTCATTGACCGGTCAAGGCACTTCAGAGTTCTCCCTAGAATTACCAGTCCTGCAGGTCAGCTCCATGGGGAGTGATTTGTTTTCAGGATTCTCTTTCATGTTTCCAAGACACTTAGACTGGATCCCAAGGTTTTCAATATCCATGTAGGGAAGTTTGAAGGTCTTAGGAATGGAATCTTTCCCCAGCACATGATTTGAGCCCTGTTGTGTTTTGACTTATGGCAAAACTCCCTTTTGCAGAAGGTACTCTTATTTTTAAATAAAATGTTTTAAAAGAGAATTATTCTTTAAGAAAGTTTCCAAGGAAAAAGAAAGAGATTCCCTTCTGGGAACTTCAGTACCGCAGTATACTCTGTAGCTCGTCGCCTCTACAGCCACCTGTAAACACATGACGTCTCCAGCCAGGAATTAAAATAACCGATCTGAATCCTCAGTTACGTTTCAGACCAAACTAGTTGAGTCTGAAAATGTTTGGCTCATTTCCTGTTGTTGTTTTGGCGCTCGCTGGTTGTAGCAAGGCCAAGAAGCTGAATTACTAAGGCTATGTCTACAATACAGCTCGTGTCGGCATAACTTATGTCACATAGGGGTGTGAATAAACCACGCCTGTGAGCGACATAAGTTGCACCAACGTAAACGCTCATGTGCACAGCCCTGTGTCAGTGGGAGAAACTCCTCCCGCTCGTGGACATGGGGTTTTTTATGCTGACGGGAGAGCGGTCTCCCATCATCACCGAGCATCTTCACCAGATGCACGGCAGTATTGGTACAGCTGCGCCACGGCAGCATTGTACGTATAGACACGGCCTCAGTTACACACGGCAAATCCCACGCTCTTACCAGCACAGTTGAAAATAGAAAAGACTCCCCGTTTCCAGAGAGAGCCTGAGGTGATGAGATTTCTAGCCCACTTTCAGCCTTGGGTGGCTTGAATAAGCATCTAGACTCTGTCAGAGCGCAGATGACCCAAAAGGCCAAGCATAACATTTTCTAAAGCAGCCCTCTCCCGTTTTGGAGGAGCCATCTGGAGACACCAGGCACCTGATTTTCAGAGGTGCTGCCTACCCCAACTCCAGTTGGAGTCAGTGGGAGCTGCAGGCACTCCACCCCTCTGAAAAGTAGGCCTGGGGCTGTCTCAAACTGAGCTTCCAACATGACTGGCCTTTCCTGAATATTCAGCTGAAAATCTGTCCAGGTTTTCCGTGTTTCTAATGGAGCTAACAATATAAGGCCTGATCCTACAAAGATCTGAATGTCCTCAGCTCCCCTTGGCCTAAGTAAATTACAGCTCCTCAGACTCTTTTATAGCTCTTTGTCCCTAATGGAATGGATAATGTTTGTCATATATGACAACAGAAAAATAAAACTATTTGTGATCCAGTGAAGATAGGAACCCCCATTTGTTAACACAACTGAAGCCACCTACAGGCTGACATTTAATTCCTCCCGAGCCCATCTGTTTGCAATAACAGTAATGGTTGTTGTAAACACCCATACGGGGACACAGAAGTGTTGATTTTGCTTATCTGTGGCCTGTCTCCTGTTTGCCAGAATGCCCTGGTGGACCTGAAAAGCCCTGCAGTGGCCACGGAACCTGTTTGGATGGTATAACACGGAATGGAACCTGCACCTGTGAGGTCAGTATGGGATGTACTGTGAGGAAATGTAATGCCACGTGATGGAGGTATCTAGGTCCAGCCCAGGGGACGGCAGGGAAGGTGTTAACCCTCTGGCTGGCCAAAAGTGTATAGTTGTTTTCCATGAGTGTACGGATTTGTAGGGGAGCAGGGCTGGGCCAGCTGTGGAGGACTAATGAATTCCCCTCCGCATGTTGTACAAGGCACATGCTATGAGGAAGCAAGGGCTGAGAGAGTTTGGAAGAATCTCTAGGAAGAGATGGAGCTGACAAGTGGTGTGGGGGGATTTCCCCCATTCCCTGAGTGAAAAAAGCTGTGTCTAATAGCTTCCCTTGGGCTGAAAGAAGGCCTGGTGTATTTGGACCTTAATAGGCAGCACTTTCCTCACATTTACTTTTTCTCTTTGGCAATAATGTGCACACCAAGGAGTTTAGGGTCCAGGTCCTCAACAGTGTTTAGCTGCCTAACTCCCATCAAAATGCCTAAATAGCTTGGAGGATCTGGGCCTTATACTGCACCTAGATGGGCAGAATCCTTACCAGTTCTAGCTGGGCTGTCCACATCAAACCATGCCCAGGGCCCTGTCCAGCCTGCTGTGTTGGGGGTCTGGGTACCTATTCCTCTGCCAAACACCCTCCAGAAGGTGGAGGGTACAAGGGGCCTCTGTTCTGCTCCTACAGGGGCTCCTGTGGATTCACGTCAGTACTGCCCCTCATACAAGTCGTGTGGGAACAAGCTGAAAGACACCCCTCCTACGTGAGCTTAAATGTGCATGTGGTAGTTGACCTTAGAGGAGGCAATGGGGCAAAATTAAGCACACAGCTCTCTGGCCTTGTCAGGTCCTTCCTTGCTGCAGGTCTCACAGCTGAGACCTGCAGCTGCCTCGCAGTACCCATATACGCCTCATATACCCAGCTGGTTCCTGAAAGCATAGGAAGGGTCTAACCCAGTCATAAAAGAATTCACCCAGACACTGTAAGGATTGTAAAATCACAGCCCCATCGACTGACTGATGAGACCTGTGAGCGAGACCAAAAAAGGCCACAAAATTTCAACATGTTCTCCAGATCAGCAGAAAAAGAGGCCAGCTAAAAATCGAAACTGGGTTTGACGTATGTGGTTCAGCACAGCCAAGCCTGAAAGAAAACTGGGTATAGCAATAATTTAGGGCCTGATACTCAGCCCTATGAAGTAAACAGAAAAAGTCCCATTGACATGAATGAACTTCGGATCAAGCCCTCTGAGAGTGCACATGAGAGAACTGGTACTTTTGTTTCTAGTCATGATAAAGACATTGTTTTTTCAATGACTGCCATGATTGTTCTGCTGTTTGCTCATTGGTAAAATTACGTCAACTCTCCTTTCTACTGCAAGGGCTATTGGTAAGGCACTTGTAAGAGCAGGTTTCTATTTTGTATCACTTGAGCATGAACAGAAAATGAAAAGGGGAAGAGGGGAGACATAACCAGAGTTATTTATCACTTTGCAGCTTGAACTAAGTGACATCGTAAGAAAATAATGATTGACCAATTTTTTTTGTCCTTTTAGGGGAGATATGGCGGCTCTGCCTGCCAAGATTGTCTGGATGAGAATCTGTTTGGCCCTGACTGTCAATCAGGTAAACTACAGCAATGAACAATCTAAATCAACTGCAAAGAGACATCCCCACATACCGCTAAATGAATGCAGTGGAAGAGGATGGCATAGGAGGGCTGATCAGTGGAGAGGCGGGTGCTACTGTCTGAAAATTATAACTGCAACTGCAGCCTTTTTTCATCATTTTCCTTCTCTGGGATGAGGCTGTTTTGCATTTGCCTGACGGGGAGGATGCTGAAACTATGGGATCAAGTGTGTAATGTGGGTCCAGCATTAGAATGTCTAAATCCCACTTCTGGAAGCAGCACTGAGACTTGTTCAGCACTGGTGTTCCTCACCTACTCCTGAGCTCCCAGATGTGGATTTGGGCATCCTGTTTGGGTGCCCACATTGGAAAGTTAGGCCTGCAATTGGTGGCTTTAATCATTGGGAACAGAGTGATCAGTTTGTCACACACTTGTAAGCTTGTTGTTCCTATATTTAATAAACAGAAGAATCATCACAGCCATCTCTTAGTATGGGTGTTCTCAGTCTCTCCCACCTGGGATCTCAGATCAGTCCCTTTTTCTCCTATCCCCCCCTTTCCCACTGTCCTTTGCATCCGTAACCCAAAACTCTCTGCAGTTTTTGGTTTAAAAAAACCCCAAACCAAAACCACACATCTTCTACTGCTACCTCCATTCCCACCCACTGGCTGCTTGCTGGTTCCCTCCCACCCCCAAGTGTCTCTCAGCTTCCCCCACATTGCCCTTCCTGTGAAGCTAATAAATTTGATGTCAGCAGAGATCCCTGCACTGTTTCTCACATGTTGTATTTCATAGAGCCAGATTATGCCTGCCCCTATTCCCCCACCCTTGTATTGGTATAGGGGATAGCCAAGATCCTCGTGTTTGCATTCAAGAAGTGCTAGCATCTTTAGTGACACTAACTGTGTCCCCTGGCCTCTCTCCTTCCATGCTAGCTGGTGGACTGCAGCAATCACTGGAGGAGGAGGGGACGGAGGACTAACTGCATCTCTGAAAAGGTGGTGTGGATGCTGCATTTGAGCTGCATGCTCCACCCATGGGCGTGTTCTGCCTGCCCCTGCACTCCCCAGACAGGACACCTCCAGGGATTCAGAGCTCTTAGTCCCTGCACCCTCCACCTTTTGAGGGTGGCTTGCAAAACCTCATTATGGCCCTGGCCTCTAAGAGTGAGAGGCTAAAGTACAGTTGCCTGTAGACTAAGGGGTCCAGATGGCTCAATATCAAGGGCTTTGTCCTATATCCTATTATTCCCCATGCTGATTTTTCACAGTTGCTATCTGGTCACCCTGCTGTAGACTTAAAAGCCTGGATTGGATTTATAAGCTTTCAGTGTGTTTAGTGGATGTATCCCAAGCACCCGTGTTGTTCCCTGCAGCTTCCAGTACGTGATTGTGTGGGTTTCTCTTGCAGTGTGTGACTGTCAGCATGGAGTGTGCAACCACGGGATCTCTGGTGATGGAAGCTGTACCTGCCATGGAGGTTACACTGGCCCGAAGTGTGATCAAGGTAAATGTTGGCATTTCCCTCCCAAATAATTTAGAAATCATGAAGTGGGCTCAATATATGTGCCCCCAGAGGAGGAGAAATAGTCTGAAAATACAGAGGAAGGATGGGCTTGTGGTTAAGGAACTGGGTGAGGACTTAGGAGAGCAAGAATCAATCCCAGCTCTGCGACAGACTCTGGCTTTGATCATGGGCGTTGTACAGCCTTCTCTGGGCCTCAGTTCCCTATCTGTGCAATGGGGCTAATGCTTCCTTTCTTCTACCTTTTGTCTGCCTTATATGTCTAGAGTGTAAACTCCTTGGCGTGGGCAGTTTCCTTATTATTCATATGTGCTGTTCACTGCATGCTACTGAAACCCCAAGTAATAACAGGAATCATTTAAATTATTTCTTGGCCTCCTCAGATGGTAAGTTGTATTATCCAGAGGCATCCGCTACAGCTGAGGGAACCCTCCTTTTGTTTTATGATTTCAGAACTTCCCCTTTGCAGAGGTGTAGCCTGCGGGAACAATGCCCAGTGTGTGTTGATGAACGGGATGGCAATATGTGACTGCATGCCAGGGTATAGAAAGAGAGGGAGCATATGCCAAGGTGAGACACCTCCCTGTGACCAAATCTTCCTAATTCTATATTCAGGACAATCTCCTGTGACTGGATCTATGTGGTGTGGGGCTGCCACTGACGCACCAAACACCGCTGCACCTCTAGCAGAATGTGGTTGTGCTGCCAGGTTTTCCCACATGCCTGGGGCCCAAGCCTGAGCCCTTGACTTGGGCAGAGCTGAGTGTCAAGCACTGTTCTGAAGTCAACAGATTTCTGTGCAAGGGAGCTTTGGAAAACCAAAGTAAAGACCTCAAGGCTGCTCCTTGTGTAGGTAGGCGAGCTGGAGAGAATGTGTCGTGTTGGGACAGGATTCTGGAGAGTTAATCAGTTCTGCGTGAATAATCATACAGTGCAGCCAGGCTAAACCAGGCTAAATAATGCATGTAATCATGCACTTCACTGTGGAGTCTCTGGGCTTGTCTACATGAACATATAATTTGTGGCAAGCTGGGGTGTCAGTCTATCCCACACTAGCCTGATGTGCACTGCTCCACTTTGAAATGGGAATAGATCAAGTGCAGTAGGAAACTTTTTGTGTGCCACAGCAGGTCCCCACGGACAGTTAGTGCATGACAGGCTAGTGCAGGGTGGCTTTATACCCCAGCTTGCCACGAACTATGTGTTCGTGTGGAGAAGTCCTCAATGACCTCATGTTTAGGAACTCCTAGTAACCTGGGCCATAACAGCACTTTTTTCTCTGTCTGTGCTAGGCTAATGTGCCAAAATGGAGCTAGGTTAGTGTGCTTATGGAAGTGCCAGTTTTAGATGACCTGTAAGACTATGCAATTTTAATGGCTGCTGTTTTCCACCCCAGAGGTGGCTGTATTTCATGAATTGTTAGTGATCTTTCTCTCTCTCTCTCTCTCTCTCTCTCTCATTTAAAATTTGTTTTATGTTCATGAATTGCTTTTCCTAGGACTAAAAGACACTACTATTTAAATATAAATTACTATTCAGAGGTGGATGGATCCAAACACCCTACACATTTGGGGACCTTAATGGACCAAAACTCTGGTTTCAAATACCCTCAGAGTTTGTAAAAGTTCAGAAAGAGACCCAAACTTCTCATTTCTGGCCCTTCTCTTATTAACTTTTACGCTATTAATATGAAATGAGAACTGCTCAGCTCACTCATCCAAATCCCTCAGCCAAAAAATCTCCATTGTCTGACAATGGGTTATATAAGTCGAAAAGTTTCCCAGTTTAAACTGAATAAATTCCACATCCCCCATTATGTTTGTATCAGAGGGTTTCTACTGTAGTACTTCAAGTGCTGGTTTTTAATGAGGGCCTTGGTTATGCTCCCCTCTCATCTCTGTGTTTATGTATAGCTCAGGATCCTTGTACTTCATCACCATGCTCCTCGTTAGCTGTCTGTAAGGCTCTAAGACCAGGAAAATATGAATGCACTTGCAAAGATGGTTATCATGGAGATGGGAAGGTATGCCAACCTATCAATCCATGCATTACCAATAATGGAGGCTGCCCTGAGAATTCCACCATCTGTCTCTATAAAGGCCCAGGAAAGGTAAGGTGAAGAATTGCTTCTAATGAATTTGTATGTAGCAGTAGAAAACCAGGGAGAAATTGCTGAATTGGAATTCATTTGCAAATTGGATACTATTAATTTAGGCTTAAATAGAGACTGGGAGTGGCTAAGTCATTATGCAAGGTAGCCTATTTCCCCTTGTTTTTTCCTACCCCCCCCCCCCCGACGTTCTGGTTAAACTTGAATTTAAACTTGGAGAGTGGTCAGTTTGGATGAGCTATTGCCAGCAGGAGAGTGAGTTTGTTTGTGTGTGTGTGTTTCGGGGGGGGGGGGTGAGAGAGCCTCGATTTGTGCTGGAAATGGCCCACCTTGATTACCATGCACATTGTAGGGAGAGTGGTCACTTTGGATGAGCTATTACCAGCAGGAGAGTGAGTTTGTGTGTGTATGGGGGTGGGGGGGTGAGAACCTGGATTTGTGCTGGAAATGGCCCACCTTGATTATCATACACATTGTGAAGAGAGTTGTCACTTTGGATGGGCTATTGCCAGCAGGAGAGTGAGTTTGTGTGTGGGAGGGTGGAGGGTGAGAAAACCTGGATTTGTGCTGGAAATGGCCCAACTTGATGATCACTTTAGATAAGCTATTACCAGCAGGACAGTGGGGTGGGAGGAGGTATTGTTTCATGGTCTCTGTGTGTATATAATGTCTTCTGCAGTTTCCACGGTATGCATCCGATGAAGTGAGCTGTAGCTCACGAAAGCTCATGCTCAAATAAATTGGTTAGTCTCTAAGGTGCCACAAGTACTCCTTTTCTTTTTGCGAATACAGACTAACACGGCTGTTACTCTAAAACCAGGTAACTAATTCTTCCAGCGAGTCTCGCTGGGCTAAATTGCATTGGCCAAAGCTGTTATCCTAACTTTGTTTTTGCAAGGATAGATCATCCAAACTTTTTGTGGGATGCTCTTGAATAAAAGTTGATCTGTGATTGCAAGATTTTAATCATCTGATTTTGCTTTCCTTAGTCATCTTGTGTGTGTAAGCCTGGAATGAGTGGCCTGTACCCTTCAGCAGGCTGCTCATCTGTCCGTGAGTGTCAGCGGTACTTCTGTGACATGACTGCAAAATGTAAAATCAATCCAGAGGGGATTGCCAGGTGAGTTGCTCCAAAAAGCGCCCTTAAAGATGCCTGTTTTTGTAACTAAAACAAGGCTTTTATTTGGATGAGCTGAATAATATTGGAAAACCAGAGAGATAGGTGGGGAATACTGGCTGTGGTCAGGTTTTGAAAAGAACAAAAATAAGAGTCTGTTGAAACAAATAAAAATCTTACATAAGTAGCTGTGACAGCCCCGCACCTGGGCCATAAGAGGGGCTGAACGTGGGACATTCAGTGTTTCATCAGTCCTCTACCACTTGAGCTAAAGGAGTAACCTCGTTAGCTGGTAGCAGTAGTAAGCTATCTAGTGGCACAGACATGTGAAGAGGGACACAGCACACCCTTTGCCAGCATGTTACAGGAGGACTCCTGGACAGGGCCCTTTGATGTGTGTTTAACGAAAGAATCTTCAACACTCTTCCAGTGTAGGCCCGTGAGCAGGAGAATGAATTAGGATTTTAGGCCAGTTTAGTGCCGGGTCTGACTGCTCAGCACAGCGGAGAGACATACTAAAACTAGCCTTAAAACAATTCCTGTAGAAAAAAAAAAGTGCTCATCTGAGCAAACACTTTGGGCTTAATCGTGCTTCACGTGAGGCTGAGCAGCCCTCGGAAAGGGGAGCACTGCCTGAACCACAGTGTCTGGGAACATCCCTGGTGTAATGCCTTTTGGGCCGCGGAGGGAGCATGGTGAGGGGTGTCCCTTGCTACTCTGTACAAAAGGCATAGCCGTGGCCTTTCGCAGGGAAAAGAGAGGGAAGCCATGGCCCCATCTCTGATGCTGTCCCTCAGGTGCCATTAACACTGCTGGCTGCACTAAAAGGTCTCTCCCTGTTGTGTCCCCCAGCTCAAATCAGACAAATTATGGCTTCACTTCTGGGGATGTGCAAGGTGGGGGAAGGGCTCCTTGCTCACTCTTCTTCTTCTAGGGCCTCTGCTCTGGAGCAGCCGTTATTTGACCCTTTGCAGGGCTGGAGCCATGTAAACCTCCTCTCCTTGCCCTGTGTGTGGCTATCTGCAATTCTGAAATAACAATAGCTGAACTGATACTTGGATTGAACCCAGACAGGAAAAAGTGCAGGTTTCAGACTGAGATTCCAAGTAGCTGCCGCCTGATTGCTGCAAAGCTGTGTGAACTAGGACAGAGATTTTCACATGCAGATAAGCTTTGTTGCAAAACTCATTAGCCTGCCTGGGGCCTCAATATGCCTAGAGCTGGCTCTTGGAAAACACTGGGCAGTCTGTTTGGACCAGTGGAGCTGGAAATCCACTGAGATGAGTAGAAGTTGAGGGCTCTGGGACATGGCATTAGAAAAACAACATTCCCTAGATTGGCACTAATACCTTGGATGTGAAGCATGGCCTCAAGTGCTCAGATACTAAACAGCTCGATAGCTAGGCCTTGGGTAGGACTGGAAAACTCCAAAGGGAATCTCAGGGCCATCAGGAAGTGCTGAGGGTGGTTCATTAGATGGTGCTCTTTCTTCTGAGTCAGTCCTGAACCCTGGGCTGCAGCATGGTACAAGGGGCAGCTCAGCTGCTGCATTTGGAAGAGATGTAAATCCAAGGTCCTGACCGGCTGTGGCTGTTCAGATTCACCGGTGACAGGTGTAGCCAAGAGTGTTTTATCCCACATGTACCTGGTGAGATGGGTGTGACTTCATCTCTTGGCTACTGACATTGCAGCTGTGGCCCACTGCTGCATCTGTCACCCCGAGGTGAAATTATTGTCACACGCTCTATGTGAACGACACCTGGAGACTATCTGAAAACTGAAGCTGGTGCCGACTGAGGCCACTTGCTCATTTTTATCAGTTTCAGTATATCAACTTGCTGTTCATGACACGGTGGTTAAAAGGCCCGAGTCCTGTCTACACTAATACACTATTGCTACCGCCAGTGCAGCTGCACTGTTGTTGGAAAACTAAATGCCCTAATACAGTCAAAGCCTCAGCAAAAGCACCGCCCGTCAGTGCTCTCTAACTTGCACTGGCTGCCTGTAAGCTTCTGGGTGGAGTTTAAGTTGTTGGTTTTCACTTGTAAATTCCTAATGGTTTGGGTTCTGCGCAGGGTAAGAAACCACCTCTCCCCTATGTATTACGGTCCTGGTTGTGATCAGTGGCAGCACTCCCCTGGATTTAAACAAGGAGCATCAGGCAGGGCGCAGTCCATGAAGGATGTTCAGCTTTGTAATTCACTCCCCGCTTCCCCCTTGGTTCACTAGAGCTTAGATTTATTAACCTTCTGCACATCCTGCAGAGCCCATCCTTTCTGTCTGGCGTTTGGAAGTTGTAGGTTAATGAGTGTCAAATACTCTTTTTTTTTTTTTTTAAGGAGTATTTCATATTCTCAGTATAATGGGTATCTTGTTTAATGTGCAGTTCCCAGGTAGCATCTTCAGATACAAAATATTGCAACATTGTGTTTTTGGATTGCTAATTCTATTTCATCCGGAGGGGGGTGGATCTGATCTGATGGATCTCATCAATCTCTCCACTTCCTATGTTGTTCCTCCCTGCTATTTATTTAGGTTTTAACAGATTAGTGTGTAGTCAAAGTCTCTAGTCTGTATGAACGGATCACATCCAGACTTTATCAAGCCTACCAAGAACCATTTTTGTAATGACTATTATTTCTCACTCATATCTTACTCTTTAGCTGTGTCTGCAAAGATGGGGAGATTGGAGATGGGAGAAGTTGCTACAAAAATCTCATGAGTGAGATCTCTCAGCTGAATACTCGAGGAAGATGGTATAAGAAATTAAGCAGTGCAAACAAAATGTTTGGTAATGCTCTTCTGAATTATTTTGGGGAATGGAGCTAAGATGGGGCTTGGGTGCTGCCAGTGAATGGTTAAGATTCGAAAGAAAACTGAGATGTCTAATGTTATATGAAAAGATAAGGCAGTGTCAAGGAATCTACATCTGAACTCTTCCTGCATGATGGGGCTCTTGCCAGCTCTGCGCGTGTTAACAAACCACAGAGATGATTCCTGTGTGAGAGGTATTAGTGCTGATTGACAGCCCTAGTGACTGAGGTCCTCTGTCCACGAAGCAGGTGAAGCGTAGACCTTGGTGGCATAAGCTTCACCACATCAGTCCATCAACACGCCTCAACCAGCCGGGACTACTTATATGGTTGTTCATACTTCATTACTCTTTCATTCCTTGGACTCTTTGTTAAGATGTCCAAAAGTGGTACAAATAATGATAGAGGCTTTGTGCTGTGGATACTTGTTTGCTAAGACTTGATGGAGATCCACCTCCTTGATTTCACGTAGGCCACCAAACAACCCACAGACAGTAGGCTAGATTTGAGCTGGCACTGTAGAGATGAAAGGCTTCCACTTTTTGTGCACTTTGGCACTCCTTAACTAAGTCAGAGCTCTGCACACATGGGGGGTGTAGTAGTAAGATTTTATGTTTGTATTTTGTATAATTTAAAATAAAAAATAAAGAATAATAATGTAGCATGTACTAAATGTGTTAGTGTATGATTTGATCATATCCTGCCAGCCACCCTTTCCGAAAGCAAAAAGGAATGGCCTAATGGGCCATTGGTAAAGATGCATCAGGCCAGAATCTGTGTCTGAGCTGATTTCAAGGCAGTAACAGACCTTTTAGGGTCACCACTTTGTTGTAGGTTTAGTATTTTAAAATAAGTAAAAGAATGCAATGATTGTTTTCTCTTGCATTGCAATTTGATGTTCCTGTTCAAATGCTCTGTGTAAATCAATTCTGTTTTGTGTGTGAATGAGAAATGTATGTTTGTTAAAAAAAATAAGTGTAAAGGCCATCACCTGACCAAATGTTCTTTAAAAAAAAAAGGGACAAATGTAAGGGCGCCAAAAGATTGCAACATGCCCCTATTATATTAAAATGTCAAAGGAGGGCAAATTAACTAGTCTAAAAATAAAACAGGCACCTTTCAATAAAAGCAAAATAGCTGTAATCAAAATCAGCATTGAATAACTCCTTAAAAAACTGAATAAAAAATAAAGAAAACAATTTAAAAAAACAAGCACTCATCAAACAACAATTAATTACAACATGATGGTGCAAAACTCATTGGTCCCAATAAAAAAAATCACTATATAAATAGTGGGCCTTGCCATAAAACTTTGGGTTCATCCTGCCAAGACTTCCCCGAAGCATCATATTGCAACCGACAAAACCCAGCTCCTACCTACCCGTCATCAACGTAGCTGGCCACTAAATTAATCTGAACTCTAAACTGGTAACTATAACATCGACTGGTGGAACTCTGTGTGTGTGTGTGTGTGTGCGTGTGTGTAAGTAAATGCATATGCTAATTGTTGTATTTCCAATAAATGTGGCATATTGCCTTTTCCCCTGAAAAAGATCCTGGGTGCTTCTTATAAGCATAGCGGGGAGGGGAAGAATGTGTAATGTGTAAGGCTGCACATTGGATTCTGATCCCAAGCCCACTGAAGTCAGCGGAAAAACTCTCATCAACGCCACTGGGGTTTGGATCAGGCCCTTAAAGAATTCATGCAATGAAGTCTAACTATGTCCAGAAGTGACTCATCTTTGTGCAGAGACCATGAAAGTTCAACCCTACACATCAGAAAGTTATAAGCATGTGACAACTGAGACTTAGTATTGAAACTGTTCTGCAAGGTTAGGCCTTGATCTAAAACCCACTGAAGGTAACAGAAAGACTTAACTCTTAACTAATAACTTTCACTGCCAAGCTAGCATTGTGATATCCCACTACCAATCCCCTGATCCATCCAGTTCCCCATAAATTCACTCTGGTCACGCACTTTAGGCTGAAGACACAGGGATGTGTTAACCCCTCCTTCCCCAACAAGAGGAAAAATAAAACTGGTAATTTATGTTGTTCTGTATGCTTGGTAACTGTTTTGGGGTTTTGTTTTTTAACAGCTTCAGGGTGTTCTTTGGCACTGACAAAATATGGGCCTTTCACAGTCTTTGTGCCAAGCCTTCAACCGTATAGTGAAAGAACTGACTTCAACGTAAGTGTCACCCCCTTTTAGTAACCTCACTTCTTCAAGCTTTGAGTTCTGTAGTCTTTTTAAAGAGTAGCTGACCTGTCAGAGAGAAACTTTAGAATGCATTATGTTTAGAAACAATTCCACTGAGATACAATTCAGACTCTAGCTGAGATTAATTTTAATGGGAGATGCTAAATCCCCTGTGTTGCTTTGCAAATCTCAACTTTCCTCTCTTTCTTTTCTCCTTTCTTTATTAATAGACATTTTTTTACCGCTGAACATGATTATGAATCTGTTAGCTCTTGCTTGCTCTAATCTGTTTGAAAACCTCTGCTTGTGACACAGTGATAATTCTCAGCACTTTGTATGCCTTTTACTTTTTAAGGCCAGGATTATCAAAAGCACTCAGCAGTGGCTTAATTCTCCTCCCATTAACATCAGTGACTGAGTGCTTTTTAAAATCCCACCATAAACCATTTCTAAAAATATGAATGACTCCTCAGCCCTTGTGATATTAAGTATTGACTAGAGATGGGCTTGAGCAGAACCTGGGATCCAAACTTTGAGGGATTCAGAATCCCAACCCAGATCTGAATGTTGCAAATGTCTCTTGTAAAGACAAGAGGTTGAACAAAAACTCTGCATCCAAAACTCCTCCAGACTCTGCCGTATTTGTTACCTACATCCAGGTTTTGCGTCTTGGGGCCATCTCTTAGTATGATGCTCCTTTTAATGACGGAGAAGCCAAGGTGTTGACTTGCTCAAAGCAATGGGTTTCAGAGCCCAGATGAGAGCTCAGCAGTCCCTAATTCTCAGTCCTGTGCTGTAGTAGACCATGCAAATCCCTTTCGTGCTACTATTTTAAATGTTTTATGAAATTGTATTCATTTTCACATTTGTCACAAATGCAACCAAACCAACCATAAAACAGATGGAAACACTTGTATGCCATTTCCCCTGTAGAATGGAAAACTCTGCCAAACATGATCAGACAGGAGGAACACGTGCAGGTTATTCAGCAAACATTTAAAACAAACTAAGCCAGCTTTCTGCTTGTTACCTTAGAACACTCAGAAACAAGGATGAAGTACCTTTAAAAAATACTCCAAAACTGGCTTGTTGGACTGTGTCAGAAATGTAATTCCTACACATACAGCATAACAAAAATAACCATGCGATCAGGGAAACTTAAAAAAATATATAATGTACTTAGCAAGTCCTTGATAAAACTGTGTGGGCCACATTGTACTGTGTATTGGTGAGCAGAAGTTTCCTTGTGAAACATTGGATGTGGAATTTGGATGGAGGGGCATCCAAATTCAACTTGGATCCAAATTCATCCTTATAACTTGTCCAAATCCAATAGGTTTCTCTCTAAATAAGCCCCTTAAAATCACTTGCTTTTGGATCAGACTCTAATTCTTGCTCAGGCACACACAAATAGCTTCAACCAGAAGTTATTGGCTTGTTGCAGGAATCACTGGGTAAGAGTCTATGGCCTATATTATGCAGAAAGTCAGACTAGATCATCCTAATGGTACCTTCTGACCTTAAAATATATAAACCTGTGAAAATACTCCACTGCTGCTGTAAAAGGCTTCTAAGGGCCTGTCTACATGTGAAAGTTAATTTGGGTAAATTAGGGCGTGAATTTTAAAGTGGATTAACTATTCCCAATTAACTCCATGTGTGGATGCAAGTAGATTAAACTAATTCAGGGTAAGGCACTAATCTGGAATGAAAGCATCTGCACATGGAGTTAGTCAGGTATAGCTATTCTGGAATAACTCTCTGTGTAGATGAGCACTGATTTGAATATAAATTAGGAAATGCCTTCACTTTCTGATCCGGAATGTATATGTAAAGTATTTTTCTATGTGTATTAGACTGGAAAGACAGCTGAAACTATGTACAAGCTTTTTTATTTTTTTTGGAAGGCATATCAGTTCTCCCTGTGTTCTGATTTATTTCCATAAAGGACACAATTGCCCAGCATTTATGCAAAATGCATATAATTCCTGGTCAGCATTTGGTGGAAGATATGGTCAAGATCAAGACGCTGTGGACGTTGTCTGGGCATCAGCTCACGTTTAATGATCAGATAAAGGTATCACAACATCGTACTAGGTACCAGGTTGCCGTTTTCACATGGTACGGGGACAAAGGTGTAAAGCTGTATCCCTGACACACTTTCATGTCAGAATCCTTTCTTCCTTATTCTGCCACATTTTGACCAGTTTAGGACTTCGTTTGTTCCATAATGTAATAATCAAATCACAGAGTAGATGACCTATTATGTCTTCTATTACATCTCCGTGTCAATACAAGATGGATTGTTCCCTACCTACCGTTTGTTCTATATGCTATGCATCCAGTTTTAAATAACCCAAGCAATGAACCTTCCCCTACTTTCCCTCAGAGACCAATATTCAGCATAAATTATCCTTTGCTTAGGATACTCTGTTTCATCCAGTTACTCCTAGATATACCCCCAAACAATTTTTTCTGGCCTCTTTAGCTCTTCTCCTTCAGAAACTTATACTTGGAAAAGGTACTTCCCCTTATTTGTTTTTAGCTACATCTTCATATTACAGTCTCTTAATCTTTCCTTGTAAGTCTACCCCAACCCCTTTGTGATAATTTTTGCTGCTTTTCTCTGAAGCTTTTCTCTATCTATATTGTCCTTGAATTGAGATGCCTAGAACAGTGTGTTGTCTAGGAGATGAGGTCTCACTAGTTTTGTATATAGTATAGGGAAACTACAGCCTGCCTGGTTCTGGATTATAGCAGATCCTAACAACACCCCTCGCACCAGACTCTGTGGTGTGCTTCCTGAGAGGCACAGTATAGAAGGCCTAGCTAGGCAGGGGGGGAAAGGTGTCTTTCAGCGTCAGTTAGAGCAACCCCAGAGGCTGACAGTACTCCCAGTAGCCCGACCTGCTGCCTATGGGCTGTTGTGCAGCCCAGAATTTCTCTTGTCTCTCACCATCCTGGGCCTGGCTCCCAGCGTGCCCCTTTGCAAGAGTCTGCAAGCAGAACATACACCAGGTGTGCATATTCCCTCAGGGGCAGCTCTCTTTTATTGCCCCTGTGCACTGCGAGGGTGGCATAAAGAGGCAGGTGGAAGGGTCAGAATCTGGCCCCTAATCTTGAAAATAGTCATTGTTTTTTTTAAATAATCTGCATATCTGGTAAAAGAGACGCCTTCCCCTGTTATCAACAGTGTACAGAATACATGTGTCCCTGCTGGTAAAAGCAGTAAGTCTGCCTTCAGAATGCTTGTCCTGTGGGCTAGTAGCTGACAAATTCTGAACATTTTCCTTTCCAGTCACCCTTTTTCACTGTACAAAATAGATTTTAATGATTCTGCTCTAGTATCTGGGATTTTTTAGCGGGGGAAGGCAGGGTGAGGCCGCGTTTGGTTTATGTTTCCCCCCATCCATTGTCCTCTCTTCATCCTGCACCTTTGCATTGTGGACTTGCACAGCTGGCCAAGGGACATCAGTATGTTTCCTCTCCCAATTTCCCAGCCTTGACCTTGGTTCTGGGCTTTGATATATGCAGGGTTCACAGAAGGGCAAAGCGGCATTGGGGGCTGTGGAATCTGAGCTGTGCTTTACAAGGATAGTTTTTTTTGTTTACTCAGCAGTCGTTGATCTGGAAAGTCTTCCCTTCCCCTTCCTTAGTTGTGTCCAAAGCTCTTACTTGTGTGAACAGAAGTTCAGAGCTGGGAGGAGCTATTCAAGAAATGTACAATGAAAAACACAGGAGAATTTGCCTGTGCCTGTTTGGTGTTGGACATGACATTTCTGAATGACCCTGGAGTGTTAAATTGCACTTTCTACTCAGTGCGGTATCTGTAGGCATTGTTTGTAGGAAGAATATACACCAGTAGTAATATTTTGTAGTAAGATGAGACTGATTGCTTTGGCCATATTTCAGTGACCTTTCTCTGGCATCTGGGGCACATGAAGGTGATAGCCAGGTCTCATGTTCCAAAGATGCCCCTAGATCCTGCTGCTCCCATGCCCAGTAACATGCAAGCAGGTACAGAGTCCCTCCTCACGCTGCTCGATCCAAGCTATGGCATGTTTCTGCTGAACTCATCCTTGTATGATGTACAGCTGTGCCCTGACCAGAAGTCTAGTTCTAAACTGGGGCAAGTCTAATTCTGAACTTCATGGCTTGATCCCATCTTGGTAATGGGGTTTAACCAGACCTCCAGATCCAAACAGCCCACAACTCAAAGATTGTGTCCAAGTATCACAGCTTGGACCGGTCCCTAATATGATCTTTATACATCTTTTCCCTAGTAACCCCAGGTAAGCTCATGGCCATGGCCATATTGTTTCACCGAAGCAGGAATTGAATCAAATGAAGTTTTACAGATATATACTCAGAGATCCCTTTGATATATTTTTCATAATGAAATAATCCTTTATTATTATCCCAGTCCTACAGCAAGAGCTTTAGGTATCAAGACCTGCCAGGGGTATTGTATACCGTCATTCAGTCGAACATACCAGCATCCAATGGAATTATACATATTGTTAACACTCTAAGGAAAACAACCAGCTTTCACAACCTTGGAAATCCACAGGTACATTGAACATTCCTTTCTCTTCTGTCCTTTGAAGGATATGATGATACACCATTTACAGAAATCTAGTCCAAAGGTTAATCATCTTAAATCAATGAGGCATTTGTTTCATGTATAATGTTATATATTTTGTTTTCTGTTTCTGACTAATCCAATTCACTCGGTTTCAGAGCACCGTTAAGAAGTAGCAACAATCACTCCAAGAGCTGGTTGCAGACTCAGGAGTGAGGGTTGTGCTGGCTTTTGTATAACTAGAGAATTTTAACCTCAGCAGTATAAGTTCCCTAATAATGGATAATAATGGAGATAGAAACCAAGTTATGCAAAATGAGTGAAAGTTTTTCAACAAATATTAAAACCAAGATTTTTTTTTCAGAAGGGGCAATTCTGTCCCCATCACATTTCACTTTCCCATTATATAAATGGCGGTGTTTGCATTGAAAGCGTGCCCCCAAAAAGGAAATATTACAAATTTTGATTTTTACATTTTGAAGCCACTCTTGTAAGGAAGGGGCTGTCTTTTGGTTAAGGTTTTGGACTGACGTTCTAGAGTTCTGGGTTCAATTCTTAGTACTGCCACAGACGTTTTCTCCCCTAGCTGGGAGCGGTATTTTTGCTGCAGCCGTTGCACGTATGCCTGTGTATGTTTATATTGTGTTCATAGACAAAGAACTGAATTCTTCACTGCCCTGCACCTTGTGTACCCATTTACACCCTTGCCAAGTAGATGTAAAATGCTGCCACTCTGCTTTGGTAGTGTTTGGGTAGCAACCTACGCTCAGTTTGCACTGATGTAAATGATTCACATAGGGTGCAGGGCAGTGCAGAATCATGCCCATAGAAAATGTGAGTATCCTATTTTACAAAGTGGCTAGACTAGAAAGCAGTAATATGTACAAATATGTTGCTTTCAGCTCCTCTCACTGTCACATTGGTTGTATAGAGCCCTGTGGCTTTATACAGGGTCCATTGTCTCCTTCATTGATATTTAAGAATATCCCTGCATTGCCACTTAAGTTACTTCTTTTCATTTTCTTGTGTACTGTAGCAGAGTTTAAAGAGTACAGTAGTAAAAAACAGAGCCTTGTAACCTGATCTAGCTCTCACTGAAATCAGCGAGAGCTGAACTGAGTCTTACATACACAGGTGCTCAGCTGCCTCATGGAATAAGCATGTTATATGTTCCTAGACACATGGATAAATGTGTGGTAGCTCTGTGCTAACAGCTCTCACTGCTGCTTAGCATGCAATTAACCTGATAGTAGGGCTGACCCAGCACCCTTTCCTTGGCACATACACCTACCAGCTCCTCAGATAAAACTGTGGCATCAACCACAGGAGCCCCTGCTGCAGCATGCTTGATGAAACCTGGAGAGATCAAGGATTGGGGGTATCCATTAAAGCTGAGATGGTGCAAGAACCATGCTTCGAAAGGAGGGGGTTTTTTTTCATCCCCACACCCTCATGAATGGAAACCAGGAGCCTTGAGAGAGTGCAGTGTCAATTATTGCCCTGTCAGGAGCAGAAGGCACAGGAGGACCATGATAATACTGGTACCTAGTGTCATGGTCCTACTGTGATAAGCACTGCCTTACTGCAGCTGGTAGATCTGGCCAGCCTGCACCCAAGCAGCAGGGTTCAAAAGTGGTGCCATTCTGTATGCTGCAGAGCATGGAAAGACACTGCTTTGTCTGAGACTGCAGGACACAGAGCTTTCTCAGCAGATGATCTTTTTCCATGCACCTTTGGACACTTCCTTCCCATTGTGACACCGTGCCATGAAGAATAATGATGACATGAGTTATTTTCTGCGGTGTTATCTCTAGAAACATGTTTGTATCAGCCCTGGTTGTTGGTTGTGCAGCACTTTCTGCTGACCAGTGTGCTAATTCCAGGAACTTTCACAGGGCAGTAATCCTGTGAAAGGGACACTCTTTCAGTATAGGCTTTGACTTTCTGGAATGCCATCAATTATTATTTAGTAGCTGTATTCCCGTAGAGCATAGGAGCCACAGTCATGCCCCAGGACCCCATTGTGTTAAGTGCTGTACAAACACAAAACCAAATCTGGGTTATCTTTTTCCTTGCACATTGTCCTTTCAGTCTTTGAATTTTTTGGTGTTTTAAAAAAAGCACTATAACTGTTATCAACACAACAAAAATGTCCGCATAGACAGCCCTACCAAAACAAAGGGCACTGGCTTTTCTTCATGTTTTCAGGTGTGTGCATGCATATGATGTTTTTCCCCTGCTTTGGGTCTATCTGCTCTGTTCTCATATGCAGGTCGTATAGAGGGAACTTGTTTTCAAAATACAGGAGAGCAGGATTCTTGTGCACTGCCATTCGCTGCCTACGTACAAGAACAGAGCTGATTTTGGTTTAGCTGGGAAAAGCATGTGGTTCTATCTTTGCAGCACTGATGACCACATGTTAGCTCCCACTAAGGTCAGTCTCCAAAAGACAGAGTCATGCACTGAAAGTGGGAGCTACAAATTTGCATGGTGCCTCTGAAGACTGGGTTTGTTGTGTGTAAGAGTGAATCTCAGATCTAAATTACATCAGTCTAGGTTGCTGTTGAGTCAACCAGTTATGGCAGATTTTTCAAAAATACAATGGGAACTACAGTATTCTATGACTTCTCTAGCGCACAACTTGCAAGTTTTGAAACAAAGGGCACTCTAGTTCCTGCCCTGACCTCACTTGAATCCCATCCATTCTTTCCCCTTTCCTTTTATCTCTACTTGCAGAAAACCATTGGGGAGATCCTTGCTTCAATGGAGATCTTCAGTCGATTTGAAACTATCCTGGAGGTGAGAGTGTTTGTCTGCCCCTCAGGACAGTGCTGTGTGGGGGACTGTGAACGTTTGCTGTGGTACAGCTGTAGCATTCTCTCAGGAAACGGGGTAGCTGTTTGCACTGAAAAACTGCATTTAAAAAAAATAGCTTCAGTAGCTTGACTTTCTGTAGTTGACATTTTTGCAATGTCACCACTTTTATTTTATTTTTGATTTATTTCTGATGAAGTGAGCTGTGGCTCACGAAAGCTCATGCTCAAATAAATTGGTTAGTCTCTAAGGTGCCACAAGTACTCCTTTTCTTTTTGCGAATACAGACTAACACGGCTGTTCCTCTGAAACCTGTCACTTTTATTTTGCTTCCTTTATAAGAAAACTTAGTGTAGGTGAAAAATGCTGGATTGACATCCTGGGGACAAAAGTCTTCTCTTTATCCATAGAACAGGTACAGCACAGTCAGCTACAGTTCAAGCTTCCCCACCAGTGCACTTCACACCTGAACCAAAGGGGGCCACATCTAGGAGAGAGAAGAGAGTAGTTTCTCCGTGGTTCATTCAGTCCATGGCCTCTCTGCTGTGACTGCTAATGAAAGCCTTGATTGTGTTGTGGATACCTGCCCACTAGGAACTGGATTGAAGCCACTGTTGCTTTTCATACAGATACTTAAACACAAATAGCCTTAAGATGATAATCCCCTGAGGCCCTTGTCCCTGAGCCAGGTTTGACCTGATGGCCCAAGGGAAATGTTCCATATCCTGTTGTTGGTCCCCTGAGCTGTCCACCCCCCCTGTAGTGTTACACTCTGAAATGTTTTGCAGCATTCCTGTTTTCAGGGAACCATTCCATCAGTTACTGTTCATTTGCAAAATGTATTAAACACATCTTGGAATATAGTTTTGATTCTATTTTTCTCACTCTAGTTATATTCAGATAGAGGGGTTAGTCTATGCATATGTATTCTTGTTTGTGTAAAACCTGCAATGGGAAAGCACTAGTGAAATACCAGTTGCTTACAGGAGCTCTGTTTAAACTGTTATGACTGTTTTCTGCCAGTAGCTTTTTTGGCTCAGCTGTTTTGCTAGGGCAGGTTCCTGTCTGTCTATATTAGGACTTTATGCTGCTGCCCATCACAGCAGAACTTGACCATTTTCAGTATACGTTTATTAGCAGTAGCAAAGTCCCTAGCAGACTACAGGGCCTCTCTGAATTTCCTCCCTTTCTTACAGCCCATCTTTCGCTAACTCATCCTTGTTTTAGACTAAAAAGTTTCATTCCACTGCTGTTTAATATTTGCAGAACTGTGGCCTGCCTTCAATACTGGATGGACCAGGACCCTTCACTGTGTTTGTGCCAAGCAACAATGGAGTGGATAAGTTAAGAGATGGGAGGCTTATTTATCTTTTTACAGAGGTGAGATTTCATCAGTGTTTTGGATGAATTCCTCTTGTGGCATTAGGTTTAATGAGATGGGCTTGTGTCAAAGGGAGTATGATCAGTTAGGAGATTAAAATGGTACTGGCAAACTCAGAATTTAATGTAAAGACACAAATGTGTGTGATGAACCTATCTCAGCTGGAAGTTGCTCTTTCCATATTTGAGCAAAGTATGTTCCAGTTCCTGTAACACTCCAGAAGGAAGCTCTGTTTTTCATGCTGATGTGACCAGCAATGGCAATCGTATCACAAGTTTGGTTATATTGTTAAATGCAGATTTTTAAAAAATTACCTTTCAAGTAAAGATACTGTAAAAATCCACGTACATTTCAAATTCACTGGTTACCAGAATGCTTCATGTCAGTTCCCTCTTCTTTGTGCCAAATGCCAGGAGAGAGCATCTATTTATTGTCGTCATTATCTCCATTTCCCTCCCTAGGGGATAAATAAGCTTCAGGAGCTTGTGAAACATCATATCTACACTGCAGCGGCGGTAAGGCATCTTAGTTTCCAGGGTATTGGAGTCATTTGGGCCAGCATATAATTAAACACTGACTTGTGTTCAGTTCTTCAGTGTCCCTCTAGCTACCTCTTCATTGCTTAGGCTTCCCACAGAGGAAGAGTGAGAGAGATGTGACAGAGGCCCTGAGACAGCAAAGCATTTCAGCATGTGAGTCATCCCACTGACTTCAATGAGTCTACTCACATGCTTGAAGTTAATCGTGTCTAAGTGCTTGGCTGGATCAGGGCCCTAATGATAAAGCCCTTAGTTTCTTGGGTGGGCGGGTGGGGGGTGTGTGTGTGTGTTTTCTTTAACATTTTATCATTAAAATGAAAATATTACTCCACAAAACCTATGAGACGCGAAATGCTTGGTTTTTTCCTTTATTTTCAAAAGGTTAATTAGGAGTTTCCAAAGTTTGCCATTAAGATTTATAAATGAGGCAATGTTAAGAGCAACATGTTTGTCCCTTTTGGACCAAATTCATCCGTGGTGTTAAATGCGTTGAAATCAGTGGATTCATACTGTCGTGTAATGCATTCCCTTGTGTAGTCTAATATTTCCAAAAAGATCCAGGTTTTTTTCTCTTCTGTTCTAGATGTTTTTACATATAATGTGGGACTTGTGAAAGGTGTCAGATTGCCAGTCCTGGAGCCCTCTATCCACATAAATGGTAGAGCACAGATAGTGGCGAGTCCACTCCAACGTGTCTCAGTCTTGACCTGGAGGGAGTTCAGCCTCCATGCCCACTTAGTTTATAGATTAGGCATATTTACTGAGATTGCCAACAAAGGAACCAGTTAACACCAGTTTTGTTAATGGCTTTTGTGCTATGGACACCTACCCACTAGAAACTGGACTGAGATCCACCAAACTTATTGCACATAGGCCACTGAATGACTGCCAGTCTCTGATAACTTTTTGACCATTCTGAATAATGGATATTGGCAACCAGTGTTTGAACCATCCAGTCATCCAGGCTCAAAATATCTGATTTTATTTAAATATTAAATAAAAAAAAAGTTAAAGAATAAATATATTCATTCTTCTTTTTAAAAAACCGACCTGTTTTAAAATTAAATTTGAAATTATTGCTACCTATATTAAGGCCTAAATTTACTATAATCTTTTAAAATAATTAAAATAATAAAAAATGCTACATTAATAAGCCCTCCTCAAATTGTAATGGGTTAAAGGGAGCTGTTTTTTCAATTATATTTAGAATCAGTGGGTAGCCATCTTTAATTTTTTACGCTGGCTCAGGCTTTATAAGTATGACACAGTGTCATGTATTGTATTAAGCATCTATATAATTTTCAGTCTTTACAATGGAGCAAATGCTGGTATTTACATTTTTCTAAATGTCAGTTGAGGAAACTGATTGGGACTTGAAAAAGCTTCTTTTCCTCTTCCAATCTATGAGTAAAACAACATGGGAGAAGATTAGATCTACTGGTTCTAAAAACATGCAGGACATGATGTCCAGAAATAATCAGTTCAATTCACTAGCTAACTTAGTTTTAAGACCAAAACATTCTCATAAATTTATTTTTCTGATGTATCCAGCACATTTAGGAGAGTTTAACTAATAAAAAACAATTTTAAAATGCTGGTTTTATGGATTTTTAAATTAATTTCAATTTCCATCCAAATGCAGCATGAGACAAATCACAAGCAAAAAGTTAACCATCTAGAAGATAGGAAAGTCATCACTTTCTGACATAATAAAAATGTATAAATTAAGATTCTAAGTAACAGTATAATTGCTTAAATAAATGTGTATTAGTTATAGTGTTACCTTTCAGGTTAGCAAGAAGAAGGACCAGATTTAGTGAAAAGGCTGTATTTAGTTCCAATATAGAGCTTACATGGTGCACAGACCTTGTGCTAGTGCTCTGCACAGGGGTGAATTTCACCTGGTGAGAACATACAAATGTGACCCCCTTTTGTGTTTTGCTGCTGTTGTTTTTTTTGTCCAGCACAACTAACACCCATATTTCATCAGCTCAGATAAGGCCTGGTCCAAAGCACAAACAAGTCAATGGGAGAATTTCCATTGACTTCACTGGCTTTTGATCAGTACTTAATTCCTTGATATGAGTTTACTTTTAGTTGTCTGATCCTGCAGACACAAAAAGTGTTGATTTGTATCATAGGTGAGCTGTTAACATGAGGTTCTTAGCTACCTCCCTTTATTCTCTACTTTTTATAAACCTGTCCACGTTAAGAACAGAACAGTGAAAACTACAACCATTTTCCAACATGATTTGTGCTACAGTAGCCTGGTCTCTCTGTTCAGGGAAGACCATTGTTGTTATGTTTTGCAAACATGCTCTAGACTAGTGGTTCTCAACCAGCGGTATGTATACCCCAGGGGGTACTCAGAGGTCTTCCGGGGGTACATCAGCTCATCTAGATATTTGCCTAGTTTTACAACAGGCTACATAAAAATCACTAGCAAAGTCAGTATTTAAACTAAAATTTCATACAGACAATGACAGGTTTATACTGCTCTATATACTATACACTGAAATGTAAGTACAATATTTATATTCCAGTTGATTTATAATTATAAGGTAAAAATGAGAAAGTCAGCAATTTTTCAGTAAGTGTGCTGTGACACTTTTGTATTTTTATGTTTGATTTTGTAAGCAAGTAATTTTCAAGGGAGGTGAAACTTGGGGTACTCAAGACAAATCAGACTCCTGAAAGGGGTACAGTAGTCCAGAAAGGTTGAGTCTGGCCCAAGCGCAACCCCCCCCTCCCAGCAGCACCCACAAAGGTGTCCCCCTGCGCCCCTCCCCACGCCCCAAGGTTTTGTCAGGGGTATTTATAGTTTGTCATGGACAGGTCACAGGCCATGATTTTTTGTTTATTGCCCGTGACCTGTCAATGACTTTTACTAAAAATACCCATGACTAAACTGTAGCCTTAGTCATGTGTGTATTTTGCAGAGGAAAGTTTAAATATTAAAGTCAACTCTTCAAAGCTGGTTTAGGGAGAGAATTTGTAGTGATTCTGAAATACATACAACTCTCTCTCCTCCTCCAGTTTGTTTTTCATAGCATTGTCTCCTTTTTGTATATATATTTCAGGTGACTGTGGAGAAACTGACAACGATGCCACAGATTATAACCATGGCAAACCAGATACTGACTGTCAATATCAGTGAGGATGTAAGCACCACATGCTAGAGATGGGCTGAAACCAAAGTCGAAATATAAACACTCAAAGCTTTGAAAAAGTTTGGTTCTGGAACAGGACTTTATGACTCAGGCAAACTCTGCTAAGTCCTCTGCTTAGTAAAGTAGATTTATTTAAATCTACTGTGCATTCTCCCCTCCTGTCTTCCACTAGGAAAAATGGATATTGTGTGGCTGATATTGAAGAGACTGCGTATTGTAATTTACCAGCATGTCTCCTTACGTTGTTTAAGAGTGGGAATGACTTAGGGTATTGATTTTGTTTTGTTTTGGGGGTTTTTTGGAACAGGGGAGAATTCTGTTGGATGATTCTGGCATTCCCTTGATCAAGAGGGACATTGTGGCGTCAAATGGAATCATTCATACCTTGGATGGCATCTTCATTCCCCCTTCGATAATCCCCATTCTGCCACAGAGGTGCAATGAAGAACAGCACAAAATCATAGCAGTAAGTCAAGTTTTTCCATTCTTTCCCCCAGTGGGTGCTACAGACAAACCTCAGATAGATTCTAATTGAGCACAGAAGGTATGTCTGTGTATTCTCACACTGTGAATTAATTCACCCACACTATGAACCCTGGTGCTAGACTGCCTCCAGAGCTAGCCAGTGTACGTGCTGTGAGTATTTCTTCTGCTAACACTTCCACACGACTTTGCTGGGAAGTCAGCTGTTTTCTCTTAGGAATTTGTTTTTGACAAAAGACTTAGAGCAGCACTTTTTCCCTCCTACCCAAGATATCCATGATTCAGAAAGGAGTTTAGGTCCTCAGAGGGCTGCTATTTGGGAATTGTTTGACATGCAATCCTTCCTGTTTATACCAGAGCTGCCAACCAGTTTGATAATGCCTGATCACCTGGCTCTGAACTTGTCTCCTATTAGTTTGGACTGGGAAGCCGAATCGTTTTTATTTCTTTATGTAAACTAAATCTTTTGAAATGCCCTGTGGCTTTGCAATGCCTTCTGATGGCACTTTTTCAAAGAGGCTGGCTGCTGTCCCATTGAAGTCACAGCAGGAGCACATAAAGATGTAGCAAGTGCTGTATGGAATGCTGATCCTACAATGAAAGGCATGCATCCCCCTCCTCCCACACAGCAAACCTCTCCAGCAGCCTTCATTTTAGTCCCAAATTCCCTACGTTCCACACAAATTTGGTGCCCCGTCACTTCTATTGTTGAAAATTATTTACATCTGAAATGAAGACTCTCTGCACTGAGGCTACAGAAAGAGTCGTTTACACTGAAGGAAGGAAAGGAGTACTTGTGGCACCTTAGAGACTAACAAATTTATTTGAGCCTAAGCTTTCGTGAGCTACAGCTCACTTCATCGGAATGCTGTAGCTCACAAAAGCTTATGCTCAAATAAATTTGTTAGTCTCTAAGGTGCCACAAGTACTCTTTTTCTTTTTGCGAATACAGACTAACATGGCTGCTACTCTGAAAACTGAAGGAAGGAGTTTCACAAAAGATTAAATTTCCTGCATGAATGGGTTTTTTGTGTCCCTTATTCTGGGTGTTTTTCACATACACTGTCCCGCATTTGGGCCAGAGCTGGTTCCTTCACAGAGCTCCACTGAAGCCAGCGGGGCCCGTTACAGGTTTGAAGTCCACCTGTGTCCATCTCTGTGCTGGATTGAGGCCCCGGTAATAGCCCAGAGTCCACAGTACTTCTGGGTGTTGTGAGACCTAAAGCATTAACTGTAAAACACAGCTTCCAACACAGCTACAAACAATATCTATTAGCCAAAGGCCCGAGTGGTTTGTCCTCATCTCAGAGAGATGTACCTGCGTAACTCCCAGCACTTTGAGATGTGAGCAATACCCACAGAAATTATCTGGGAAACTTTTTTTCTTTAAATGAGAAACTCACCTTGTTCCTGAATCTTTGCTTCTTAAAACTTCTTTGGTCATATTTCTTATTATGGCAAAAAAAAAAAAAGGTGTCAAAAGCAATATTTCTGCGTTGTTCTTCATGCATGAGCATAAAATGGGGTTATGTTTGAGTGTGTATAAATGTAAATACTTTTATGGGAAGGACTTTTCTTCTCTTGGTTTTATAACAGGGCTCTTGTGTTGATTGTGGGGCCTTGAACACCAGCGTTTGCCCTCCTCACAGCATAGAAATGGTAAATACCTTGTTGTTTATTTGTATTATAATAGCACCCATTGTGCTAGACACTGTACAGATACACAGTAAGAGTGCTGATAACTCAAAGAGCTTACAATCTAAATAGACAAGACAGACAACGGGTGGGAGTGGAAACTGAGGCACAGTGAGGGGAAGTGACTTGCTCAATGTCACACAGCAGGTCAGTGACAAAGCCAGGAGTGTAACCCAGGTCTTCTTGGTCCTAGTCCAGGGCTTAATCCACTGGTCTATGCTGCCTCTGGTTCTGAAGTGTGCAGAACCTGATCACCGGAGTGACATGAAGCATTGTGTATGTTAAGTGAAACTAGACTTCCAACACACTGACTCCACCAGAGAGAACACCTTTCCCTACCAGTCGGATCTTGAAGCCCAGCCTTTGTCCTCCTGCCCTTTTCAACGTGCTAATCAACTGCCACTCAAAGGAATCACCAACCTTGATTCTACCAAAACCATGTTGCTGTTCCTCTAGTGTAGTGGTTTTCAAAGTTTGGGTTGCGACCCAGTACTGGGTCACGGAATGCAAGGCACTGGTTGCCTTGCTCAGCACCCAGGATCCCTGATAGCCGGCCAGTAAAAACTAGTAAAAACCTGTTCTGACACCACGCTGCACCCCTGAAGCAGCCAGCAGCAGGTTCAGCTCATAGGCAGGGGGGCCACGGGGCTCTGCGCACTGCCCCCGCCCCAAGCACTGGCAATACACTCCCATTGGCCGGGCGATGACTGCGGGCCTCCACCTAGGAGCCGGACTTGCTGGCTGCGCCTGCGCTGCTGACCAGGAGCCGCCGGAGGTAAGCCCATGCCCCAATCTCCTGCCCCAGCCCTGAGCCCTCTCCTGCATCCCAAACCCCTCATCCCCAGTCCTAGCCCAGAGCCCTGACCTCCTCCCACACCCCAAACACCTGTCCTAGCCCAGAGCCCCCTCCCACACCCTGAACCCCTCATTCCCGGCCCTACTCTGCAGCCCTCACCTCTTCACCCCAACTCTCTGCCCCAGCCCTGAGCCTCCTCCCACATCCCAAACCCCTCATCCCCAGCTCCGTTGGATCATGGGCATCAACAATTTTCTTCAATTGGGTCACCAGAAAAAAAGTTTGAAAACCACTGCTCTAGTGGGAATATGCACATGTTGTATCTTGGTCATTGGAAAGATGCAGCAAACCTGTTGTGCCTTGTCTAGCCACTTGTCTAGCCTGATTCTTGGTGGGTGCGACATAGCTCGCTTTTGGTTCAGGCAGCCTGACTGGTACATGTTGAGTCTGCCAGGCTGAGGTGAGTCTGCACATGGCTCTGACAGGCAGAGTGGCTAGAGGTTGTCTGAAGCAGGTTGGAAGTGGTTGCTGATTGGGTGTCGCTGATGGGTGTTCCTGCCAGGTGAGGTCAGCTCTTCTTTTGTTGTTCAAAGTGGAGTTCGGTCCCATCAGATATGCTGTTGATTCCAGTGTGCTGAGGCACAAATTCATTCTGATTTCTACCTAGTCCCAGCTATGTGAATTATTTTGCTCCTAGCAGAGAGACAAATCCTGCAGTCCTTACTCAGTCCAACTCTCACTAGAGTTAATTTTGCATGAGTGAAGGGTGTAAAACCAATCTCAGACTGGGCATGCTAAGAAAACAAGAAAAAAATATAGGGTGAGATATTCTAAAGACCCTATTTCTTTTAAAAAATGACTTGGGGACTTAATTATTTGCACAACTCTTGTCCTGATTTTTTAGGGCGCCAGCCATACTGAAAAGTTGAAAAACATTTGTTTTGAGTCGAACAAAACATTTTTTTTCAACCTGAAACAAAACGTTTCCATTTCGGTTTTGAACTGTTAGAACTTTTTAAAAAATAAAATTGTAGAAAATGTTACCCACAGTCTCCAGCAGCTATCGTCTTACTCCTGCTGTGAGACAGCAGCATCCCCTGCTTCCCGGCTGTGGACAAAGACCATCAGAAACGGTCATGCTGCTGTGGGCAGGTTTTGCTCCCAAGATTTAAAGTGCCTGGCTAAGATTTTCAAAACTAGTGAGTGATTTTCAGTGGCTTCATATTTAGGTGCCCACATTCTGAGACCTCAAAGGGGTCTGATTTTCAGAAAAGCCCCTTTTAGGTATCTCAACTTGGACATCTAAAAATGGGGCCCCCCAAACTCACTAGTCACTTCTGAAAACCTTGGCCCTGAGTTTGCACTCTAACAGTAACTGGTGAAGTTAGAGGCATTGTGGGGCCAAGTTCATCCCCAGAACAACTCCTCTGAAGTCACTAGAGTTACCCCAGCAATTATTTCCACCTCTCAACTCTTTCTCTTTATGGGACTGGTAGCAAGTTAACTTGCTTCCATCATGTGCATTGTTGGCTTGTTAACCAAACAATAGAGAGACTTGTTTGTGACCCAGTTTTTAAGTACCTGCAGTGTTCTGCCCTAGCACAAGCTGTTTGATCAGAACAGATGGCCATCACTAGGGTCTGATTTATGGACTCTTGTGAGGCAGAGGAAGCAGTTGTATGCCTTTCAGTACAATAGGCTCTCCATAATGATATCTAGTTCACCTTGACACTCTCATGAACTTCCTCAGCTCAATGATATACAGTTACCCTTTGCAGCAAGGGGGAGGGGAAAAGCATGAACATAGCTGTTGTGCTGATGACTTGTTTCATTTCTGAAGGCTCAGGGGAACTATCCAAGTGAATGTGTCTATGTCCATGATCCATTAGGCTTCAACGTCCTGAAAAAGGGCTGTGCCAGGTACTGCAATCAAACCATTCTGGTAAGTGTGACGTATCGTATGCAAGGGCACATTTCAATTCAAGAGAGCTTAACTTGGCTTCTCCTGGCTTAGCTAGAGGAGAGTGTTTTGCCTTGAACCGGTTGGTTCCCAACTGGGGTACAAGTGGCCGGGGGGGCAGGGAAGTGCTCCCACACTAAGGGTATGTTTACCCTGCCGTCGGGAGGTGTGATTGCAGCATGTGTAGACGTACCCACGCGAGCTTTGAGCTAATCTAACGTGAGTAACAATAGCCGTGAAGCACAGGTGGTGGCACGGCTAGCTCCACTCACCCAGGCCCCTGGGTACATACTCAGGTCGGTGGCTACCTCCCATGCTACCGTGGCTTCACTGCTTTTGTCGCTGGCTCGTGCATGACAAAGCTAGCTCAGATATGTCTAAACCTGCTTCTGTCACATCTCCCACCTGCAGGATAGACATACCCTAAAGGTGTGGATATACTTCATGCCAGGGGTGTGATTCCCAGCTCAAGGAGACACAACCGCACTAGCACTGATCCAGTTAACATGCTAAAAATTGTGTACAGCTGCAGCCGCACAAGCAGTGGGAAGGGCTAGCTGCCCCCAGTGCACACCCAGATGAAGCCATAGATACGTACTCAGGGCAGCTAGCTTCTACTGCTCACGCTGCTGTGGCTATGCTATTTTTAGCATGCTAACTCAATCAGATCTAGTGCGAGTATGTCTCCTTGAGCTGAGAATCACACCTCCCACTCAGTGTCTATATCCTGTGTCCTGCCACTGGACTGGGGATGGACTGCACTAACTGGGGAAGTTCCCTCCTAGGGGTAAATATTCAGTAAAACACTTGAGGATTGATCTGTATGACTCCGCCGTTAAGTGCTGATGGAAGCTGCGTGGCTAAATCTACACGAGCCACCTTGAATGTGACAGGCTGAGGTGAAGGAAACATCGTAACAGAGAGCATGATGTTTATGACAGCTCCTCTTCTATCACAGAGCCCCACACGTCTCTCAAAGGAAACAGAGTGCAGTTAGAGAGTGCATGTTAAGCTTGCAGAGTGATCGTATCCTGTTGCTGAAACTCTATCAGGTGTTTTGGGAAACAGCCTCATCCTGGCTAGAGATGTCAAGCTGCTTGCAAGTGATCAGTCATCAGGGAGCCAAGAGTACACACTGACCTGTGCGCGTCTTGTGAAATGTTTGCCTTCTATTTGTTGTGCTTCTGTTAGCAAAGCATATCAGCTCCCTGGAGTGACCCAGCAGGAGCACTCGCCTTCCTAAACGATGCAGATTTTGGCAGGGATGGACAAAGGGCAGCCATGGCTCAGAACAGTCAAAAACACAGGGCCCCAAAATCCAGCACATGGGCAGGAGGGGAAGGAAGTAGGTTTTGCTGGGGGGGGAACCCTGGTTGGGTGCGGTAAGAGGGTATTGCTGGGGGGAAAATTGAGGTGTGGGGGATATTGGAGGCATAGTTCAGAATCCAGGTCAAATAGTCCTTTTGATTAATCCACTGCCACTGGAAGAACTGAATTTAACACTTGCAAATGGAGAACGGCAGACTTGTAGTCTGAGCACTGAGAGGAACAAGAGAAAGAGATCTGAGTTCAGACCAAATACGTGTTGTATGGTGTTTAATACACTAAGCTTCTCCACACGGTGTACCAATGTTCTGTCTTTTTCAGAAACCTGGGTGCTGCAAAGGATTCTTTGGTCCTGACTGCACTCCATGCCCTGGTGGATTCTCCAATCCATGCTACGGCAGAGGGAATGTAAGTGCACCAGAACCCACTATGTTGGACCCATGGCTGGATTATACTAGCCTTTTCAAACTCCTAGTGGGAAGCTGGGGAGTTCGGCCATGTGCATCTAATTGGCAGTGTTTACTAGGAATTCACATTCTTTGCACCAAACATGGAAATTATCAGGGTCTTGTGCTCAACTTTGCAAAGGCCAAAGAAACAGAACACACAAAGCTTGGGTATAGACAAAGGATGGGAAGGACATAATCTCAATTCTGTTACTCTTGCTCTCCATCTTAAAGAGTGGATACATCTTGTCTTTGCTTCTTTCTTTCTCTGCCTCTTTTTCTCCTGACAAGAGGCATCGTTTACAGTCTAGAGAAAGTAAGGACAGTGTCTGTGCTGTACATAGCCATTGATTTCTCTATACTACACCTTTAAATGTGAGAGGTCTGCCTGTCTAGCCAGGGAGCAGGCTTGTGAGAAAATTAAAGACAGACAGTCTTACAGATGGGGAGCAAGGCATTTCTTTCTGTCTCCTGGAGCTAGAAAACAAAAACATAGCTACGCACACCACAATGTCTGGTACTGAGATTAATGCCTCTTCTAGGATTTATACCAATGTAACTCAGAGCAAAATGTGTCCAGTAGCTACCGCTCCTACCATATTACTCACATTACATGCATATATGACTGTATACAAGTTGTCAATGCCCTGCGCAGAAGTGAAGTACTGCATGTTGTATTTGCAAGGCAAGTTATGGCTGCTGTTGGAACTAAACTTAACATTTCCAAGCTGTTGTGCTTTCAAATCTCACTATAACGTTTCATTCATGGAGTGTCTTTTTTCACAGTAATAGTGTAAATCTGTATTCATAACAGATATCACAGTGTGACATACAATAGGCAGGGTTAACTTTTCTCTCTTGTGGAAGAAGACTCGATCAAGGCTATGGATTAATATATGTTCAGGGCTGATCCTTCTAAACAAAATAACCCTCAGAGCCAAACGCCATGGGAAGAACAATGTGTGCTCATCTGCTGCAATTCCAAATGGTATTTGTCAGTGTGTTTTCTGTCTCTGTAACTCTATCTGGGGCTCAAATACAAAATATTACAAGGCATTTGGCGCTAGCTCTGTAGGAACTGACTGCTATGCAGGATTTTCGATTACCACAAGAAACTTTTTTTGTTTTTGTTCTGAATGTACAGGAAATAATTCACGTCATCACTACACACTCATCTTATTCCCACTGGACACAGGTCACCCGGTTTACATAAAGTAAAAGCACTTGAAACTTCATCCAAAACTTGAGCCGAATTTTTTCTGATACTTGAAAAAGTTTGGTCTGTTTTTCTCTTCCACTTTGCATGTGCTTCCTGCCTGCAGCTGGGACCAAAAGCAGAAGCTCCAAAAAATCACGAGTGTGTGTTCACATGAGATTTCCAGCCCAGTTTTGCAGACCCCAGAGGTCTGAATAAACATCTGAACTTTCAGCTGCTGTCTCAATTTAACTACCCTTTTAACATCCAGCTTCTTTGCTTCTGGTCACCAGTAGCATGTTAGCCTGTGTGGTTTTTTCTTGCTCCTAAAATGGTTCACAATCCTCCACGCTTTTCTGGAGCATGTGAGGTTTCACTTTAGACATTAATGTCTCTGTCACACATATTTTCCCTCCACCTTGCTCACTTCAGTTTTCTTTTTGCTTTCCTTCTAGTGTAGTGATGGGCTTCAAGGGAATGGCAACTGTCTCTGCTTTGAGGGTTTCAAAGGAATAGCCTGCCACATCTGCTCAAACCCAAACAAGCATGGGGAGAACTGTGATGAAGGTCTGTAATTCCTCAAGAAAGCAACCCTGATGGGTAACAGGCAGTAAACTGAGCAAAGTGGGCGTGGGAATGTAGGCATGGAACCTTTCCTAAGAGGGAGCTCTATGGACTAGTTTCACAAGGTAGGCCCTTCATTTGGGTTATTTCATGCTGGAGTAGGCAAAGCACGGATCAATGTCTGGCAGATGGAGTTGGGCTCAACTGAAAAATTCAGATCCAGATTTTGGAACCCCCCCAGCAGTGTTTGAAAGTGTTTGGATCCATCTCTGTCAGGAGGGAATGACCCAATACATCTTTCCCATCTCTAAGTGCTCTGAGGGCCTGGAGTCCAGTGACTGAAGATAAAATGCTGTCATCCTTGCTTACCAGCCCCAGATAGGGTCTAACCCTGATGGTTTTGAATGAGATGGCTTTGAACATCCATTTCCATTAGCGTAAAGGCGCCCCCCCCCCAGCTTTACTCATAATAACATCTTGCCAGATCCTTGGTTGGTATAAATTAGCATGACTGCATTGAAAACAGTGGAGCTGCATTGACTTATGCCAGCTGAGGATCTGTTCCATTAGGCATATTTTCAGGAAAAGCAGAAATGTCTCCCAGGTGACTTCTAAGAATTGAGAACTAATCTGACAGTCATTTGGCTTGAGAAGAGATTGCAAGAGAAATTGGAAAATCTAAAAAGTGCTCTCTCTGCAGGAGTTTGCCAACTCACCAGGCAACTGATTCTTCTCCGTGCGTTTGACAGATTGCGGTTGCATCCATGGAATTTGTGATAACAGGCCAGGCAGCAGGGGAACGTGCCAGTCCCATTCATGTAAGGATGGCTATACAGGGGAATTCTGTGACAGAAGTTCTCAGAACTGTGGCCCGACTGCATCTCAGTATTGTCACCAGAACGCAGTCTGCAGCTCCAACAACACAGCAAGGTTATTATTTACATTGCGGGGGGGGGGGGGGGGGGGAGAAGGTACACTGGGGCAAGGGCTGTGTCGCTGTGCATGTTTGTACAGCAGCTTGCACAGTGGGGCTCCAGTAATATAAATAGGATGTAGCCAGCTCTGTGTATTGGTGAGTATGTGATTGTCTATGCCACAGGAAATCACAGCATCAAAGAATGTCCTCACCCTGTTAAAGATGTGCAATCCTCTCATTGCTGAATTTTAATAGGGCAGTGCTAGCAGACACCCTCTGCCTCGCTGCTCTTCTGTGCTTGGGAATTCATGTCTCTTTGTGCTTGGTTTTTAAGGTGCATCTGTACTGATGGCTATGAAGGGGATGGATTTTCCTGCCTGCCCATTGATCTGTGTAGGAAGCCGGAACGAGGAGGCTGTTCAGAAAATGTGAGTGGGTAACACGGAGGAAACATTAGCTACTGGCTAGAGCTGGGGTCCAGGATTCAGGAGATCTGTTCCCAGATCTGCCACTGACTCGTGTGGCCTTGGACACATTATTGGACCTGCTTATGCCTCAGTTTCCCCTTCTGTGATATAGGGTTAAACCCCACTTACCTCCCAGTGGTGATGTGAGGTATAATGAATTCAAGTTTGTAAAGCACATTGATGCCTGTGACTCTATGAAATCAGATGTAATTTTAGAGTAATTGTCTATAGAACCCTTTTGGTTTCATCCCTGTTAGTACAAATCTATAGGATTTATCCATGGATTTTTCTCTCCCCACCCTGACTTTGGAACAATTAGAGTCAGGTCCCAGAGAATCCATCCCAGGTTTTATGCAAGACCTAGTTATGGAGACAGTAAAAACAGACCGATATTTTCACCCACGCCCTGAATCTGAGCCTCTTGGAGAGGTTGAAAAGTCTGCATTCCACAGATCTAAAAGAAGCCAGAAGTGGAAATGCCATAATATCATGAGGGAGTTCCTCCTGCATCATTGCCAGCCCAATGGGAAGTGCATGAAATCTAACAAGAGCACCTGTTCTCATAAGATTCACAACCCAATTTTGCAAAACTAAAGATCTGGATGGTTTGAGCAAGAATCTGTTTAATTGTTCATTCAAAGGTGTTCAGATACTGCAGTGATGGGGACTATCTAAATATCTAGATAGAAACCCACACTTCTGAGATTTGCCCATGGTTACACGTTAGGGTGGTGAAGTGGAGAGGTGCAGAAGGAATTGCAACGGTTTAAGAGGCTTTTTCCGAAACTATACCAAGTCTTTCTGCCTCTCTTCCAGTTGGTTTTTAATCAGTATTATTTTAGAAACCAAGTTTATTGTGCCTTGTTTTGGGAACCAGTCAGCTGCTATTTCCCATGGGTAACTGGGTGGTACCAGAGCAGGTGAGAGAGGTATTCCAAGACCCATTCATCTATTACAGGGACTGTTTATTATTATTTTTTGTAATCTACTGATGAATAGCGCTATATAACAGCCGGATATTATGATGATGCTGTTACACATCTGCAGCCTCCTGGGATTTTGCAGCAGTAGGTGTAATGCTGCCCTGTGGCTGGGTCATTGGCAGTGGGTTTGAACTTGGTCCTCTGAATCTTAAATACGTGACTGCTACTGCTTGAGCCAGGGCTTTAACAGACTCCTCAACCTCTGTCTGTGCTCAGCCACCACTAGACAGGGAGAGAGCACCACACAGACTGTTTACTCAGCGCTTCACAGCAACATCAGGGATAAAATTCTCATCCTCCTCCAGAACCCGTCTCCTACTGCTTGAGCTCACGGTGAATTTCTGTTAGCAGTGTAGGGCCTATGACACACAGCTGAGCAGTTCTGATTCTACCCAATTGGGGGATACTGTTTAACATGTGCATTAGCCAGTTAATTATATTACTTCCTGGGAAGGTTTCTCATCCTCAGTGGTTTTATTTTAATTTGTTTTAATGTGAGTTTAATTTGCTTTTCTCCCCTCCCCCACAGGCCATATGTACCAGTACAGGCCCTGGTACTGCCACGTGTCAGTGTAACAAGGGCTGGACTGGGGACGGCAAAGCCTGTGTTGCTATAGATAACTGTGTGCTGGAGACCAGAGGGGGCTGCCACATGAATGCAGACTGCAGCTTTGTTGGACCTGGGCAGGTATATTCAGCATTAACTGGTCCATCGCTGAGATTTATGGACACTTGCTATGTACACAACACTGTAGCCATCTGAAATTCTAGGAGCAGCAATTTTTGTTGCTCCAGGAACGTCAGCAGCAAGGCCTACTCGACTGGTGTTTCTGAAAGAAATTGGCTTCCATGAAATCAGCAAAATTTAGTCCTTATATAGTAAGTTTCAATGAAATACTAGTAACCAATAAAAAAAAACCTGAGAATTCTTTGAATAGCAAGGACTTAGTTTAATAACTTTTTTTTTATTTAAAGCGCTCCCCACAGACACCTCTCTAGCAATCTTTCCCCATACACAGCATTGCACAACTAGTCAAGGGCATTATGGGGGTAGCTCCTTCTCCTGAAGCATCAGGTGTAGGCCACTGCCAGAAGCACAGCTTCATGGGCTGTTAGTCTTTCCTGCCACAGGGAGTTCTGGGTTCCTGTGTCCTGTAGGTTCTGGTTTCAAACAACTGATATGTGGAGGTAGGTTTGAGGAGTGTTAAAATATAAAATAAATACATCAAATAGCCACAGCAGTTAAAGTAGCCATCCATTTGGGCAATTTTCTGTCTCTTTAACCATCTTCAAAGTAGGAAGGCCCTTAGTTTGGCCTGTATTTTTTTCTCATCTGTTGGCAAAATCCATGGTAGTCTTTTAATTTCTTTTTAATTAAAACAAGAGTTAGTAAATCAGCATTCCTGAGTCTGACAGGATCCTTGGGGTCCAATCTGGAATGATGCTATTCTAGTGACAAACAGCAAACCCCTCCAGATGCTGTGATCACTCAGCCACCAGCATACAGAGACACACCCAGCTAAATTGCATGAATGCGCTCTAAGCCACGCATGAACTATACACAAGGAAACACCAGAAAATCTCCCAAGCCCCCAGCCTTGCACCCCAGAAATATACAGCCTTTTACACTGCTCAAGAGTAGACCTCCTCTTGAACAATGCAAGGTCATTAATCAGTTCACCATTTTGTCAAAGGATGGGGGACACATACCAGGCTTCATATTCTGAGCGGATTCCCCAAGCACTTTAGACAAACTGACTGGTAAAACTAAAACGTTAAAATAAGCTTAGTAACTACAGAAAGATAGATTTTAAGTGATTATAAGTAGTAGACATATAGAACAAAGGTGGTTACCTAAGAAATAAAAGTAAAATCACAGTCTAAATTCTAAATTTTATCAGACCAAGCAAGAGTTGAATCAAACAGCTTTTCTCACAGCACTGGATGTTGCAGATAAGTTACAGTTCCTAATACACAGGCTGAATTTCCTTGTCAGTCTGGGACCAGTCTCCTCAGTTCAAAGTCTGTCTTCCCAGTAGTGTTGTTGTCTTCAGTGTAGGTCAGGTAGGAGAGAGATGGTCTAGTGATGCCACTGTCCCTTATTTTCTACTCTCAATTATGGTCCAGACATGTCCTGGTGGGCCTTGCTGAGTCAAGAGTTGAGCAATCCCCATTGTGTGGTGTTTGTGTAACTGAGTCATAGAGTTGAGCAATCCTCATTGTGTGGTGCTTGCACAATTGTGTCTTGTTTGCAATTCCCCTGCTGGTCAATGGCTCGTAATGGTCACTTAACGTACGTTTGGGTGTGGGTCACCACCTTTGTTGTCACTTGAGAGCTAGCAGTGGGCGTCTCCCAAACTCGCAGCATATTTCAATAACAACCGTCTCAAGTTGTTGAGCAACAAGTTGAGCAAAATCTCAACTTCGTGTACAATGATGATATACACATTTTGACAGAACAGTGAATTTCAGCAAGGCATGCTTTGTATGAAATGCCACCACCATACCAATGATGAATATGGGGGTTACGTTGTGATACTTTGAGGTATAGTGTGTCACACTGAGAGACCCTACAATAACAAACTAGTGCATGCTGGAGTGCTTTATATTCATGAGCAACCCTACCATAACAAACCAGTGTGTGCTCCGTAACAGAGGGAAATAGCCTGGTAAAGAAATATTTCCATTTCAGACTTTCCAGGGACGGTTAACAACCCTGAGAAGAAAATCATTTTAAAAATTAACTTAAAAGTAGACCTTGACCCAGACTCATTGAAAGAGGGATGGCATTAGTTGTGCAGTTGGGACACTCTGATAGGTCCGTAGTGAAGATCCTCCCTCTCTCTTCTACTTTCAGAGCAAGTGTATGTGCAAGAGGGGCTATGCTGGTGATGGCTATAACTGCGACCCCATTAATCCTTGCAAGCTGGACAACGGTGGCTGCCATGATTTGGTGAGTAGCTGGAGAATTCTCCAAAATCCTTCATGGGAGAGAATGTCGGGCCAGATCCTCAGTGGATGTATTTCGGTGTAGTGCCACCGACTGCAATGGAGCTATGTTGATTTACACCCACCGATAATCTGGCCTAATCCGTCTGTCTTTGTTGTGCAATAATCACATCTACCTGTGATGAAGCGTCAAGGCTTTGTGGCCATTCGTTTTTCTTGTTTGTTCACACTCCCGTGTTTCACGAGGTTGTGCTAGAAGGTTTGGGGGGGGGCATAGTTCTTAGGTGTACAGTGAAAATACACTATTTCAGCATACAGGACCATGAGAGGAAGGATGGCATTGTAGTTAATGCCCTATCCTGGGATTTGGGAGACTGGAGATCAGTTCCCACATTTGCCACAGGGTTCCTGTCTGTTTGATTACACCGTAATCCTTCATTTTCTTGTCCTCACAGGCTGCGTGCAAGCCTCTTGGAGGAGGGGAGAGGTCCTGTGCTTGCGCTCCCGGTTACATGGGAGATGGATTTACATGTTATGGAGATGTATTAAAGGTAGGGAGAAAATGAACATTATTCTCTTTTAATACAAAGAACAAGGGTTTTTTGCAGTAGCTGACTGGCTCATACTAAAATCTGCAGGTGACGACAGCTGACGGTTTGAATCATAGAATTATAGAACTGGAAGGGACCTTGAGAGGTCATCTAGTCCAGTCCCCTGCACTCAAGGCAGGACTAAGTATTATCTAGACCATTCCTGACAGGTGTTTGTCTAACTTGTCTCCAATGATGGAGATTCCACAACCTCCCTAAGCAATTTATGTATGTACCAATGATACATGTTGATTCTGGACTTGATTATTAGAGGCTAAATGTACATAATTTTACTAACAGTTGCTACTTCTTGAAGTATGTATAAAGTACTTAATTCAAAAACAAAATAATTAAAACCTATGTCAGCGTATGCTTCAGTAATGCTATCAATCCTTTGCCAATTTTCCATCCTGACTGATATGTTGAACTGTCCAGTTTGAAACTTCAGCATCAACTTGAAAAAAATCCATACGTCTGTTTGAGTTGTGTCCCATGAATTAAAGAAAAGGGAAGCGGGGAATAGTTTGATCCCTGCTGTATTATTGTTGTTCAAGATGTAGTGACAGCTCTCTTGATTTACTGAAGAGTATTGCTGTAGGATACCACCCTCTGCTTTTCCATCAAAATAGTTACAGTTCCCAGGAGTGACAACTCTCTACACAGTGTGCATGATAATCAAGTTGGGCCATTTCCTGCACAAATCCAGGTTCTCTCACCCCCCTCCCAAAAACCACACACACAAACTCACTATCCAGCAGGATAGTGAGTTTGTGTGTGTGGTTTTTGGGAGGGGGGTGAGGGGGTGAGAGAACCTGGATTTGTGCAGGAAATGGCCCAACTTGATTATCATGCACACTGTGTAGAGAGTTGTCACTTTGGGTGGGCTATCACCAGCAGGAGAGTGAATTTGTGTGGGGGGGGTGGAGGGTGAGAAAACCTGGATTTGTGCTGGAAATGGCCCAACTTGATGATCACTTTAGATAAGCTATTACCAGCAGGACAGTGGGGTGGGAGGAGGTATTGTTTCATATTCTCTGTGTGTATATAAAGTCTGCTGCAGTTTCCACGGTATGCATCCGATGAAGTGAGCTATAGCTCACGAAAGCTCATGCTCAAATAAATTGGTTAGTCTCTAAGGTGCCACAAGTACTCCTTTTCTTTTTACAGAGAACATACTTTCCCTCTCTCCTGCAAGGGGGGGTTGAGAATTCATGGTCTAACAGGGTCCCTGCCCACGCTTTCCCCCCTCTAGAGTACCTGATCTGACTCTTCTTACCATAGTCCGCATGGCAATCTGATGTATTTCCCCCTCTCCCTGGGTAGAGCATTAGTATGTAGGCCCAAGTTATAATGTAAACTACCAACAACAATTTCTGACAATTTCTGACTTGTGCCCTAGGTGTGTGATGTTGCAGAGCTCATATGAATCCTTCATTAATTAGAGAGGAGCCTAAGATCTGACTTGAACTTTGGGGAAGTTCTGATTTGGGTCTGGTTCTGAACTCTGTGCCCCATCTGAGTAGTTAGAAAAGGCAAAGGTTGTCAAGGAATTAATCACCTTAAACTTGAAATTAGATAAACTTGCAATACTTTGCCAATTATAAAAAAAAAATCAAGAGTTTAGATCCAGCTCTCTGACTTCGGAACACACCTTTGTGAGTGACGCGTTGCTTCTGAAAGTTCTGTGTAGGCAGGCAGTAAGCACTTGACTCAATCAAGTTTGCTGTGTTTGAAACTTGAAATAACAAGGATCACAGGACCACCCTTCCCTCCCCCTGCTTCATCCCTCCCTACTAATCTTGGTGTTGCTTTCTCTTTTGGAAGGAGCTGGCCAGGAATTCCCACTTTGCAGGCTTCTATGAGTGGATTAAGGTAAAAAATGCTGCCTGACGCAATTACAAGTGTTTTTGTAAAATATAAATTGTAAAAAAAAAAAAAAAAAAAAAAAAAGCAGCAAAGATCAAAGATGCTGTTTTTAAATCTGCTGTTAAGAGGCAATTTTCCTTTGCATGTGTTGTTTAAAAAAAGGGGCGGGGGGGCAAATCAAGCTGAACTTGCTAATGCATGGTACATTAATCAAACAGTCCCCACCTTTAGCTCTGGAAATGGTGGAATTTTTAAAATTACTGTGTATTTTAAAGTTTCAAATTAGTTGAGACAGTTTTATAGATTGTTCTAAATGGTTTGATTGATTGCATTTAGCTATGTTTTTAATAGCACCATGTGAAAGGTCAGTGAGGAGCAGGCATGTACCCTCTTAAGTTCTCAGCACGATTTTATTACATACATCTGAGTGGTGAGTCACATGGCTAACTGCATACACTGAGACACCTGTTCTAGAGACTGTAACTGTGGACCCATTGGCTCGTATGGCGTGTTTTAGGGACCATGCTTCTCGCTCTGGAAGAAACTGAGACCATCACATACTTGACCTTCATACCATATATTGCTGCTAACTCATGGCTCTTGTAAAGTAGCTGACTGCCTTGGGTGAAAGACAGAGACAAAAAAGTCATGGGACTAATATACAAATAGCAACCCTTCAAAAGTAAGAGTAAAGTTAAAAATTCGGGTAGCTCTTCCTTTCCCTTTCTTGTTACTGTCTTCTGTTCCCATTGGGACAGGGGGGTAAGCACTTCATGGAATGGAGCTGGCCACTGAAAATGTTCCCCAACACATGGGGCTAAACTTACAAGCAGGCACAACACCCATTCCATCAGTTACACCTGCATTTGCCAGATCATATTTGGTCCTTCGTCCAAATCTGGCCTTGGGTGTTCAAAGGCATTTACTGACTCAAGTGAATGTGCTCCTATTGGAACCATTTTTGAATAAGGTGACCTTTGGCACTGGCAATATAAAAAATATTAAGAACTTTCTCCTTCAGCAGCACCTGTTCTGGGGTTTGTTCCTTGAAGCTGCAGATTTCCTAGGTTCAGCATCCAGCAAATTAAGGTTGGACTGCTGTGGAAAAATTTTCCATGGCATTTGCTGACTCCCACCAGAACTTATTTCCCAGCCACCAACCCAACCACCAGCACAGCTCTGGGTACATCTGAATTTAAGCTTTAGTTCCACACACTAATCTTACATGCAGTGGGAGTGGGATCATAGCTACAAACATTTGTACTGCGCTGTAGATGTAGTGCTGACTTGTTTTATTTGTGCATCTACTTGCTCTGGACGACAGAAGTCTCTCTTCAGCATCCCAGCAGGAGTCAATGTCACTGTTTTGGTGCCCTCAGAAGCCGCCATCAGAAACCTGAGCCAGGCCGAAAAAGATTTCTGGCTGAAGCCCTATACGCTGCCATTTTTAGTCAGGTATCGTTGCACTGTTACCATGCTCTTTAATTCAAAACAGCCCTAACTGAGGGCTGGAGATTGGCGTTCTCTCCGTATCATCACAGGGTAAAAACATAGCAGAGGTGAAACATCCAGCTGATGAAATGTTTATTGGATGATTCAAACATAACAGAGGTTAGAAGATACAATGAAGGTTTATTAATTGCATATTAAAGGCAGGATGTTTCTCCCAGCCATGATGCAGAAGCAGCCCCACAGTGGGAGAAGGAACAGGGAATTCTCTCTGCATGCTGCTCTTTCTGCATAGAACATCTGGCCATACAGAAGATGTGAGAGGAGCATGAAACCTGCAGCTCTCTTACTTATCCACATCTTCTGGGGAGGGAAGGCAGGTGGTGACCCACAGAAATCTGGAGTTGGGCCCAGGGAAGATTAGTGGGATCAAAAAGGGGAGGGTGTGTGAATACTGGCTGGGGAATATGGAACTGGTCAGGCTGGTGGGCAGGATGGAAGAGTTAAGGTCAGAGTTGTGACTGGTATTGAGGAGCAGGCAGATGATGGGAGGAGTTTTTAAAGCAGAGGGGAGAAGGAGAAAGTACTGAACTTGTGAGGAGAGGCAGCTTGGCTGAGTTGGTGCTGGAGGTGATGGTACACAGAAGTTGCTGCAGCTAGAACTGGGAGGGATCAAAGGTAGCTCAAACCCGATGTTGCTGATGGAGAAGGGGAGAAATCTGGCATCTTCTTCCTTTTCAGAAGTGCAGGTGAGAAATGTGCATTAATGCCCCCCTATAATACTGGCTGCTGAGATTCACTATTGCAGCCAATTGCCTGGAAGAGTGGAGTGACCACCAAGTCCTCTGCTTTCCACTGAGCAGGGCTCAATCTCCCTGTCCCCTTCACACCTACCCCAGCAGAACTGGAGCAGAACAGTCCTGACTCTGTCCTCAGGCAGAGTACCAGGCTGTCTAGCTTAAGGGAAAAACAGAGCACCATCTGCCCCACATCCTGGGCTCCTCTTCCCCCTCCTTACCACACAGCAACCACTGGGCTGTGTCCATCCAGTGTTCATCCTCCTATCCATGCTCCCCTCAGTGTAGCTGCTGGGCTCATGCATCCTCATATCTGGTCCCAGTCAACTTTTGTATGTGGTTGCATCTATGCACGAGGTAGAAGGAAGGAGCATTTTGCCCAATGGGCCAATTTCTGGGGCCTCCTACAAAGCTAGAGTAAACTGGCCTTTCATGGGCAAGCTACACCAGGGTTAGGGAGGGACCACACATACTTATGAAGGCCAAATGTAGAGCAGCCGCTCGATGGCTGCAAATACAGCTCACTGGCTGTATAGCAGTTGCAGGGCTGCATGGTGTATCTGTGTAGTTCATTGCCAGCAGTTTGGGTTTGGGGCAGATGTTTGCATTAGCTTTTATTGTATTCAACCCATTTCAGCCATCCCTAGTTGAAATGCCTCATTGAGGGACTTTGTGTTGTGGAGAGCTTAGGGACCAGGAGGGGAGGAGCTAGAGTACATGAGTTAACGTGAGCATTGGTTCAATGTCGCGATTAAACTCCCTGCAGAGATGAACTTTAGATAGCACCTACATCCTGTTGCAGAAATATCGAATCCTGGAAACACCTAAGGCTCGTAACCTCTTGCAGCTGAGTGACCTGCTATACTTTCAGATTAGCTTGAGTGATAGAGGGCTGCATGTTGTCAGTTGTTATCACCATACCAAGGGATTAATGCACATAATGACGTGGATATTGAGAGGAGGCCAGGCCCAGGGTTGTGGAGAGCAAGCTACATGATCAGACGGCAGCCAAGATAAGCCAGTCTACTTCAGAGGTCTGTGTTATAAAATGTGCTCTCAATTCTTCTTTACATGCACCTGTCACCTACAGGGCCCATTTTCTCCAAGGTTCCTTCACCAGTGAGAAGCTCAAAGAGTACAAGGGTGAGGAGTTACCCACTCTCAATCCACGGACCAGATGGGAGATAACCAACAGCAGTGGCGTAAGGGCTTTTTAATTGACGTGTGTATATTGGTAGCAAATTAAACAACACGTTTAGGGATATACTGTGCTGGAGGAGCCATTGGTAAGGACAATGCCATTAAATTCCTGATGTATCATGTAAGTCTAAGGTGCTGCAGGGGGCTTTGGACACAGATTATGTTTTATTTCACGCCGCTCAGTGACCTACAATGTCCTCATGTTTCCCTCTTGTTATTTTTCAGGCTATAACCATTCAGAATGCAATGATTGTAGTAGCTGACATTCCTGCTATTAATGGCACTATTTATATCCTAAATAAGGTAAATCAGTAAGAACGACGTCTGGAAATACTAGGTTATATTGATGTAACACACTGGTTTTCTGTTGTTTATGGAGGTGTGGGGGATTCAAACAGGATCCAAGTAGAAGCATATAGACAAAAGTAGATCTGGATATTCAGAACTCATTCCAGATGCTGCTTGTGCAGCAGCATTTATATTTAAATCACTGCCCTCAAACTGTGTAGAAGAGTCCAATGCTTGGCTTTTCAAGAAAAGAGTCAAGGCCTGTCCATTCTGGGAGCAGAACCATGCTAACTACAACCATGCGTAATTATTGTCATTGTAGGGCAGGATTGCCGTGTGCTTTTCCCAAGCAGTATCTGACCTGTGGTCAAGCTCATCTTTGTCTTTCTTGCGCTCAGGTTTTGTTACCACCTTTAGGAGATATCCCACCAAGTCGCCCCGGTCTACAGCAACAGCTTGATATGGTCCCCGCATTTACTCTGTTTAAGGAGTTGTTACTGGTAAGCAATTGTTTGGATTCTATTGACTACTAAGTGTAGGAAGTTTTTTTGATAGTATGAAGCCACTGAACCAGCCTAACATTAGACCCAAGCCTGCATGGACAGCCAAGGAAAATCATGGTGATTTTTGTGGTGCTCCCAGGCTATGTTTTGGGACTAGGACAGATTTATAAAGCTGGCTAGCCAGCCTCCCAAAGAAATGAATAACTCCCACAGGGGATCAGACCTCACAGAAATAGAACAAGCCACACCTAATGAAAACTCCTGTTTTAGCTATAAAGCCTCTTTGGAATGGTTAGTTTCTTTGGGAGGTCTGGTAGACATTTTTTTAAATTTTAGCAACTTATTAAAATCATGGACTGGATCTGTAAGACCTTTTGTGTGTTTGTGCATGCGCACATGTACACACCTCAGAATGATAACAAACACTAGAGATGATGCTCAAGCAGGGGACTCGTAGATACACACTGTAAATATGAGAGAGGCCCATTTATCCAAGAAGCTGGGCCAGCAACAGCCAAGCAAGACTTTGGCAGGGTGGATTGCTGCTGTTTCCCATGACTGTCCTGGAAGTCACCTTGCATCTCATCCAGTTTTAAATCATTTCTATTGGAGTTCTTGCCCCAAGCCTCCACCTCCCTAGCTGATAGTCATATTTTATCTTTTTTCATTTGTTTTGGGTTTCTTGTTTACCTCTCGTGCTCTTTTAAATAAAACTAGTTCACTCACTAATATCCCTATTTTGCAACTTTTAGCAGTACCAGCTGATTGGAAAAATTGAGTCCTCTGAAAAATATACCATTTTTGTCCCAGGAAACAATTCAATTGAGGAATATTGCCACGCTTCCAACATTACCCAACTGGTAAGATCACTGTTTGTTTACAGTCTGACTGTGTGTGGTAGTTATCAAGTATGGGGGCCATATTATACCATCAAACTTTAGATCTGAGTACCTAATGAGGAATTCTGCCTAAAATTGTTTTAGTGTATAGAATAGCCAGGAGAAGTCATGTTTCCATACTGCTAACCGTCACCTGCTGAGCTTGATTCTGGACTCCAGCAGCTGCAGCTGGAGAAAGGGCTCTCTGGGATCAGGAAGGGTAATGACAGGGAAGAACAGCAGAAAGAAGAGGAGGCATGGGAGTGGGTAGAGTGGGGGGGGAAGATGTCTGACATTAGGAAGCATGGCAGGAAGGTGTCTCTGCAAGGGGGAGTGAAAGGAAGAGGTTCTCTGGGCTTGGCAATGGAGACAGGTGAAGCAGCATATAAGGAATTTGCCAGACCATATTTAAAATGGCCACTGCTACACAGTGTTGGCCATTTTCAATATCTGGACTCCTTACTTTTAAAATTAGATTTGTATGTAGGCAGATCTAGCAAAATGTCCAAACTCATGGACAGTGCTTATGATTCAGGTAGTTGTCCAATCCCTTAAAGAGACTTCCTAACACCTTTCTGGCTTTTTGGACAAACCCAGTCTTACAGGGTTGTTGGACTTAGTTCTAGAGCTGGTTATGGACATACCTAAGACTTGTGGACTTAGTTATTTCTACACTGTACTTACCTCTAGCTACCTAATATCTGTTTATGAAACAATAATAGGCTAAATGTTTTGCTTCCTGCTGGTCTTGATTTCCAGGATAATGACACTGTGCAGTACCATGTTGTACTTGGGGAGAAGCTCTCCTCTACAGACTTGAAAAATGGAGTCCATAAAAGCACAATGTTAGGATTCTCCTACTGGCTAATGTTCTATAAAAACAACAACCAGGTAAGGATGGGAGGGTTCTACCTGCTGTTCTAGGATGCCGTTGCACAATTTGTGGGCGAACAGTCAACATGGTTTTTGTAAAGGGAAATCATGCCTCACCAATCTACTAGAATTCTTTGAGGGGGCCAAGAAGCGTGTGGACAAGGTCGATCCAGTGGATATAGTGTACTTGACATTTTCAGAAAGTCTTTGACAGGGTCCCTCACCGAAGGCTCTTAAGCAAAGTAAGCTGTCATGGGGTAAGAGGGAGGGCCCTCTCGTGGATCGTTAACTGGTTAAAAGATAGGAAACAAAGGGTAGAGATAAATTACCAGTTTCCAGAGTGGAGAGAGGTAACTAGTGGTGTCCCCCAGAGGTCTGTGCTGGGACCAGTACTGTTCAACATACTCATAAATTATCTGGAAAAGGGAGTAAACAGTGAGGTGGTAAAATCTGCAGATGATACAAAACTACTCAAGATAGTTAAGTCCCAGGCAGACTGCTAAGAGTTACAAAGGGATCTCACAAAACCGAATGACAGGGCAACAAAATGGCAGATGAAATTCCATGCTGATAAATGCAAAGTAATGCACATTGGAAAACATAATCCCAACTATACCTATAGAATGATGGGGTCTAAATGAGCTGTTACCACTCAAGAAAGAGATCTTGGAGTCACTGTGGATAGTTCTCTGAAAAAATCCACTCAATGTGCAGTGGCAGTGAAAAAAGCTAATAGAATGTTGGGAATCATTAGGAAAGGGATAGAGAATAAGACCCAAAATATGATAATGCCACTATATAAATCCATGGTAGGCTCACATCTTGAATACTGAAGGCAGATGTGGTTGCCCCATCTTAAAAAAGATACATTGGAATTGGAAAAGGTACAAAAAAGGGCAACAAACGTGATTAGGGGTATGGAACAGCTTCCGTATGAGGAGAGATTAATAAAACTGGGACCTTTCACCTTGGAAAAGAGATGACTGAGGGGAGGTATGATAGAGGTCTATAAAACCATGACTGGTATGGAGAAAGTAAATAAGGAAGTGTTATTTACTCCCATAACCCAGGAACTAGGGGTCACCCAGTGAAATTAATAAGCATCAGGTTTAAAACAAACAAAAGGAAGTATTTCTTCATACAATGGCTATTAGCCAGGATGATCAGGGATGCAAAACCATGCTCTGAAGTGTCCCTAGCTTCTGTTTGCCAGAAGCTGGGAATTGGTGACAGGGGATGGATCAATTGATGATTACCTGTTCTGTTCATTTACACTGAAGCACCTGGGGTTGGCCACTGTCGGAAGACAGGATACTGGGCTAGATGGACCATTGGTCTGACCCAGTATGGCCATTCTTATGTTCTTAATTAAAACTTCGGCTGCACTACGATACGTAGGCTTCCATTTCTAGGTCACTGGTTCAAACGTAGTTCAGAATAGTAGTGACCAAAAATTGCTCCCATCTGAATCAATTGAGAGGCCTGTGTGAAGTGAGTTGTGGGGTCTATTCTGTGTCCAGTGGACTGGCTCTCAGTTCAGTACAGGTGTTCTGATCATTTAAAAAAAATCATGGCAATTGTGCCCCATCCATACCCTCTTATTGCCCATCTCAGCAGGGAGGCCAGGGTGAACCATGAAGAGTGAATTGTCCTATAAAGCTCGCTCCTCCTGGTTAAGGCCATGGCAGCCATCTCCATGCTGTGCATAGTCATAACAATGTACTCTTAAGTGCCATCAATTCAGCACTCTCTTTTGCAGTTTTTTGAAGAAAAACCAAAATAAATTAAAAGAAAAATAATTTCCTAACTAGCTGTAAAAAAAAAAAAAAAAAAAAAAAAGAGGGAAAAAAAAACATTTTGAGATCTATGGATGAAAAACAATATGGAAGAGCTAAGTATTAGTATTCTGAATAATAATCATCGTACAACATTTTCCTGTGGTGGTGTGCTTTTTTCCCCATGCTTTCTGTGAGTCATGAAATCTTCTCTTCTAAAACAGCAAGCAGGGGAGACATATCAGTCAGCTCTCCATCTTTAGAGCAGAAGCAGTCTGTTAGGATAGAATGCTTTCTAATGTAAGTAGATTAATTTGTATTATTCTGGAGGGTATTAGGTGTCCTGTACCTATAACTACTTCAGTTAGTGAGCTTGTCAGAACTAAACTAAACCAAACATGTTTCGGGTCTGCTCAGTTTTTAGCTAGGAGATCTTCGTGGTCAACCAAGGGACTGCAGCAAGTGGTGATGATTATTCATTAGGTATGATGCTGAGAGTCCCCAGAAGACACTTGGGGGTGCTATTGATGGCATCCCCTTTTGGATGAGATGTTAAAAAGAAGAGTTCCTCAGCACCTGTCACTGAAGCACTCATGTCACTCTTTATAAGAGTTAGTGCAGTTGACCCCAGTGTTCTGTTTGATTTGCATCTTGGGTAATTATATTCTGTCTACCTTAAAAAAAAATCCACTGTAATTTTTACTAGAGAAGTTTGTGCATGCAGAATAGCTGAGGCGCAGCCACTCCAGTGGTGGATGAGCAAAATATACAGTTTGAAAGCAGCTGGATGCTGTAGGATGAAAGGCCTTTGTTAGTTGTATGGTGGCTCTGTTGTTATCATGGTGGCATCCTAGCTTTCTGATCGTTAACCAGACTGTTTTCTTCTCTTTGCAGACATTTGTAAACAACGTCCGCTTAGATGGTAAATTTTTCGAAACCAAGAATGGGATGTTGATTGGGGTTTCTGGGGTTCTACAGATTCGGAAAAATCGTTGCACTGCCAATACCACAGTGATTCAGAAGGTAATTAGCTTTACATAAAGGTAATCACAGCATCAGAGAGCTCTGATATATAGTCGTCTTAACTCAGTCACAACCTGATGGCCTGAACCAGCTAATCTCAACTATACTTCTGTACAGAGCAGCTGCTCACTATGGGCTTGACACTCACACCGTTGAGCCACCTGCAACTCCGAGGCACTGGGGAGTTGTGGGGGCTCAGCATCTCTTAGGATCGGGCCCTGTACTTTTAGATGTAGTTCAATAAACTGCCACATTCACAGACGTAATTCCATACGTTGCTATAGCTGAGAAATTACATTGCATTTCCATGGGTGTGCTAAGGAGGAGGGTTTGTTTCATGTTACATTCTGGCAGCAGTGTTTGTGTTCACAGTTCCATCTTAAAAATAAGACATTGCATGAAACAAACCCATAATAGCCAGGATTTCGCTACTAGAATCATTATGTGCTCAGTTCATTGTTTTGAGCCGGTGAATTTAACGTCTTGATCCATTGTCCAATGTCCTCTCTCTCTATATGATGATTTGCAGAACACTTTAAAACTAGCTTTTGAGTAGGACATTTTTAAAGGGACTGTGTGTGACTTCTCCTGTTTCTTGTCCCTAGTCGAAATGTGCTAAGTGTGACAGAGGGATCAAGTGTCCTTCTGGATCGGTCCTGGCGGTAAGTCTCTGATTCGTTTCATACCCTTGCATGTGGTTTAGGGAAAGCAGCAGTTTTGTTTTCAGCGGTGTGAATTGTGGAGGTAGGTTATGGCAAGCAAGAGGCCAACCCACTATTTGCTCATTCTTCCCTTATATTTATTAAAGAAAAAAGAGAGGTGTTTCCTGTCCTCATTGTTCATGCGTAACCACAGATGGGTTGAGGGCAAATGTGGGCTGTTCCAGCTGGAGAATATGGCACCCTGAACCTTCTCATGGAGCCAATAGTTATGCTGTGCTTGAATTGAAGGATTTCTTTAGAACATGCAGTCTAGAGTGGGGAGTCTGTTGAGCATGGTCTTAATCCATCATTGTGTTCCCATCTGCCTTTTAGGGAATTAGCTGATCTTTGGGTCTCTGCCAGCTACTTTATTTAGGCTGATTGCTGAGGGGCCTTGTGCCAGTGGAAGAGGGAGCTCTGGGAAATTCCCAACCCCCCATGTGAGCAGAGGGGGGGATGAGCCACATCCATAGCTCAAATCAGATGCTGCAATGATTAAACCCTGAATACATAGTGGCAGTGGAGTCAGAGAAGAGTCCAGAGCACCTCTATGAAGGGGGAAAGGCCAGTGGCCAAGTAGAGGCTGGTGGAGAGTGAGATTATTGCCTACATTGGTTGGATGGAGGAAAGTGGGAGAGAAAGGGGGAGAGGGAGGCAGAGTTTGGGGACAGAGAAGGGGGGCTGATGCACTGAAAAGAATATATTTATCTTCAATCGCTCCGAGCAGAACAATTTCCCCATTTTTATATCCACACATCCACCCTGCAATGTCTTCCCCTCCCAGTGACTTAGTCTGAAGAAACCCAGTGCAACCATTTAAACTGTGTCCTCCACTTGTGGGGTACACATTGAGACCTTACCTGACGTCTTTGGGGAGGGGAGACGGATTCTGGTGTTGTGAGCTTTCATACACAGCGTGTGCTGGGAGAGGGTTACGGTAAGAGAATGCATTTCAGTGTAACCAGCCCTGTATTCATGGCACTTGGGGATGAAATATACAGTTGTGCAGAGGGGCTGGCACAGTGCTTAGGCACTACTAAGTCTCATTTCAGACTTATTTTGAGGGCTTAAGTGGTGAATATTCCTTGTGCTGGCCCTCTGAATGCAGTACATGCCCAAATTCTGGTCTATTTAACCCAGCAGAACCTTTCATTGACTTCAATGGCCATCTCACACAAGTATCAGTGAGTAGGATTTGGCCTGAGATCTCTTGTTTTTCCAATACTGTTGCTAGGGAAAACCAGTTTTTCCAGATTAAACTGTTAGTGAGGGTCACACAGATGGGTTCACTTGCCTCTCTGACTTGCCACTTTGTTTTTCAAAGACTGACAAATGTTTGAAAAATAATCAAGTTCTTCCTGCTGGTGGCAGTACTGCATTACATATTGGTGACGTGTGGCACTATTGGTTTATCTAATTCATTACATACCAAAAAGCATGCCAGGCACTTTCTCTTTTACAGGCAGATGTAATGGTTTTATGGAGAATAAAACTCTGGATTTTAGTCATCTGGAGTAACTACACATCAGGGCCTGGGATGCTGGTTTGCTCTCAGCTCTGACATTGTTGAGTTCTTATTGCCTTTCTTACAGACAGGATAAATAGTGTTGTTTTTCTGTTTCACCAGTGCATGGGCTGGCTCTGATATATGCCTGCTTTGATGGGCTGCTGGGTTATAATATTTTTTTAATTTTATCTGCAGGAAACTCCAGGAAAAGGGAAGATGCCACACTGTGAAAATAGGTCTGGATTTTCAAAAGTAGTTGGTTGTTATTTCACCTGTGTTAAAGTTTCCTTAGTAAGTTCAGATTTTAAAGTACATTAACAATAATTTTCAGATTATTGTGAGAGACAAATCTTATGGCATTTTCATACAAGAAGGGGTCTGTGGGCGGGTCCTGAAAAAAACAAACTTGCAGAGATTTCGGTACATTTGGCAGAGTTTTTGTTCCACTGGGGGGTTTTGTAACAGTTTTCCAAATTTTCATGTGTTAATATTACCCCTTTGGACCTGAGAGGCTAGTCAAAGATTGGGGCCCTGTGGATGTTCCAGTTGGGAGCAGAAGTTGAAAGAGTCTAATATTTTCTTTGATGCAGTTTTGTTTATATAAAAGGCCTGTGTGTCTGAATGCAAATGGAATCAAAGAGCAGGAAACAGGTTATTTTGCTCACAGCACCAAAATAACTGTCTTCGCCTGCACTCTGACCCAAAAACCTCTTCCCAGGTTCTTTCAGGGTCAGCCACCATGCTTGGGCTCTCTTCCTCTGTCTGTTCTTGTCTCTTTTCCCTCCCCTACACACATTCCCAGAGCAATACTCAGGAAAAGCTCCCTGGTGGGTTCTCACACACCTTTTGTCTTAGGTGGGATTTAAGTTTACAGTTACTTTAGCTGAAGGAGGAGTTCCCACCTACCAGTCTCAATGGGGTTTTAACTCAACCCATAACAAGATTTCACCCAGCCCATAACCATAGTTCTCTAATACATACATTTTGGCAGACTAAATTGTGTGACTAAGCTGACCAATTGAAACTGACAATACAAAAAATGAAAACAAAACAAAAAAAATCCCAATAGGTCCTTTTTTTTTTTCATTTGTTGAAAATTGAAAATTTGTAAACAGAAAAATTTGAAAGTAATTTAAATGATTTTTCAAAAATATTGTTAGAAACATCTTAGATAGAAAAATGTCAGTAATCTCTGGTCTGTGCATGTCTGTTCACTAGATGTATGTGCATGTGTCCAAATTCACAGCAGCATCTGGTGCAGGCTTTTGTATAGGGCTCTGAACCATCTGGGAACGGAGGGATTGTGGGCAGTGCAAGGTGTCTGCAACCTCCCTTCCCCATGGCGGGAGGCTACTGGGACCTAGCACAGCCAGGCGGGGCTGGTCCAGGAGGGGCATGGCCACGGTAGCCAGAGGACAGAATCATAGAATATCAGGGCTGGAAGGGACCTCAGGAGGTCATCTAGTCCAACCCTCTGCTCAAAGCAGGACCAACTAAATCATCCCAGCCAGGGCTTTGTCAAGCCGGGCCTTAAAAACCTCTAAGGATGGAGATTCCAGCACCTCCCTAGGTAACCCATTCCAGTGCTTCACCACCCTCGTAGTGAAATAGTGTTTCCTAATATCCAACCTAAACCTCCCCCACTGCAACTTGAGACCGTTGCTTCTTGTTCTGTCATCTGCCACCACTGAGAACAGCTGTCCTCCATCCTCTTTGGAACCCCCCTTCAGGTAGTTGAAGGCTGCTGTCAAATCCCCCCTCACTATTCTCTTCTGCAGACTAAACAAGCCCAGTTCCCTCAGCCTCTCCTCATAAGTCATGTGCCCCAGCCCCCTGATCATTTTCATTCCCCTCCACTGGACTCTCTCTAATTTGTCCACATCCTTTCTGTATTGGAGGGGCCCAAAACTGGATGCAATACTCCAGATGTGGCCTCACCAGTGCCAAATAGAGAGGAATAATCACTTCCCTCAATCTGCTGGCAGTGCTCCTACTAATGCAGCCCAATATGCCGTTAGCCTTCTTGGCAACAAGGGCACACTGCTGATTCATATCCAGCTTCTCATCCACTGTAATCCCCAGGACCTTTTCTGCAGAACTGCTGCTTAGCCAGTCGGTCCCCAGCCTGTAGCGGTGCATGGGATTCTTCTATCCTAAGTGCAGGACTCTGCACTTGTCCTTGTTGAATCTCATCAGATTTCTTTTGGCCTAATCCTCCAATTTGTCGTGGTCACTCTGGACCCTATCCCTACGCTCCAGCATATCTACCTCTCCCCACAGTTTAGTGTCATCTGCGAACTTGCTGAGGGTGCAAGCTATCCCATCATCCAGATCATTAATGAAGATGTTGAACAAAGCCAGCCCCAGGACCAATCCCTGGGGCACTCTGCTTGATACTGGCAGCCAATTAGACATCAAGCTGTTGATCACTACCCGTTAAGCCCGACGATCTAGCCACATTTCTATCCATCTTATAGTCCGTTCATCCAATCCGTACTTTTTTAATTTGCTGGCAAGAATACTGTGGGAGACCATATCAAAAGCTTTGCTAAAGTCAAGATATGTCACATCCACCGCTTTCCACATATCCACAGAGTCAGTTATCTCGTCATAGAAGGCAATCAGGTTGGTCAGGCATGACTTGCCCTTGGTGAATCCATGTTGACTGTTCCTGATCACCTTCTCTCCTCCAAGTGCTTTAAAATGGTTTCCTTGAAGACCTGCTCCATGATTTTTCCAAAGGCTGAGGTGAAGCTGACCAGTCTAGTTCCCTGGGTTCTCCTCCTTCCCTTTTTAAAAGATGGACACTATATTTACCTTTTTCCAATCGTGCTGTATCAATATGCTGTATCCAATATGATGATACATCATTTCACTGCTGCAGCCTTCACCAGCTGGCTTCCTGTGCTGTCCTAGATGGAAGTCAACGCTGCCGTATGTGGCATAACCTCCAGGGTAATAATTTTTTTCCTACTCCCCCCCCAGACGTTCTGGTTAAACTTGGATTTATGCTGGAAATGGCCCACCTTGATTATCATACACATTGTAAGGAGAGTGGTCACTTTGGATGGGCTATTACCAGCAGGAGAGTGAGTTTGGGGGGGGGGGGGCGGAGAATAAAATATTCTCTGTGTATATATAAAGTCTGCTGCAGTTTCCACGGTATGCATCTGATGAAGTGAGCTGTAGCTCACGAAAGCTCATGCTCAAATAAATTGGTTAGTCTCTAAGGTGCCACAAGTACTCCTTTTCTTATTGTAAAGAGAGTGGTCACTTTGGATGGGCTATTACCAGCAGGAGAGTAGGTTTGGGCGGGGGGGGGGGGGGGCGGCCGGAGGGTGAGAAAACCTGGATTTGTGCTGGAAATGGCCCAACTTGATTATCATACACATTGTAAGGAAAGTGATCACTTTAGATAAGCTATTACCAGCAGGAGAGTGGGGTGGGAGGAGGTATTGTTTCATGGTCTCTGTGTATATAATGTCTTCTGCAGTTTCCACAGTATGCATCCGATGAAGTGAGCTGTAGCTCACGAAAGCTTATGCTCAAATAAATTGGTTAGTCTCTAAGGTGCCACAAGTACTTCTTTTCTTTCAGTAATGTTGTGGCCCAGTTGGTCCAAGTGTATAGCCAATATTCAGGGCCTTGCGGGGTTGTTTGTGTTAGGATGTGAAATTGATTATGTGAGTTAGGTATATTCTTTGGTGCAACCCTGTTTGTTTATAAAGAATGTTCACAAAGCCCTGTTTCCCTGAACATCTCAGAAACAAACAGCAGGCAGGTTCCTTGTTATCTCTTTCCAAGTCTGCCTCTCCAGTGAGTTCTGTGCCTAAGAAGCTCTGTCTCTGCTGCCTCTCTGGGCCGTGCTCACGACTACTTCTCTCCTTTCCTGCTGGCTTTTTCTGTCTAAGGGCTTGTCTACACTGGCGCTTTACAGCACTGCTACTTTCTCGCTCAGGGGGGTCAGAAAACACCTCTCTGCGTGCAGCAAGTTTCAGCGCTGTAAAGAGCCAGTGTAGACAGTGCACCAGCGACGGGAGCGCGCTCCCTGTGCTGGTAGCTACGCCCCTCGTGGAAGTGGGTTTTTAGAGCGCTAGGAGAGCTCGTTCCCAGCGCTCTGCCGCGACTACACAAGCCACATTAAAGCACTGCCAGTGTGAACTAAGGCTAACACGCACAATTCCCCAAACGATCCCCTAGCCCCTGCATTTGCAACCAGTTCCAGGGAAACTCCCTCAAGATGCATGGGTTGGTCCTCCTTAGGGTTAGCCATCAGGCCCAGGGTCTTGGGCAGTAGCCTGTTGTTGTTTCCATCTATACTATAGAAAAGGGTATTTAGTTACTCCTTCCTTTTAGTTTAGCACATTCATCACCCACCCGTAACCAGATCTGTGATTGTTTATAGAGCCAAAGACCTGCTTGATGGCAGCCATTAACATCTTCTAGCATAACAATATTATGCAGGAAATAGCCCGACTTGATTATGTAAAGAGTTGTCACTTTGGATGGGCTAGCACCAGCAGGAGAGTGAATTTGTGTGGGGGGGTGGAGGGTGAGAAAACCTGGATTTGTGCTGGAAATGGCCCACCTGATGATCACTTTAGATAAGCTATTACCAGCAGGACAGTGGGGTGGGAGGAGGTATTGTTTCATGATCTCTGTGTGTATATAAAGTCTGCTGCAGTTTCCACGGTATACATCTGATGAAGTGAGCTGTAGCTCACGAAAGCTCATGCTCAAATAAATTGGTTAGTCTCTAAGGTGCTACAAGTACTCCTTTTCTTTAAACTGGAAAGTGTCCATACACCAATATGCACCTTTCAATATATGTCCAGCACAGAGTGTTTTCTTCTGAGTGACGGTATAGCTTTGCTTTCGTATAAATTCCTGGTTACTTCTTCCATTCTACTCTGTTATTACTAATTCTCTCTAAAAACGTTTTTCTAACCTCCAGCAGCGCTGTGTGTTTGCTGGTCTTAAATTTGTTCTCCCTTGTTTTAATTTGTCAGCCTCATAAAATGCCAAATTCTGATCTCAGTTACAGGAATTGAAATAATTTCTTTAGGTTTATGCCATTATAACTAAATTCTGAAACTAGGACAAGCTGTTCAGTAGCATCCATCTTTTCTATAATCTGGTTTTTAAATTCCACAATTCTTCCCCCCTCTTTAGAATAAATGGAATGTCTAGTTATTTTGTGTGCTTACTGTACATTTGTATTATAGGTAATATACTCACTTACATTCTTATATCGAGGGTATATTTTATTTTTATTTATATAATTCCTTTTAATATCACATTGCTAAATAGTATCTAGAGAATCTCTCTTGATTTTCTTGCCTGTAGTGCAGGGGTCGGCAACCTTTCAGAAGTGGTGTGCCGAGTCTTCATTTATTCAATCTAATTTAAGGTTTTGCATGCCAGTAATACATTTTAACGTTTTTAGAAGGTCTCTTTCTATAAGTCTATAATATATAACTAAACTATTGTTGCATGTAAAGTAAATAAGGTTTTTAAAATGTTTAAGAAGCTTCATTTAAAATTAAATTAAAATGCAGAACCCCCCGGACCGGTGGCCAGGACCCGGACACTGTGAGTGCCACTGGACATCAGCTTGCATGCTGCCGTTGGCACGCATGCCATAGGTTGCCTACCCCTGGTGTAGTGCTTCCTGTAGACCCAAATGAAAGTTGTTGAAATGGAATTTCAGAGCATAAAAACTAAACTGATTTATTTTTGTGTCAAGGCAGGGTTAACAGATATGCTATTTTCAACTCACCACAGTCTTAAGTTAATAAACTTAACAGCTACTGTCAATTAACATGGACATATGAGACAAGTCTAACAGTATATTTGCTGCTAGTGTGTCGTCATAATCAGTAATTATCAAATGATAAAATAAATATAGTAGCTACGTAAATACTATACGTGGGCCAAAGAGGGATGATTTCAATAATGTAGCATTTTCTATCCTTTGAGATGCCTTACTCCAGTCTATTGTGTCCTTTCTCAAAGGTCTCTGTCTGCTGTCCAGGTTACTATGGACATATGTGTGAGATGTGCCCAGGAAAGCCAGGCAGCTCGTGTTCTGGGAACGGAGTGTGCCAGGACGGCATTACTGGCAGCGGGGAGTGTCGCTGTCATGAAGGCTTCCACGGCACAGCCTGTGAGATGTGTGAAGTGGGCAGATACGGAGAGGGTTGTAAATCAGGTGAATTCACAGTTGCTATTGAAACTTGGAACTGCCATTGAACTCACACAGGGAAGAATGAGCTCCTCCATGTTTTGTAGGGCAGTTTGTGGGACACTTGCATTGCCACTGCCTGAACTGTATCTGTGTTGTGGATACAGTACTAGAGAACTTCCATTCCCAGGCCTTTTAATCTGGCACTGCTCACACAAGCACTGACATTCCCTTAATATTTTTCTTAAAGAAACTAAAACTTCATCTCTCACATGTAGGAATGTATTGATTTACAAAGTACCAGACTTCTCTTTGCTCATTAGAGCTAGCTGGTTTGACAATGGCATGGTGTTTCTCCACAGTGTGTACTTGCAGAAATGGAATCTGTAATGATGGGTTGCACGGAGATGGGAGCTGCGAATGTTTCCAAGGTTGGGAGGGCATCACCTGTGAAAGAAGTAAGTGTCTGAGGGAGGCACATGCAGTGTAAGATTCTTTTCACACAGGCCGGGTGACTGCTGAGCATGGCTTGCTTTTGTTAGTTTGTGATACAGCTAAATATTTCAGTGACCCTGACTGGTAGTTTTGGATTGATTTTTTTCTTCCCCCCTTTGGCACCATATGATGATAGGGTTGCCCCCTTTCTAATTGCTGGAAATGGGACCCCTGACACCCTGCCCTTACTCCACCTCTTCACCCAAGGCCCCGCCCCCATCACTTGCTCTTATCCCCCTTCCCCCTGTTGCTTCGTGGACTGTCTTCACCTCCATCCCCACCCTCCAGCTGGGCTCCCTCTGCTCTGGGGCTGGGACGGGAGCTGCTGCAGCTTGACAAGGAGCCTGCCTGCTAGGAGGCAGCCCCAGCGGAGCAGGGGCTGGTGTGGGTTAATGACCCGGCACCGCTCGCCACCGCACAGTAACCTGACTTTTGGTGTCCAGTCAGTACATCTGACTGAACACTGAGCCAATTTTGAGTTTTTTATCCTAGACAGCTGAAACGGTGGAGCTGTTAGTAGGCTGGAAAGTGAAGTGGCGTTCCTGTCTTCTCTTGCAGGAATTGGGATTGATTTGTGTAATAACACTTGCCACCTGATGGCCAAGTAAGTACAACCGTGGTGCCAAGGACATAAAACAGTGTGTTTGTGGCTGTTTTACGTGGACTTGACTTTGTTTGTGAAAACATGGAAGGTTGGTGTGGGGAACTGAACACTATATATTAATTAATATACCTGCATAATTATTTATTCCACCCTTTGAACTCATCTTGTGTTTAAAGCCCCTATTCTTTCTCTGGAGGAATGTGTGTGTGTGTGTGTATATATGTGTACGAACCCTTCCCAAACACAGTCTGTGGTGTGGAGACTGAAGGCAGACTGTGCCTAAGCTGAATCATGCTTAATTTGCAGGCACATTAATTTCAGATTACATCCCCCTTCTAGAAATGAGACAAGCAGGCGGGTTGAAATTAAGAACTGAAAGATGCTGGCACCCTGCTGAGCTCTGAGCAGGGCCTGGCTGGTTACTGGATGACGTACACAATGTTAAAATGTGGCAATTGGTGCTAACATTAAGTAGGCTTAACAGTATTAACTAGAAGACACTTTAGGGTTGGGGAATGGGGGCGTTGTACGTATTCAGTGAGCATTTAAGTACAGGTGACAGGTGCTAGACTGAACAGGCCCAGGTAAGACAGCAGCAATGCGAGCTTCCCCCACTGGCAACCCACTGTCCTATTAAGGAGCCTCTACAGTGACCTGGAGGGGCCACCTCTAGGAGTAAAAAGGTCTCCCAGTCTCCATGCTCGGTCAGTCCTTGGCCTCTCTGCTGATATTGCTGACAGTAAGGATAAGCAGTGCCTAGTAGAGCAGTGTTTTTGAGATGGAGACTCACTGGCTTGCTAGGAACAGGGCTAAAGCCAACTCACTTCACATATGCACCAGAAAGACATCCAATAGTAATGACCTTCCATCCCTGCTGACCTGGGCCAAGTTAAAAACAGTGACTTAGAGAGAAAGGGCTCCATAGCCTATCGCCAGTCAGCTGAGCTATTCAGTCCCTTATATTTTCATTCTGTCCCTGAAGATGGAATGGAATAGGGCAACCTTCTTTAATGCAGCTCCAGCATCTACAGATGTACAGAATGGTGTTCACAGTCCCAGTGTGCTTCATGCACTAAGCATAGTGCTCTCTTCTTGATTACTGTCCCTTGCAGCTGTTACCCTGTGCATGAAGTATTTAGATCAGTTTTTGGCATTGTAAAGAAAAGCTTAACTGCTTGATTTTGTTTCTCATATTATATCCAACTCGCCTCTTACCATAGTATCTAGCTGCCATAGTAGCTATAATTAGCATTCTGTAATGTTGAAGTCTATCACCAGGTATAAGATTAAGGCGAGAATGTCATTGTTCATTCGCTTCCTTGGTCATTTCAGTTGCATTAATGGCTCTGTAGATTCCCTGCCTACTTGCTCCTGCTCTGCTGGATACACTGGGAATGGAACATACTGCTCAGGTATTTCCAACACACATGCCGTGGTTCCAAGTGCGCTCGAGTGCCAGCACAGGCTACACAAATGACCGATCACACAAGTTTTCTTGCTTTCACAGCTGTAAGATTCTGGTTTTGGTTTGTGAAAGCGTTGCAAGGTATTGAATGCATGCTAAGACGTTACCCAGCGCAGGATCACCAAAACCCTGTTGCCCCAAAGTGCAGAACCTCCTATTGACTTCTATACGGAGAGTTTCCTGGATGGGACCCTAATGCAACCCTTCTGATGTGTCTAGACCAGAGAGGGAACTGTTCCTGTTGCTCAAGTGGATAAAGGGAATGGCATGGGAATTGGCTGAATTATTTCTAGAATAGTTCCAGACACTCAACAGATTGCAGTGATGGATCAGGTCCACAGAATGTACCTTCTTAGATTGTCTAGAATTTTAGTCTATTATTTGACCATTTCATGAAAATGCAGCCTTGCTCAATAAATACTATTGAAACAAAACTCTCTAGGACAAACACATTTATTAACCTTCTCCCCCTTCTCCAAAAAAACAATCCCAACTCAAGACACCATGGGGTTGAAATCGACTAGATAAAAAAAAAAAAAAAAAGATTTAAAGTATAATGTTCTAACAGAATCACATTGCTTTTTCTGACAGTTTTTAATTATGCAAAGATTAGGCACTTTAAGCAATAAATTCCAAGCTAATCAAGTTACAGTGCCAGTAAATGTAATAGCTCGCCTTTGGTATTGATCTCACCAGAGTCGCTGTACAGACCAAAAAGCTTTATTTTAATCAGGCATGCTGCTTTTTTTCTGGCATAGTTTGTGGCTATTCACACAGCAAGTACTTCAGAGCAGTCGGGTGTTCGCTAATCAAATTCTTATACCGATTAATTTGATAGCTCATCTTCAGCATCAGCCTCGGGAGCATCTTTATTAGTCATCTGTGTCTATAAAGGAGCTTTTCCTGCATCAAAAACAATCTTTGATTGAAAATGGTTTAATAATTTTTGTTAAAACAAAGTCTGTCTGGAAATAAGAGACACTTTAAAGCCCAGAAATATAGCTTCAGCTCTTAGAAGCAATATCTTCTTTCTCTGAGCCTGAGGAAGATTGCATGAAGTTCATTACTTGCAAAACACCATCTTTGCGATGTCATCCACTGGGCTTGGATATACCATACTCCATATGTATCCCCCCAAATCTTTTCCTTTCTTGTTTTTGGTCACAGAAATAAATCCATGTGTGATTGATAATGGCGGTTGCTCCATATATGCAACGTGTACTAATGTCTCTGCTGGAGAGAATACTTGTTCTTGTAAGGAAGGCTATGCTGGAGATGGGACTCTGTGCCAGGGTGAGTGAGTGCTCTGATCCACGTTTTGACAGCAATACTTTGCAAGGAGATGAAATCATGCTGATACGGTGAGCCAGACCCTAATGCCAAAGGTCCACATATCTTTAGGAGCATCACAACTTGTGAGAAAGTTATAAAAGCAAGTCTAGAGTTGGTTAAAACTGGAGAAGTGTTAATGCTGGTAGTCAGCACTTATGTCACTGCACAACTTGATACCACTTTACAGACTTGCAAGGATTATTGCTCTATTTTAGAGTCAGGGAGACTGAGACACCTAGACAAGCCATGTGGCAAGTCGAGGTCAGACCTTGGATTAGAACTCAGGAGTTCCTTGTTCCCCACCATATGCTCTAAACCACATTTTCAAGACCAAGAGGAAGTGATGAATGGAACTTTGTGGTTTCCCCATCACTAAACTCTCATGGTTACTGGTGTGATGAGTTGCCTCTGTGCAGCTGTATCTCCAGCTGGAGAGAGCTCTGTTTGCTATTCCTCTGTCACGTTTTTCACTCACTGGTCACCTCCCACTTTCGGTTTCTGCCGTGTTAACATGGATCTGCTCTCTTGATGCAGAAATCGATGGCTGCCTAGAGCGTAATGGGAATTGCCACAGCTATGCAGAGTGTGCTAAAACAGGCCCAAATCTGGTAAGCAAATCCTTTTCTCAGATGAGCTCATAGGTCCTTGTCCTTTGGGGTTATTGGTAATCTTTCCCTTGTGAATCTTTTTTACTAAAATTTTGCATCTCTTCTCTTTCATATAGAAGGATCTACTCGTAACTAACTGCTAACTAGAGGGGACTCCATGTCTGAGAGCTGCTAATTGCATATTGGCCTATATAAAGTCTGTTGGCCAAAGGCTGGGGAATTTTCTTAGGTGATTTCATAATAATCACGACCTGGTTATTAATGAATGAACAGAGTGCGCCCTCAAACTATTATGTGAAATATGCTCTTTCTCTTCTCACCCCTTTCTCCTGCTTGAGTACTTGTACATTTTCATTATTGTTTTTAGCTCTACAAAATAGCTTTGTTTTTCCTTCCACAGGTTGCTTGTAACTGTCTTCCTGGCTACAGTGGAGATGGTGTGAAACAATGTGTCCCCATCAATCTTTGCAGTGAGGTTTGTCTGCATTTTCCTCTTACTACTGTCAAAGGACTAAACCCTTAAGCTTTCCTTCATGCAAACCATTAATAGGCAGAGTTATTCAAAGTTATCCAGAATGCAGCAGTTCAAAATGATCTAACTTGTCATGTTATGCTTTTAATATGCACACTAATGCCCTACTGCACTTCTCTGATTCATTGCTTCCTTTCTACTAGACAAGCTGCTTGGCCACTGGAATGGGTTACTAATGTTGATCCAATTTCTAGTGCATGTAAGTTTCCACGGTCCAGAGAAAAACAAACAACATCGAACCTTCCATGAAACCATCACTCTTATTGGCAGCCTCAACAGAGAAAGCAAGCTCCCCTCTCACTCCTGGAGGTGGAACTCTGTGTCAGGTTTGAGACCTATTGGTGGAGAAACTTGCATCTTTCATGTTCAACTAGTTCTGCTCTAATCCTCTGTAATAGGCTGTCAGTTTTGATCTGACACACTCCATCCAAGTGTTGATTCTGCTGGGAGAGTGTTAAATGAGCTTTTGTTGAATTACCAGTGCAGATGACTCATTAACCCAGCCACATATAAGGAAAGTCAGAGAGGCACTGGGGAGTCATGATCTAGTGTGTAGGCTGAGCAGTCCTGAGAGGGGAATCCTAGGAGCTGCCAAACATCAGGAGAAACTTTCATTTGAACTTATTTTTAATTTCTTTTTTAATAAAACCAAACCCAAGGGAGGGGAGAGTTTAGGCTCCACATAACATATGGACTGAGCTTTTAGAGCAGGCTGGGAAAGAAGCCTAGTCTCTCACAACCCCACAGTTAAGTGTATGGTACTCCATATTACCTCCCCCACCTTGTCTCTCTGGTACTCCATATATCTACTTCAGAAAGCAGAAGAGCTGAACTGAGCGGAACTGCGGTTTCATGCAGTCTAGGCCTTCCAAGTCTAGTTCTTAGATGGCTAAGCTGCCCCATGTAGAAATCTTAAAACAAATACCTGCTATGCTATTTCATTACTTTACTTCAGCTGAAACAGCCACTGTAAACCATTATTTTTCTTCTTCACTAAATTCTTCAGAGCTGTCTTATTTGAATGGCTTTTCCTCTGTTTGGTCTGGTGTAGTTATCTGTCTCAGAGCAGTGTTTGCCAGCAGGGTGGAAGAAAACTTGAGGAAAAAAGACTAATAAAATATTGAGTTTCAACAGGAGTGCATGGCACTAGGGGGCAAAACCCAATGTCAGAGGTTACCTTAAGTCAGGAACAGGCATGAAGAGTGGGTGTTCAACTGCTAACTGGTAAATAAACCTTCAGACCGCTAGCTGTGTGACTAATTGGGATGATCTTATTTTTCCTGCCAGAATAATGGAGGCTGTAGTAGATTTGGTTTCTGCAAGTACACTGGACCTGGGACTCGAAACTGCTCCTGTGGTTGGGGCCATGTTGGAGATGGGTTCACTTGCAGAGGCAATGTGTATCAGGTAGGTAAAGTGCATTCAGCTAGGATTGTGTTTGAACGGGCACTAGTCTGGGTGAACTACTTCCTTTTCTGAAGCAGCACACCAGGAAATAATTCAGGATACTGAACTCTTGTGACCTGGAAATATTTGGAAATTCAGCTGAGGGAAATGTATGAAAGACCCAGAAGGTTAGAAGTACATTTAATCCTGGCCAGGCATCCCTGCTAACCAGGAGAAAGCTGAAACAAGAGGAACCGTTCCCAGGAAGATAGCAGTAAAATGCAGCTGCACTCTGAAAAGTGTCCCTGTGAAAGTGGCTCTTGGGGTTCCATGGGTGGGTGTGACTTCCAGCACCAGTGTGTTCAGGGGACAAATAAAGAGTGTTTTTCAGGAGTGACATCTGGTTCTTCGGGCTGGTGGAACTGGGAGAGCATAACTAGTTTGAAAGGCAGGGGCTCAAGGCAGTCAAGGAGCATGTCACCAGACTGGTTGTCAGGGAGGCCTGGGTTCTGTTCCCAGCTCTGCCCCGACTCATTGTGTGACTTTGGGCAAGTCACTGAACCTTTCCGTTTCAACAGTGGTGCCTATAGTAGATCTACGGGGGAAGAGCTCTTTACACGTTTGCCATGTTAACTCCTAGTATTAATTACAGTTGTTATGACAAGGGACAATGTGCCCTGCTCAAGTCTTGTGTGTCTCTTGCTGGCTGTAGCTGGAGATATCCATGCTGTTGGCACAAACAGGCTAACACAGCGTGGATGTGTGTGGCTGCTCAATGGGCAATTCTGGAAGAAAAGACGTGGCCCAAATGCTAGGCCAGGTAAAACCCCTGAGTTAACTCCTATGAAGGGGGTGTCTACATTAGGCTTTTCCCCTAAAATTTCCCACCCCTGCTACTATGGATAGGTGGTAGCAGCGGGTAAGGTCCCAGTGCAGGTTGTCTACCAGCATTTTAACCCCTGTGTTGTCTAACCCTTCTCAAAACCCTGGCTGTAGCAAGGGTGGGAAATACTAGGAAAACAAGCTTAGTGTAGTCAAAGGACCTGAGTGTCTATGAGGTAGGGAGAGCACCCTGGAGGTCAGTGGCAAGGTCAGTTTAGTGAGCTGATGGGAAGGGTTTTCTTTGCATCAAACCCCAAGAGGTTTAAATAGAGACTCACCATTAACATTCGCTGTTCTGATTTATTTTAGGAGCTCCTGAGAAGCGAAGCAGCATCCGAGTTCTTTAAGCAGTTACTGGTTGGTGGCAAGCAGTAATTATTGTCTAAAAGTATAAAATTGCCAGGTGTTTTCTTGAAAAGCTCCGACTAATGAGAATTGTGTTTGGTTTCTGTTTTGCTTTGTTTTTGTTCCTGGTGCTCTCTGTGTGCTTTAGGCCTTCAAAATCAAGGAGTTAAGTGGGGAGGGGCCTTTCACCGTCTTTGTTCCACATGCAGATTCAATACAAAACAGTACAACGGTAAGCAGCTCCTGCTTTCGGACCCTTTTCTGACTCCCTAGCTTTGTCAGTTATTCGGTGTGGTCAGGCTGTGATGATTTCCTCTCAGACAAAGTTCTGTTTCCTTAGATTAATTTAATTGACTCAAGAGGTCAAAAGCACCCCAAGTTTTTAACTGTATTCAAATCCTGAGGTGCTCATTGAGTTCTTCCTCAGTCTCTGCTCCTGTTCAAGCCAATAGCATACTTGTAATGTGGCCTCTGCTATAACAGAACGCTCCACTAGGAGGTGCACTAACCATCTTGCCAGCCAGGCTGGATTCTCTCCTGTTCTGGCATCACAATACCATTAGCTTTAGAACTACACATGACCCCAATTCTGGCGTAGAGGAATCCACCCCTTACTTCATTTTTGTGTTTCAGAATATAAGCTTTCATTGGAAAATTAATTGTCTAACTTTTGTGGTTACCAAGAAAACCTTTAAAAACATGAGCTGTGTATAAACAGAGATACTGATGTCTACTTGAATCTGCAGACAGCATGGAGTGATAGCTCTGAGGGGGGGTGAATTGCATCCCCTTTTGTGTCCGAGGGAGTGTTAATTCTGAAACGTAACAAGGACAATCAAAATCTCCAGCTTCACCACAACCCCTGACAACTGGTACTGTGCAGTTCTGCACTGTTAATACAAATATCTCCAGACCTGCAAAAATTTTGGGGCAAAGGAAAATACATGGAATTTAATATCCCATGGTATTGTTTGTTTTCATACTTCTTTCAATAAACCTCTCTGTTGGTTCTTTTGGTTGGGTTGGTTTTGGTTTTGTTTCTGTTTAATTTGCATTCTGCTGTACTGCAGTGGTATGGACATGGGGCCCTGTCCACAAGCCTCAAAGCTCAGAAACAAATGGTCTCAAAGGTCAGGGTTGTTCATACATGGGGGGTTGTTTTAGTCCATTACAGGGAAAGGGACCTGTGCAAAACCCAGATCTGGATCTCCCCAAAGTAAGCCTGGGGTTTTGGCCTTCAGAATGTGGCCAACCTGGATGCTGACAGTTTGAGGCCAAGGTTACTTTTTCTCCTTGAGCCAGTGACTTGAACTTTGCTCTTACTCCCATCATCTGAAGTGACTTGGAGCCTCTTTGGAATAGAACTCCATAATTCAGCTACCTGTGATCCATTTTACGTGTATTGGATTGGGACTTGGCTTTCAGCAAGGAATGATGGTTAAGGGTTGTTAGAGCAAAAAACTCATAATATTCCCTGTCATTTTAGTCATTGGCTAAATTAATCATTTCCAGAAATGTCCTGACATGATAGTCTATCGTATACCAATTTCCTTCCTTTAGTTCAGTGAATGGAAGAACAAAAGCCTCATCAAAGATTTGCTTCGCTATCACATAGTGAATTGTCGGAAACTGCTGGCCAGCGAACTGGAGACGCACAAGTCCATCACCGCTTTGTCAGGACACAAAATAAGGATTGTGGTGAAAGAGGTAGTTGTCAGTCATGATTAGGGCACCGTGTCTGTCACAGATTCCATGACTTTCCATGACCTCCGTGACTTCTACAGGGGCCAATGTGGCTGACTCTGGAACCAGCTGCTCAGGTAGGCCCTGGGACGGTCACATCAGCCGCTGCTGGAGCGGCTTCGGGGATAGCCACACCAGCCACTGCTCTGGTGGCCCCCAGCAGCCGTCCAGGAGCAGCCGAGGTCCATGGCTCCGGGCAGCGGTGGCCCCTAAGTTCTCCCGCCAATCCCCACCCCAAGATTTAACCACAGGTATTTTTAGTAAAAGTCATGGACAGGTCACAGGCTGTGAATATTTGTTTATTGCCCATGACCTGTCCATGACTTTTACTAAAAATACCTGTGAGCTAGCACCTTTCATCTAGAAGGATCCCAAAGCGTTCTGCAGGTGAGCTATAGCGTGGTCTAAAGTGGGAGGTCACATATCACTGGAAATCTGCATTCACTGTATTGTCCCTTCTTCTGCAGAATAGTGTGCATCTAAATGAGGAGGCAATGATCATCACCAGTGACATTGTTGGCAAGAATGGGGTGATCCATATCATTGACAAGATTTTAATCCCTGCTGATTTGCAGAGTCTGAACATTTCTTCCCACCTAGCACAGGTATGTCTGAAACAATACCATTTTAATGAGTGATCATCACCTTGAGAGTTTTCCCCAACCCCAGAATGAATGCTAGTGTAGTGAATGAGTAACACTTCTTTATATTTCTTAGGCACAGGTTACTGTACTCTAGGAATTCCATTTATCTGTAGTACATGGGGTGGTTTAAGTATAAAGAGGTTAAATTGTGGAGCTAGCTGTGCTTATGGTGCATGTGGATGTGTGTAGTGGGGGGTGAGGAAGCTAGGGTCTATCCATGCAGGCCTGTGATAGGACAAACCTGACAGGTAAAGGTGTGCCCAGATTGCCCTTTGCATCACTGGATAAAGATCACACTGTATGACTCAAAGCAGGTTAACTAAAGCCTCTCTTGCATACTTGGGACGGTCTTCACTGGGCTTTACATTGCAGGTTTTAAACATCCAGCTCTGTACGTCAGACAGGAGCAGTCAAAAAGTCATGTTGCCATTGGTTGGCAGAGCAGCCCCTTTGTTACCAAATTCTAACACACATGGTGCCAAATTCATGCCTGGTGTAATGCCACTGAAGTTAATGGAGTTACACCAGGGATGATTCAGTCAGCTTTGCCCATCTGCTAACTCAGGGATCTGCATTTAGTGTTTGCTATCGTGCTGGGGGCACACTCTTTATGTATCACTCTAGTAACCCATGGCGTTCTGGGCCATATTATGTTCAGACATGGCACCCTGTGTACTGTAATGCCCAGACAATTACTTTTGAAATGCAGACATTCTCTTAGGAACTAGGAGAGACTCTCATCTAGAATTATGGGAGTTAATATTGACCTGTCCCAGTGTCCGCTCAAATGCGTAGAATGAGTTACTCAGCCCCACTGCTATTTACCTATATTAAATCACTACTCCAGAGCAGAAATTAACAGCCACCTTCTTTAATCAGCCTGTCATAGCAGTCCTCAGAGTCAGCAAATGCAAAGTCTTGGCTCTGAGAATTGAGTGAATTTTCTCATTTATCAGGAACTCTGGTAAGAGAAACAAGCTCTCACATTTTGTAATGGTTTTATTTAATTTTTATTATTTTTCTAGCAAAGCATCACTGAGGTGGCAGAATCATATGGCTACAAAATCTACAGCAAACTACTCCAGGTAAATGGTTTGAATTCTCTAGCAATACTCTCTAGTTCTGGGCTATGTGGGTCCTTCATGCAGGCACAGCATGTATTCGTTGTTTCCATCTGGTCTTGTGTCTCTGTACAGGAAGCAGAACTGCTATCTCTGGTTAACAACTCTGCTCACAGACCCTTCACCATGCTGTGGCCTACTGATGCTGTGTTTAACACCCTGCCTGAGAAGATGCAAACGTGGTTGTATAGTAAAGACCACAGGGACAAGCTGGCAGCCTATCTCAAAATGCACATGATTAGGGACACGAAGGTAAAAGGCTCAAGCCACCTACATTTCTTTTTATATCAGCCAAGTACTCAGGGGTGAAAGTAAAATTTCTCTCTTACCGGTACAGGGGCGGGGGGCAGCTTTGCCCCTGGAATAGGCAGGGCCTCAGGTGGGAGGGGCGGGGCTGGGGGAGTCAGCATCCCCCGCCAGCCCACCCGCACTGCCCGGGGCTCAAGCGGTGATTTAAAGGGCCCGGGACTCCAGCTGCTGCGGAGGTAGCAGCCTGGGGCGTGGCAAAAGGGGCAGGGATGTTAAAGCGCTCTTTTCCACTCACGCCCCTTCTCTACCTACGTTACACTGATGACATCTTCATCATCTGGACCCATTGGAAGGAAACCCTGGAAGAATTCCACCACTATTTCAACAGCTTCTACCCCACCATCAACCTCAGCCTGGACCAATCTACACAGCAGGTCCACTTCCTAGACACCACGGTGCAAATAAGTGATGGTCATGTTAACACCACCCTATACCGAAAACCTACCGACCGCTATGCCTACCTTCATGCCTCCAGCTTCCATCCCGGACACACCACACGATCCACTGTCTACAGCCAAGCGCTGAGGTACAACCGCATTTGTTCCAACCCCTCAGACAGAGACCAACACCTGCAAGATCTTCACCAAGCATTCCTAAAACTACGATACCCACACGAGGAAATAAGGAAACAGATCAACAGAGCCAGACGTGTACCCAGAAGCCTCCTGCTGCAAGACAAGCCCAAGAAAGAAACCAACAGAACTCCACTGGCCATCACATACAGTCCTCAGCTAAAACCTCTCCAACGCATCATCAGTGATCTACAACCCATCCTGGACAACGATCCCTCACTTTCACAGGCCTTGGGAAGCAGGCCAGTCCTCGCCCACAGACAACCCGCCAACCTGAAGAATATTCTCACCAGCAACTACACACTGCACCATAGTAACTCTAACTCAGGAACCAATCCTGCAACAAACCTCAATACCAACTCTGCCCACATATCTACACCAGCGACACCATCACAGGACGTAACCAGATCAGCCACACCATCACAGGTTCATTCACCTGCATGTCCACCAATGTGATATATGCCACCATGTGCCAGCAGTGCCCCTCTGCTCTGTACATCGGCCAAACTGGACAGTCCCTACGTAAAAGGATAAATGGACACAAATCAGATATTAGGAATGGCAATATACAAAAACCCTGTAGGAGAACACTTCAACCTCCCTGGACACACAATAGCAGATTTAAAGGTAGCCCTCCTGCAGCAAAAAAACTTCAGGATCAGAGTTCAAAGAGAAACTGCTGAGCTTCAGTTCATTTGCAAATTTGACACCATCAGCTCAGGATTAAACAAAGACTGTGAATGGCTAGCTAGCTACAAAAGCAGTTTCTCCTCCCTAGGTGTTCACACCTCAACTGCTAGAAGAGGGCCTTGATTGAACTAACCTCGTTATCCCTAGCCTGATTCTTGCCTGCATATTTATACCTGCCTCCGGATATTTCCACTCATGCATCTGACGAAGTGGGTATTCACCCATGAAAGTTTATGCTCCAATATGTCTGTTAGTCTATAAGGTGCCACAGGACTCTTTGCCGCTTTTACAGATCCAGACTAACATGGCTCCCCCTCTGATCCTGTATTAGGGTATTCACACACATTTTCATTTAGAAGGTGCCAAATTCAGTTCATCACAATGAGTGACCTCGTTCCTCATTGACCAGTATTTAGACATCCGCCAGGCATTCAGGAAAATGCCTGTGACTCCTAAAAGCTGTATGGATTCATCCCCCAAAAAAAAAAAAAGTTCTCCTGTTTTAAAAATGTCATCCAGCCTGGTAGCAGAAACAAATACTGACTCTGGCATCAGAGTCATAAATAGGCATGACACAAATAGGCGAAGTGAGGTTTGCAAACAGCCTGTAGTGTGAAAATTATTCCTCTGAGCTATTTGACCAGATACTTCAGGATAACAAATACAGCTGAAGGAAATGAGGGTTGGTTTGTGAACCACTTAATAACCCCTGAAGGGTTCAAATCCAAACTGATGATAATTAAGTAGTTCCAGCAGGGAATCAGTTTGTTACGTCTATCTGTCTTCAGATTGTAGCTGGTAACCTGCCACACATTGCCTCTGTAAGGACCATGCATGGATCCACCATCTCGTTTAGCTGCAGCAAGAACAATGTCGTAAGTAACAGAGTCTTGGTTTTATATTTTTTGTGGAAATGATATATTGAAGCAGTTGAGTTGTGACTGCTCCTACAGAAAGGGTCACCTGCAAGAATTAAACTTGGGTTCTCCTCATCTAAAAAACATGAGTGTCAACTTTCTGAGCTAAAGGATCAGTTCTTCTGACTGGGAGACAGTAACACACTTATAAACCTCTTTACCTGGCTTAGCCACTAGAGGGAGGCAAAGACCCACACAGTTATTCATGTGGGTTGTAATTGAATGGTGAGTAGGTACTAAGTGTACAGTGCATGTGTGCGCGCTCAAGCAACTGCAATGTCCTAGGGGTAACAGAAGGGATATTTTTTATTAAGCTGATGTTTCAGAAACCTTGGAGAGTTAATGCTGTTTTATACAGAACAGGTAATGGTGAGCTAAATTTAGACAGAAAAATGTAAATGAAAATAGGAAGTGTTTTAAGAAGAGAGGGCCAAAAAACCACAATTGCTCAATCAAGAAAGAAGACAATTTTGGTTAAAAGCATATCTTGGATTAGTGGGGACGTGAAGGCAGCAGTTAGAAATAAAAAAATATATATAACAAATGGAAAAGGGGGGACTTAGATAATAATTAGTATAAAATAGAAGTTGTGAAGTATAGAAAATTGATAAGGGAAGCTAAAGAACTCAATCTGTTTAGTTTATGCACAAGAAGTCATAGAGGTGGCTTGATTACAGAACTGTCTCCATGGAGAGAAAAATATGAGCACTAAAGAGCTTTTAATCTTGTGGAGAAAGGCATAACAAGAACCAGTGGCTGGATGCTGAAGCCAGACATATTTAAATTAGATATAAGGCACAGTTTTTTAATAGTGAGGATAATTAATCACTGCAACAAACTCACAAGGGGAGTGATGAATTCTGCATTCCCTGATGTCCCCAGATCAAGACTGGATGCTTTCTGGAAGGCATACTTTAGTCAGCGATAAGATATCTAGCCTGTGTGTACACATGGTCAGATTAGATGATAGAATGGTCTTTTCTGGTCTTAAATTCTATGAATCTATTGAACCTTGGTTTCTGATAAGTAAGTTCTTCCAGCTTTTGTAAAAGTTTCACTGCTGGGTTTCGCCGCTTATGGGAAGCATTTATTGACTCATTGTTTCTCAAACGCAAGGGGCATAATAGTTAAACAAGTGGAACTGGGAGCCAAAGGTTCTGGCTCTTAATTAGCTCCAGTCAAAAAAAAGTCAACATTTTCTTTTCAACAAAAAATGTTTTTTTTGTCCAAATGGAAATTTTGCATGAAAATATCCATTTTCATCTATTTTTTTCAAGCTTTTATAGAAAAATTGATGTTGGTTGTTTTTCAACATCTGAAACCTCCCAAAATCTATGAATGTTTTCAATTAATATTTTTTGTAGAAAACAAAATACATTTTTTTACTCCCTCTTAATCCTGGCTCTGCTGCTGACTCGCTCTGTGTAGCCCTGATCAGATCTCTTAACCACTCTGTGTCTGCTTCCCATTATTAAAAATGGGTGCAATCTTACTCTCTTACACAGGGCATTTAATTAATTGAGGTAGATCAATTTGATCCTCAGATGGGAGATTCTGTGCAAGAATTTATCCCCTCCCCCCATCCCAAATACTCAGGACAGAGCATGTGCATGGGGCGTGGGACTTAATCGTTTAGGATGAATTACATGTATATCTGTGCAAGGCTCTCCAAACTTAAGCCCCAGGGTGGATTTGCACAGGCACTATGGGAATGGGTAGAGTGGCCAGGAAATGTGTCCATCTCTTGTGCACCACAGGCAGGGCCCAAATAGACCAACACAGAGGATCAGCACTTACAGGGATTTAATACCTTGCAAAGGGGCAGCCTGCCCACCTTAGGGAATGAATTGCACCCAGCTTGGTTCCCCACAAAAAGTCCTGAGTGCCTGTGCTTTGTGCGAGCTGGGAGCTGCATTTCACCCTCTCTGCCCTGCTTATAATGAATAAGACCTGGCAGATGCGTTATAGCTGAGCAAATCATTCTCTTTTCCTCCTTTTCCTTGCAGGGGGAGCTCTTAGTGGACAATGGCAATGCCAAGATTGTCCAGAGGCACATGGAGTTTGATGGGGGCATTGCCTATGGCATTGATCAGCTGTTGGAGCCCCCGAACCTGGGGTCCCGCTGTGATGATTTCCTCTCCGTTGAGCTCAGGGTGAGTGCTTAGGCTCTTATAAATAATAAAGTGCCCAACACCCACTCGGATGTGCAGTCTGTGTAGTGCTACAATGTGCTGCAGCCTGTGAAAGCAAATCAGGATTATTGACGGGCTTGGATGTCGGGCAGGGTGAGCTCACCACCCTGTGTTGCAAGCAGGCCTGTAATGGACAGAGAAAGTGAAATGTGTTTGTTTTTCTCCTCCCCGCTCAGGGTTCAGTTGAGAGCTGTGGTGTTTGTGGTTTCGAGCCTTCCTGTCCCGCTGGATCAGTTCAATGGGTAAAGTGTGCAGCTCTATCAACTTACTGAGTCAGTCACTGCTTGTAAATTACTGTCTATGGCTCATTACAGCTCATAAAGCTCATTACAGTGCTTTAACAGCAGTCAAATAACTAACCACCAGGGGTGGAATCTCTGAGCCCTATGTGACTCTGCGCAGGCCCCGGAGGTCTGCCAGTGTAGAGTCATTTACAGGATTGACACCTAAATCAAGCACAGCCATGCTATCTGTTCTTGACTAGTGTCCCTCACTTCTTGTTTACACTGTAGGCTTTGAACCATTCAGGTTCAGTCCCAGCAGCTGCAGAAGTCTAGGTCACGCTGCGCATGATGATAATGCAACCCTGTATTCAGAGCATGGCGCACATGCCATCCTCTGGGATTGGTTGCGTCTTAGTTTTTCAGCTACCCACTCACAGTAACTCAGGCGCCTGAACCAGCGAATGTGGTTGCAACAATGACTCCCAAAGTTTGGGGCAGAGGCCTGCGTGGTGCCTTGGTGGAGAAGTGAATGACAACACCATCACACCCTCATGTGGGTAGACGTGTACAAGGCAAAACAAACCCCTCAATACTTCGCTCTTTTCATTCTGGTACCTATTTCTGTTCCAGTGTCACGCAGTTTTACGTGGGTCTCAGTAAAGGGTGGCAGAAAGCTGGACTAGCAGGCGCTGCTGCAGGTCAGGATTAGGTTGGCAGAGCCGTGTGATTTCCCGAGTCCAGAATGGCAGGGGTTTGCATCCAGGCTGGAATGAGGTGCACTGGCAGATCTGGGAACAGCTAGCTATGCCTGCCACCTGCCCACTCAGTGCCTGTGGCTGTCTTGTGCTGCATCTCTTGCTTCCATTGACAGGACACTCCTCTCCAATAACTTTCCAGACAGCTCAGTGGTTTGTAGAGGGCGCTGGTTTTTAATTAAGAGCTTAGTTGGGCAAGTTGCAAAGTGGAGGTGGGGGCGGCATTTCCTGTGCAGTGCCCATTAGCAGGAGTGTAGAAGGGAGAATGGACTCCTGGTCAGGGCACTGGGCTGGGATTTAGGAGACCTGGCTTCAATTTCCTTCTCTGCTACAGACTCCCTGTGTTACCCTGAACAAGTCACTTAATCCTTGTGCCTCAGTTCCCCACCTGCGCAATGAGGATCATTCCCTACCTCGCAGTGGTGTCGGGAGGTGCTGAGTTGCTATGGGAGTCGGGGCCTTCTGCTATCATAGCCGTACATTTTCCATCAAGTACCCGAATGGCCGTTGGATTTTTTGGCTGTTTCTTGTAGACTCGAGCAATCTTCATGCTACTTTGGTGTCAGCCAGGAGTGCTGGGTCCAAACAGCAAAGGCTTTTTTATTGCCAGGTTAGCAGTTTAAACCTTGGTTTGGAAATTAAAGAGCAATTCATCCTTCCCAGGACCAGAACCTGGGTACTGTTATTTAACCCTAAAACCCAGGGTCCTTGCTGCTCAGGTCACTTTTTGTAAGAATTTTCCCTGGAAGCTTGGCCCATACGCCAAGAGCCAACCCTCACGTAGTGCATTGTCATTTTGGTCATCAATGGGGATTGAACCTGGGACCCCCTGAGTTAAGAGCATGAGGCTATGCAGCTTGAACTAAAGTACTGATGCCCCTGGCTGGCACCTGCTGGAACCTCCTCTTCGCTGTGCATGATGCACAGAGGGAGACAGAGAACATACATTGAACAATGGAGTTACACATGTGCACACTGGTTGGCTGCTGGCTTCCACCTCAGAGCTTGCTGTTCTTTGGTGATGTAGCTGCAGACCTCTGGGATGACAGGGGCTACTTAAGTGTGACATTATTGGTAAGGCGCAGCAACAGGCTCCTGGGTATAGATTTGTACCTATGCTCACACCAGCCTGGCCACTCTGATCCTGGTGAGGCAACAAGTTTTCACTTGACAGCTTGACCATTGATTGTTCCATGCCAAATCCATTTTCTGCGTTGTCATGTACCACCGACTGCCTGATAGTCTGCAAACACGGATTTCTACCGCCACCTGCCCCTGTCTTCTCTGTCCTTCATCCCTTGCCACCATTTGTAAGGTGATTATACTGAAAAAGGAATATCGGTAGCGCCTTCCTCCAGCATGTGAGTTGGTTTTTAGTTGTAACAATTTTACTAATGTCCTTGGAGAAGTTTCTCCCTTTAGTTAAGGGGTGGGGAAGTAGCTAGTTGGGACAAACCCCAGGATATTGACAGTTTTGACCCATTGTTGTCATTTTCCCCACAGGGCAAAAGCCAGACTTGCTTTTATTACGAAAATCCATTTTCCAGATTCTCTTATTTTTCACACCGCAACTATCTGTTATCAAGACCTCATTGGTATCCGTCAGTGTTTGATAACGGCAGTCGCTGGCATTCTCTTCGGAGGTCCCTGACAAAAGGGTGCAGGAGGGTCTGTTTCTCCACCAGCTGGGTACCGCAGTGCTGTGCAAACCACTATGGAAGAGACTGTCAGGGTGAGAAATCTGCACCGCTGCGCCCACCCCTGGCACAAAGGAATTCTTTTCTCTTGTCACAATGAGGTGTCCTCTCTTAGCCAGATGGTGGTGCCTACCCATAGATGCTCCTTTGATGGGTCACCATGAAGGCTGGTAGCTGTCACATTTTTGTCATGGTATTTCTCTGTGTGCAATTTTTTCTTTCTAGCCCTTATGTTGCAAAGATAATCTTATGGTGACCGATGCAGTGCTGTCTTCCTGTGTTATCCCAACCAATAGTGCTGCTGCAGCCAGTTCCTTTTCTTTATATAAAGCAAGTTAGGAGAGTCAGGAGACATGCAATAGCGAAATGAGGTTTTTCATCATTTTTGCATGAAAGTCATGGCAAGGGGTTATTCCCATAGACATTTCGCACGCATTAGAGAGTCTGTGGGAACATCCCTTCCGTGCACCTCACCAGGACTTTGTTAGGACCACCTGAGGCAGCCCCTGAGGAATCCATCCCAAGGGTGAGGTGAGGCCCAGTGGATGCTGGGACACCAAAGCTGTGGTGAGTCGGGGGTGTAGACTGGGAACGCTAGCTTTATCCAGTAAACCCACCAAATTCACTCTTTAACAACTAACCAAGTTTTTATGAGTAGTTTTCCCTGCCTCCAGGAAAAGCAGGAACCTTTTCTTGCCTAGTCTCCAGTTTGGGTAACTTATCAAGGCTCTGTGTTTTCAGTCTGCCCAGGAGGGCTGGAGGCTCCCTGCAGTAACCGTGGTACTTGTGATGATAGGATCGATGGGTCAGGACGATGCAACTGCACCGAGGCTTTCATTGGGACGGCTTGTGAACTGTGTGCGCCAGGCAGATACGGGCCGGGCTGCCAAGGTACAGACCTATAGACAGATAACCAGAAATGACTGTGATGTGTGTGCGCATCGTAGTGGTCTGTGCAATACACTGACCAGACTGCAGAGGATGGGATTAGTTCGTTTGACCTGACGGGGGGGTGGTAGACTTGGGGTAAGATCGTCCCTCAGACCTGCGGTTAGAGGAGCAGTTTCTGTAGGCAGTGACGACTGTTTGGTCGGTAGTGCACTGTGCTCCAAGGGGTAAGGAAAACCCCACCGAAACTCTGGGCTCATACTGTGCTCTCGATTTTAACATTTTAAGCAGAGCTCCTCACTGAAATCAGTGTGAGGGGTTACCCTTACGTGAACGGCACATTGTGGCCGCTGGGACGGTTATGATACCATAGAACTGTCCTTATTCCAATAACAGAGAGGTCATCAGATTACAGCTACTGTGGAGGGGAAGCTGCACCCTTTCTTAATCCCTCTCTGCAGGACTCTGTCATCAAGCCAGCTGAATAACACTGGCTGCCATTTTTCCTGAGGTGTAAGAGGCTGGGCTGTGATGTGTACATGAGGCAGTTCAAGGCCAGGCCGAGTTGGGTATTTCCCAGTACACTTGCTTCAATCTTATAATTCACTGATGCTGAGGCCTTTAAGGTGTGTAAGACGCTCCCTCTTCCCCACTTGGTGCAGTTAAGCAGCTCCATCCATGTCAGTGAGAGTTAAGCATGTGCTTTGGGGTGTGAATGGGCCTCTAATCAGACAGGCTTCTAATTAGAGCTGCCATGTGTCCTGAATTGGATGGGCTTGCGAGACATTGGATCCCCCTGCAGTCTCTTTCGGGGTCAGTGCTGCCCTGATGTGCTGTGTCAGGCCAAGAGGAAGACAAGACCAGGGTTAAGAAGCATGAAACCTAGACTCCTTCCCTGGGTTTGGCATTCAATGTGCGGGACTCACAAGCATGGGAGAAAGTTTAAAAGGGATTCACTGACCGGGGGATTTTGAGTAAGTGACTCACAAGCCGCCCAGGGGAGGAAAAAGAAAGCTAAGGGCATTTGCCAGAGGGCTACAGAGCAGAGAGGGGAAGGGAGCCCTCCAGGAGAGGTTAAGCAAAGTTTGGTTGGTCCATCACTAGTCAATGCCCTGGACCGAGCACAGACGGGTGTTGGGGAAGAGGCCATGGACATCAGCACAAGTAGCGAGAGTTCCTGGCTGCAGTTTTACAATTGCACACAGACTTGTGGTAATCGCCCGTGAAAAATTCTGCAGGCATAATTCTAAAAGTCCAGGCCTACACAGAGCCCTCATGTAGCCATATGCCAAAATCCATCTTCCAGTGCTACCCTTCCCTTCTCAAGTGGATCATCTTACAGGTGTGTTCTTATCTTCCTGTCTGTTGCTTTGCAGAGTGTAAGTGCACAGAGAATGGGATGTGTAATGAAGGCTTGAATGGGGATGGGATCTGTTTCTGCACTGAGGAATGGACAGGAGAGCGCTGCGAAACCAAACTAGGTAACTTACACTTGACTCTACAGGTGAAACTCCCAAGTATCGTTCCTTCCCTTGGGCAGGTGGTTCTGTGAATGGGCACCTGTAGCATCAGTCACATGTTGTCTTTTATTTCATGGTTATCAAATTTATCTCTGTCCTGTTAGGTTTGCTCTGGATGCATGAGTCCATCTGTTGCTATCTTATTTTTACAGCATCCAGACACGTTGCTGCAAAGCAGCTCTGCTCTGGTGGCTCAGCTGGGGTGAGGTTTTGTGGCTGGGTTGGCGTACAAGCACTATTTTTTGTAGCTCATGCTGTGGAAGTGAGTTTGTAGGAGAAATCTGAATGAGGCGAGTGTGGAGTCCGGACACAGTACCTGAGAGGTGGGATCCCCAGCTTGGGTAGATGTACCTGTGCTAGTGTAATGCCTATAAACCCCAGTTGTCAGCAGGCAGGATAGAACATGGGATCTCTGAAGCTTCATGAATGAGTCTCTACTGCATGAGCCAAAAGCCACATGGCTGTTAGCCAAGCTTGTAGAGGACTCATCAATCTCTAGAGTCGAGGTGCCACTAGAGGGAGACAGAGCACCACACCATGCAGGCATGGGTTACACTAGCTTGACTTGAGCTAGTGCCTGAAGATAGCCAGTGGCCTTTGCTGCAAGTGGCAGCTCGGGCTGACTGTCCATGCCCAATCCCGCCCGACCTCCTGGGAACACACTAGGGCTGCTAGCCCAAGCCACTGCCTGTGCCAACATGGCCACACTGCTACTTTAGGTGCTAGTTCAATCCAAGCTAGTGTGTGAATGTCTATTTGAGCTGGGAGCCCAGCTGCAGTGCAGACATACCCAGAGATTCTGGACAGCACTCCAGGAGTGTGGGAAGGCAGCTGCAATTGCTCACATGTTTCTCTGTTTGGACCCCCACATTTGAGTTTAAAAATTTGGCCCAGCACGCCTAGCTAAGGCCCATGGACGTGCTGACAGTAGACGATAGCAGCAGCCAGAATTGGACATAATAAGAGGAACCGTGTGGAGAGAGGGGCAGGGAATTCATAGTGTAGATCTGGGGGTATTAAGGAGCAGACCCAGGTGCACCAGAACATGTGGCAACCTGAGCCAAACAATCCCTGCCATACACTGCTACAGTGAGAACACCATTGAGCTGAACACTGGAACAACCCTTCCCTTTGGAACATCTTTGCTTCTTATAATGTTCCCATGAAGAGCTCTGAAATGGGGCAGGAAGTCCCCAAAGTGTGATTGTTCAGTGCTGGGTGGGAATTGAAGGCCTGATCCTGCTGGGTGCTGAGCACCATCAAGTCACAATAAAGACCATGGGAGTTGTCTGGGCTCTGCACCTCTCAAAATCAGGCCCTGAATTATTATACTGCATAGGGCCCTAACTCTGCAGAGACTTAAGGCAGACTTGATCCTGCCAATCTGCTTCAGAGAAGAGGATTTTTTTTCTTGTATCTTGGGAACCCATTGATCTAAAGAACCCAAATGTGCCCCCTGAGACGTGATCGTGTTCAAGATGATCTGAGCAGACAAGTGGTTTCAAAAATACTTTGAAAAAGTTGGCTTTTTAAAACAGAACGCTGGTCTCCACTGGAGACCTGGCTGGCCCATAACGACACCTGAGGGTTTGGGCAACTAGGGTTGGAACAAAGATACAGGAAGTTAGGATGTGAATGATCCAGAGAGTTCTCATTTTTATTTAAATTGAGCAAGAGGGAGGGTTTAGGCAGCCTGTGGGATGAAGGGCACTGATGGGGAGCCAGGGGACGGAAATGGGGTCAAGCAGGAGGAGTGAGGTGGACTGGAAAGAGGGATGTTGCTCCAGGCCAGGGGATCAGCAGGCCAAAGGGTATGAAGGTCACAGTGGGAGGAACGAGGCATGGAGACCAGCCCCAGCTTGAGGTAGGGAGTGGCGGGAGATGCAGGAGCAGAGCTGCGCCGAGCCTGGAGTGGGAGGGTGGAGCATAGATTGCAGTAGGACTTGGAGATGCGTCTGCATGCAGAGTGCAACCTACTGATTTGAATGGCTTGTTCTGTGACTAGCTGCAGCGCCGGTGTGCTCCCCAGCTTGCCACCCCAATGCCTCCTGCCGAGCCGATAATATCTGTGAATGCAACTTGCATTATGAAGGAGATGGAAGAACTTGCACAGGTACAGTTGGAGCATATGGCCTGGGCCTGAGCTGGGCAATCTCTAGTGTTCTGACAAATGTGGAGGTGTGGCTAGTTTGGAGAATGAAGACAAATTAAGGTGGTATCAGACAAAGGAAAGATGGGGGAAATAACACTTACTCCTCTAATCATCCAGACCAGGGATCTCAAACTCAAATCACCACAAAGGCCACATGAGGACTAGTATATTGGCCTGAGGGCCGCATCACTGACACCCCTGCTGCCCCCAGCCCTGCCCCCACTCCACCCCTTCCATGAGGCCCTGCCCCGCCTCTTCCAACCCCTTCCCCACCCCCATTCCAACCCCTTCCCCAAAGTCCCTGCCCTGCTTCACCCTCTCCCTGCCCCTATTCTAACCCCTTCCCCAAATCCCTGCCCCAGCCCTGCCTCTTCTCCGCCTCCCCCCCTTCCCCCGAAAAGTTCTAAGCACTGCCAAACAGCTGTTTGGTGGCAGGAAGTGCTGGGAGGTAGGTGGAGGAGCGGCGGCGGCGGGGGGGAGTTATGGCAGGCCGCAGGAAACGCAGCCCACAGGCCGCATGTTTGAGTCCCCTGATCCAGACCTTTGTGGAATGATGCAGGTGCTTTGTATTTAAATGGCACAGTGCAGGACATTATCAACCAATCAGTATTTAGGCTTGAGATTTTCAAATCTGCCTAAGGGATTTGGATGCCTAATTCCATCTCAGCCTTAATATATACGATCTGTTTCTATTTTAATCTACAGGGAATGCCATTAATAAATTCCAGTCCTGTATCCATTATTGTGCAATATTCCTATTCCTGTCAGGCTCATTGCAGAATACAGCTACTCTCTAATTGCACCCACTGCCATTAGTTTGCTAATATTTAATTGTGGTATGAAAAGACCAAAAAGGTATTTGTGAAAGAAGATTGATCCATGCAGGACTCTCCCGAAGTCACACTGGGGACTGTCCCGCTAACAAGGGCTGGAGGATCAGGCCCTTGTAAAGCCTGCTGAGTTAAAAGGCTGAACTGTCTTTCTTGCCTTAGTGATTGACCAGTGCCGGGATGACAATGGAGGGTGCAGCGAGCATGCCAACTGCACTCAGGTGGGTGTTCAGCTCTCCTGTACCTGCCTACCGGATTACCAGGGAGATGGCTACGTCTGCAGCCCCATAGACAGGTGTGCGGATGGCAGGAATGGAGACTGCAGCGAGCACGCCTTGTGCATCAGCACTGGGCCAGTAAGTATGTCGTGAACACCAAAGGCATTTGGCTGCCCTGCCCATGTTGTGGGAACAGCATTGAGATGGACGAGGAACACTGACACCAACACACAGGTGCAACGGCAGCAGCTAGTCTACATGGCAAGAGCCATGAGCAATAGCTTTCTAGTCAGTGCCTCCCCAGTCATTCAACCCGCCCGATTCCCCAGGGCTCTCTTGTCACCGTGTGCCACACTCCGAAGGCTGGGGAAGCCTGCCTTGCTGCTAGCTTTCAGGGGTTAGTGTTCCTCCCCATACAGCATGGCGTGTTCTCTGCCTAAAGTGAACCCGGTCCCCTAGAGTGTGGGGGGGGAACAAAGAATGGTGTGGGAGGGACTGCCTGTGGGACGGGGAAAAAGCTGCCTCCGCCCCGCAGTGGCACCAGGTCTCTTGCAGAGGGGCTGGTGACTGTTCTGCTGCAGTGGGAGGCAGGACTGGGAGAGCCCATGAAGGCGGGAGTGGGGGGGTGGGTGTCACAGCTGTGCCGTGGAGCCCTGCTCCGTACAGGGCAGTGTGCAGAGAGGATTTGGAAGAAGGCCAGCAGCCGTGCTACACAATTCTGCTTGCTGCCTCCCTCCCCTAACAAGAGGTTGGGTGGCAAGGGCCATGGGAGTGACACCAGTCCTGTGGCGGGAGTGGCAGCCACGCAGCTGCTTTGCAATCCTGGGGGGGTGGGAGGGGCATTTTTCCATGTAAGTTTGGCTGGACATAGGATTTGTCCCCCACAGTGACTGAGCCCATCCCCTCTCTGGGGTAGGGCCACCACGTTGGGAGCATATTCCACGGGGTCACCTTGTGACATTGCGATTATGGCCTCTGGTGGCACCGCCAGATCACACCACTTCTCAGGCCCAGGGAGGAGCTCAGCCTGGGTTGCGAGACAGGAGGTTGTCCTGTTATGGTCAAACTTCGCCCAGAAATTTCAGGACGGTCAGCAACCCCATTGCTAGAACCAGCCAGGCCTCAGCAGGAGATCATGGGCTTCCCGAGCGCTGGGACTGGCCTCCCTGCTGCCCCGGGGATTCCTTTGTGTTGCAGAATGCTCGGAAGTGTGAGTGCAAAGTGGGCTATGTTGGCAATGGAATTCAGTGCCTGGAGGAAGCTGTGCCACCCACCAACCGCTGCCTGGAAGAGAACGGCCACTGCCACCCCGAGGCCATTTGCACTGATCTGCACTTCCATGGTACGAGTCCTTGTTGCCACCACTTTCCTCGTCAGAAAACAGGAGTTGGGGAGGCAGAGGCAGTTCTGTCGCCTCTTATTTCAGACCACCCCGCATAGAGGAGATGGGTAGCCCGTTTTCCGGCCCCAGGCTCTATCAGACATAAAGCCTGTTTCCTCCCCTGAGATTTCTACCTCAGACCCAGTGGGGGCTCAAGGGTCCCTTAAAATTCTCACTCTCTTGCCTCTGTCACTTGTTAATGTGTGAAATCTCACAAGTTAAACCAGGTCAAGCTGCTTGGAAGAGACTCGAAGAAAAGCCCTCATGCAGCAGGAAGTGGTGGAGTTGGGTCAGTAGGTGGTGCTGTTCCCCCGGAGTCTAGGTTGAGTCAGTAACCAGTACGGAGTTAGGGAGCACTGGTGCAGAATGGCTTCCATCTTCCCCCCCAGAAGTGGCTGTATTTTAATGATAAATAACCCTGCTGGTATGTGTGTATATCCTTTAAAATGTCAAAAGTAGATTAGGTTTGCAAGGTCAGTTGTACACTGGCTGCTTGGCATTGCCAGTGTGGTGTCCAGCAGCTGCTGAATCTGGCCCTTGCTCTCTAGGTGTGAGAGTGAGAAACACACACACACATATGTGTAGATAAGTATTTAGGGTCTAGGTGAAAGGCACTTTATAAATATATATTATGTTGGATCTTCAGATGCAGCCACCTTGCTGATTTGCAGGAATAATCGAATGCCCCTAAAATTGTGCCCGAGATTATTTTCGGCTGTAAGATCAGAGGGCTCTCTCCCAGTCAGGCCCTGAACCTGTGTTTCCGGAGAGCTCCCTGTGAAGTGACATGCACTGGCATGGTTGTTTTCCAGACAAAACCGTTGGCGTGTTCCACCTCCAGTCGCCAAGAGGGAAGTACAACTTCACCTACGGGGAGGCTGAGGCTGCCTGCCTGGCTGAAGACGCTGCTTTGGCCACTCTCCAACAGCTCTCAGCAGCTCAGCAGGTAAAAGCAGAGTCACAGCTGAGCCAGCTCTCGTACCTCAATGGGCCTGAAAGCGCCAGGTTGGTGATGGGTGCAGTGATCCACCTCATTTTGGCTTTTTGGCACCTCTCCTTTGGGTTGGAATCCCAGCTTTAGCAGCAATGTGGGAAGCAACCCAGGGCAAGTGCTCTTTTATACAGGGTTCTGAGTGTGTCCATTACAGCAGCCGGGCACACCAGTCACATGGTCATTAGCTATTTCAATAGATGATATCCCTTCAAAGTGCCAGGTGCCTTGCACTTCTTTTTCTGTGATGGATCGCGCTGAAGCTGTGTATGAGCCACAGTGCCCCAGAGCTTTGATGGGCTGGATAAATGCCAGGCAAATGAACAGTATGCAGTGGTGGTGTAGCCGTATCAGTCCCAGGACATTAGAGAGAGAAAGTGCGGGAGGTAATAACTTTTGGACCAACTTTGGTTGTCTTTCTCTTGCCCAATAAAAAATAATGCTTTATGCCAATGAAGCATCAGGTTTCTGTTTGCCTAAGTAAAATGATGTCCTTCCAGGCTGGGCAGTGGAGAGCAGTGTATGAATTACAAGGGCAGGAGTATCTCCTTTATATAGGGCTTTCAGTAGAGAATACTAAAATGAATCAGTGCCGTTATAAGAAAAGGAGTACTTGCGGCACCTTAGAGACTAACCAATTTATTTGAGCATAAGCTTTCGTGAGCTCACATCCAATGAAGTGAGCTGTAGCTCACGAAAGCTTATGCTCAAATAAATTGGTTAGTTTCTAAGGTGCCGCAAGTATTCCTTTTCTTTTTGCGAATACAGACTAACACGGCTGTTACTCTGAAACCAGTGCCGTTATAGAAACTGATTCATGGCTCATACAATCCTGTCTCTCACTGGACAACTTCTTTTCCTATTGCAGATGGGTTTCCATCTATGCTTAGTTGGTTGGCTCAATAATGGCACTGCAGGATACCCAACTGTATACCCGACCCCCAGCTGTGGCTCCAACCACATTGGCATTGTGGATTATGGCTCCCGAAAAAACTTGACTGAGAGGTGGGATGCTTTCTGCTACAGAGCTAAAGGTATGGAGAGACTCAGTATTGGCTCTGTTGGAATCTGCAGCAGGGAATGTGATTACACTTGTTTGTATCTCAAAGGTGTGTTATATCAAGAATTTATGCTCCTTTTGATTATGCACACACCACAGCGTCAAGGGGAAAACCTACCCAACACATCTGCAATACGCTGTCACTTGCCGGTTTCCACTACATTGGTTTATGCGCTGAACATTCTTATTTAATAACATAAAGCACCAGAGATCTCAAAGTGCCTTACAAAGGCAAGTAAGTGTTTTGAGCCTCCCTGTTACAGATAGAGAAACTAAGGCACTGGGAGGTTAAGTGAGCTGCCCAAGTTTACACAGTGGTGCAGAGAAGCCAGGGTTTGAACGCCTAGTCCAGAGCTCTATCCACTGGACCACAGCTGCCTTCCGCATGGACAGAAATCCTAAGCAATAGTTCAGTGTATTTGTTGTCTGAAGAGCTCACACCCAATCCTGTTCCGCTCACATCTTTCTCCCCTTTGCAGATGTGAGGTGTAATTGTAGAGATGGGTTCATTGGAGATGGCTACTCCTGCAATGGAGATCTCCTGGCTGTGCTGGCTGAGCACTCCAACTTTTCAACCTTCTATTCTGTAAGTGTTGGTGCCACATTCCCTCTAGCCGGGGAAGTGGGAAGGGACATGCTCCTCAGCAAAGCGAAGAAGGGAATAATAGGGAATCCCCAGATCGCAAAGGTTTGGAAACGAAAATCATTGAAATGGAAGACAAGATTGTGTGCTCTCTGAAGTGCCATGCACAGTGGGAGAGTCAAGCTGCTTCCTCTCATTGCCAGTTAGTGTCTCTGCTATTCTAGCAAAGGTGGGGAGAATTCACGTGACATCTCCTGGGTTCTGCTGGCCAGAATGTTCTGACAAACCCGCAGCTTCAGGCTGGCACTTAGGATTCTCTCTCTCTCTTCCAGATGTTACTGGATTACACCAACGCCACGCAAGATGGACTTGAGTTCCTCAACTTCCTCTCCAATGACACCGCATATAAAACTCTCTTTGTACCCTTGAATTCTGGCTTTGGGGTCAATATGGTGAGAAAGCTGGAGAGAATATGGGATTCTCTCATCACTGGCGACACAGAACCTATAGCCATTTGAATACAGTGTTGTTGCTTCCTTGAAGGATTAGGGAAAAATGCTCCAGACTGGCTGAGTGGGTTTTATGTCTGAAGCAGGTTTGTTCTGGCTCTCTTTTGCTTGGAATGCAAGAACTAGTCTGGCGCCTTGTCTACACTGCACTCCAAGAAGTCTTTCTCCGTTGACTCATTGGACAGCATACAACTAAAATGTTGAAAGAGCAGCAAATGCCTGACTTATTTTCCCTCTGCTTTTGACTCTGCCTCATCCTCACTTCTAAACTTTGTTTTCTCAGAAATTAACATGGGAGGAGCTGAAGCTCCATGTCTCCCTGAGTGATGTTCTCCTCTTGAGCTCCAATCTCACCAATGGTACCGTTATACCTTCCTGCTCCGGCTACAACCTTCTCATTGCAGATGCTCCCCTGCTGAATAGCACGCATCCCCCTGTAAGTATGTTGGGCCAGTTCAGTACTCAGCCAGCTTCTCTTGCGTCTAGGTAATGGGTAACGTTTCCTGTCCAAAAAGGCTTTTTCTAAAACATATTCACATTGAGTCCCTTAATATTGCTGCTTCTTCTTGTGACAGGGTTCCAAAGTGATTAATAATACCCTGATAGTACAGTGGGACATTCTGACTTTCAATGGAATCATTCATGCCATCGAGGGGCCACTGAGGATGCCTCAGCAGCCTGTGCACCTGAATCAGGCAAGTTGCTTGTTCAATTCCATTGAGAGTTTAAATGGCAGGTTTAAGAACACATGTTGGGTTCGGTTACCCTGCATCAGAACAGGACGAGTCCCATTTGGTGCGCTCACCAAGGCCCTACTGTGCTGCGGCCTGTGTCATTAAATAGAGTCCAGCCTAGCTGTACTCTGCACTGCTGCAGTGAAGAACCAGACTGGGGCCACACAAGCTTGGGCTCCCACTCTTCGGGGTAGCTGTGATGTGGAGAGCAGGGAGATAGCTCGGTAAGGGTAGGGCGCTTGCCTTAGAAGTCGCTAGCATGTAGAATTTTATCAACGGACCTTTGTGTTAGTGTGTGTCCTCATATAGCCAATCCTAACGCATTCTGTATGGTGTAACGGCAGGAAATCCCGGTAAAGCAAAGCAAGAATTATTTGGTCATTTGGGCCCAAGGCTACAGCTGAGGCTTGTGCAAGTAATGTAAACTTGCTGTGCCTCAGTTTTCCCACTGGTAAAATGGAGATAATACTTAGCTACAGCACAAGTGGGCTGAAGCTAAATTAAAGTACTTTGAGATCTTTGGGTGGAGGCTGCTAGGTATTAAGATATACCTACTGTATTGATATACAACACAGGGATGAATTTAGTGTGAATGGCTCTGCATACTGAGTCAGTTACCCTTTAGTTCTCCTGTAGTATAATGAGCTATACATACACATCAAAGAGTTCTTCTGACCTCAGATCATGTATGTTAGTTACCAGCTACTTCCTCCTCCCTGCACAGAACTATACCTGAGTGTTTCACTTCCCGTAAAAGGTCTGTCCTCTTCTCCTTGATCATTGCTGGAACAGGCATCCTTTCTGCCTACCTGGTGCAGGTGGGCCTCCAACTCCATGGCAGAGCAGCCCTCCTCACCTTCTGCCTGCTGTTTTAAGGGACAGGAAGACCAGCTAATGGCCAGTTCAAAGACATGAGAGAGTGTGGTACCTGTACATTTTTAGATGTATTTGCATAGCCATTGCTATGACTGGACTATAAAACATTGAGAACAGCATTGAGCAAACAAGTGGCACCAGTACAAAAACATAGGCCCCTGCTGTTAAGTAATCCAACGGATAGCATCAGTCTGAAAAATGCACTCTTTTGGCCACCAGCCAACAAAAAAAGAGAGCTAGTCTCCTCTCGTTCGGCCTATTGCTGCGTGCCTTGAAAATGTAATAGTGCTGAGTAAAGGCATGTCCCAAATCTGCAAAGGGAGGAGACAACTTTACATCACAACGGAATGTAAGGTAACCAGTGTAGTGATGATGAGATGCATCAGTGTATGTATTATAGCTTCTTTTGAAACTTCCGGGCAGTAGTAGGATAGTGAACTAACTGGTTTATTTTACTACATAGTTAATCACTTCCAGTCTGAGCTGCGTGTGTAAGATGGGATCAGATCAGGAATGAGTGCAGCACACAGGGGAAATAAAAACCTGCATAAATGTTCCAGGTAGCCAGCTCTCTATTTCAGAGGTGTGAAAAAGTTTAGTTTACGCTTTTTTAACACACCAGTTGTCTTAAAATACATAATGAAGAACTGCCTTAAACACAGAACTAAAACAACCTAGCGTGTCTATTACAGGTTACTAATGCTACAAAATCATCTCCTCCTGTGACCATCGGGGTAACATCCGCTGCTGTTGTGGTGCTGCTGTTATTTGCTGTTGCTGGCGTGTCCTATTACTACCAAAAAATAAAAACCCCAGGATTCCAGTTCCACTACTTTCAGGTTTGGAGAAAAGTATATTCGCTATAAAAAAAAAAAAAAAAACTAACAAAACCCCAAAAACACCTTGCTTCAGCTTCTCTCACTAAAGCACAAACCATTTCTGTTATCCATACTGCAATGGTCATATGCATAAGAGCTCAAGCTGTTACAGTAGCCAAACTGGGTGACTGCATGCAGCTAAGGACTCTTGTGGGTTTTTTTGCTTTCTGATGCATTTAAATGTCAGCCCGTAGCTAACCTCTCCCTGTCGAGTCGCATTTACATGTGGCCTTTGGACATGGATGAATAGTTTCCCCATAAAAACATTGAGAAAGTTTTCCAAGACGTATTTCCATCTGTTATGCTTGGTGTTAGGCTATTGCCCAGGATGTATTTCTGGAAAAAGAACTTGGATGGAGAAGTGCTAAGAATTCTCATCTTTAAGGGCTTGTCTACATGAAGCAAATTCTAATGCACACAGATGTTTTGTGAACTAACTGGCCACTGCTGGCACATCCTAAAAGTTCCCTAGTGTGTGCCAGGAGGGTCTACGCAGGCCAGCTGGTGCGTGTTACTGCACCATGTATACAAGCCCAAAGAGTTGGCTTGGGTGAGAGACACACCTACTTTTAATCAAAATTATTAAACATGAGGGTGGAGGGAGGTTTAAACTACAAGTAAATTCTTTAAGGTAAGACAGCCATTGCACATGGGACATGGGGGAAAATAACTATTAAGGCTGCAATAAAGGAGTGTTTGATGTAGTTGACCTTCCAGTTTATACTGTCACAGCTTATGAAGGAGTGTTACTACAGCCCTATGCTCTTGGCCTAGATCTAATGAGAATTTGGGTCACTGCAACATTCTCTTCTCACGAGGGGTTGTTGCTGCTCCCATAACTTGCAATACTAGGGCCATGTCTACACCGTAGGCACTACAGTGCCATAGCTATGCCACTCTGTAGTGTGGACACAGACTACTGTGACAGCAGGGGTATTTCCTGTGCTGGTAAATTAAGCTGTGTCTATTACTGGGGCTTAGATTGGCATAGCCTGACCCTCATGCTATAGACCAGGCCTATGATTTAGCCACTATGGGAAGAACTGGATAATTTGTAGTGTGTTGTCTGCAGACTGCATACATGTAAATTACAGCTTAAACTAGAGTGAGGTTACCAAGGAGTCTGGTCTAGGCAATGGAACATGTTAAAAAGTTGCTAAGCACCTTAAACCTGCATTGTTGTGTGGTAACAGGTATAAATGGGTATGAGGAGAAGGAAGCTAGAAATATGGAAACCAGTGTGGGAGGTAAATGAGCAATATGGATTAAATTACCCTTAACTGATCGCTCATAAAAATAATTACCTTTCTGTGCATCTTGGAAAAGATTTTACATTTAAGAAAAAACTCCACTACCTTACTAACTAGAGTCTGTAATTCAATTTCATTTTCACTACCTTGTTAATGCAAGGAACCATAGAAGTGCTCAAGACTGCAGTAATTATGAACTCACCTCTAGAGGATGGGGAAGATCGATACCTAATCTCTTGTACCTTTGCACACAGGCTGACCTGGAAGAGGAAGAGCAGGCCAGGAACCCGCCCTTAGTGTCATTCCCAAATCCTCTCTTTGGGGCCCAGAGCTTGATGTGTGAACCATTTGAGGTAAGAAAATGTTTCATCAGAACAAAACAAGTGAGACCACTTGTTTAGAACCTAACCAAATTGGGGGAAGGAGAGTTCATGCTTGGTAGGGGTGAATGGGATTTGGTAAGGATGTAAAAACAACCCTTAATCTGCACTTATCACAGGGATGCTTGAGCCAGACGAGAGGAATCTCTGGACATGTCTAAACAGATATAGTGCTTCAGCATAGTCACTTGCTACAAGGGTTCCCCAGTCATTATAGTTAGTCCACCTTATGAAGAGGCAGTAGCTAGGTCAATGAAATAATTATTCTGTCAACCTACTGCTGTCTACACTGGGCTTTAGATGGCTTAACTGTGTGAAAAATCCAACTCCCTAAGTGACACAGCTGGGTCAGCCTATCCTTTAAGTGTAGACCTGACCTAAGGTAAGGGGAATCTCTTCTCTCTTTAGTCCAGGCATTGAACTCCCATTGACATTTTTAACCATGTTAAAAGCAAGCACCCTGCACCTATAAACTGAATTAAAAGCATCAGTAAATAAGTTTTCAATGTTGATTTAATAAATTAGATGGCAGAAACCACAGCTGGGTTTTAGCAGGCAAGGACTCAGTATCCTCTTCCACTGAGAAACTTCTTCTCTTAATCTATTTACTCAGGCTTTGCAGGGGAGAGATCAGTATAGAGGTAGGGTGATGTCCCCTTCTTACCCCAACCTGCTGCTACTTCTATAGCAATTTCATGTAGGGAAGACTGCAGTAAAGATGTTCGCTGTAGTGTCAGGGCAGTGAGAACTCCCTTAATCCCCTTCAGAACTGGAATTGCCTAGGAAACCAGCCTTATGTTCCTGCTGCTAAACATGTAGTGAGTCAAGGGTTAACTTTAGAATCTTAAAGGATGTGTTTGTCAAGTTAGGAGCCAGCTGAGGACTATGCTAACAGTTTCTATGTCTGTTTCAGGACTCTTTCAGGGGGGAAGATTTATCAGACACCTGCAGAATTCTTGAGTAAAGCATACAGCAAGCCAAACAAAGGGGGAAAATAAACCACCATGTTCTTGCTGCATGCTAGTGCTAAGTGGAGCTTGCCCACATGTCCTGCAAGGGGTAAGCAGATGAAGAGTGAGCTAATGGTTAACAGTAAACCAGACAAACTCATCAGCTAAGATACCTCAGTTGAACTACCTTAAGACATACATACCTGCAGTTACTCTGATGACTAGTGAATGTCCTTGTTGATGCAGCTAAGAAAACTTTCACTGGAACAGCGAACACATGATGCCAAGCTGCCACTTGGCGCTCTGCACTGATATTCTTCCATAGCTGTAGGAGGGGAAATTCACTACATACATCTGAAGAATGTTGCTTTAAAATAATAGTACCATTTGTAAAATATAGCCAGTACTACACAGTCATAATCCTCCAGGGCTAAATTATATATATATAAAATGGAGTGGCACACAGCACCTGATAGCTGGAAAAACAGTCTGGCCAGAAAACCTAATGATTCTAAGCCTTTAAACTGGTGAGCATGACAAATGCCTTTTTATTCAGCTGGTTTGTTTGCTTTAATCAAGTGATGACTCTCCAAACAGGCTTAGCCTGAAGTCTATGCACATTGCACTGTTTTGCTGATTAGTATTGTGGTTCTTCAATAAACTGCACTTTGAGAACAAGTCGCCTTGTCAGATTCTCAGCTGTTAGGGGTTAGAATTGCATTGGTTAAGTGAAACCAGATGGTAAACCATTATTTCATACTGTGATACTTTATTTACCATACTTCTATATAAGTTTAGAAGAAAAGAACCTACCATAATGAGCTACAGAAAGTTATTTAGACAAGAACTTTAACATGCTACATTCCAAATTATTCTCAAACCACACAACCACCATTGGTGTGTTAAATTTTCAGAGAGCCAAACATCCACTTGAGTTTCCTATTTATTTGAAGACCAATTACATCAAATTTGGGTGGCTATACTATGTCTTAGCAAAGGCATCTAGAGGATGTCCAGTCTGTCAAGTGGTAAAGTTGCCACCACAACATGGCAGATGCAACATTCTTCTGTTGCAGCATACACATTACAATTCCAGGGTCACAGATCACAACATGATAGTCCAAGACATTACATCACTTGAGAATGCAGTAGTATTCAAATGATATAGCAATGTTTAACAAGTTATTTACATTAATGCTAGTTATTTTGGTGTTCAAACAAAAGGTGGAATAGTTTCAATGTTTAAAAAAAAAAACTCAAAGCCATTTAACATCCAGTCACCAGGACAGGTACCCTGTTTATGCACGTGAGGTATCATGTTCCCAACTGTGGTTAGAGTTGCTACTCACTGCCAGAGATATTCTAGAACATTTTATTCTACCTACTATCCTCACAGCTGTTGCATTAATACTGTTTTATGGCACTGGATTATTTTACACATTTTCCCTAACTGCTATGGGATTTAAACTTGGCACAGAGCAATAAGCCACTGGCAGTCTGTCTACTAGGCACATAAAGCCTTCTCCTTCAAAGCCACACATGCACTAAGAATTCTCTGTATAGGCACAAGTCTACAATGTAGCTTTTAAAATGAAGTTCACCTATCCTAATGTTCTCAGCCCAGATAAAACTCTTGTGATGTGGAATGGTGAAATTACAAATTTCTGTATCTTCCCACACAAGATGAAAGATGCCATTTCTTATACTTCCCCTAGCTGCACAAGTCTCATGTACCAAAACTTTGCTACAGATTAAAGGTGCTCAAACCTGAGCTTGACCTTTTGCTACAGTACATAGAAAACAAGGTTCCATCATGATAAACTTTCATTATGCAGCAGTCAGTCAGTTCACAGCTCTTGATAAGTTATTTAGCATTCCCCACCAAATCCATCCTCCTCAGAAGCAGACACTCCAGGGCTGGTGCTTGGGGGACTCTGCCCTGATTTCTTTAGGGCAAGCAAGTACTGCTCCTGCAACGTATCTTACACACAGTAAAGGAAATCATGCACTTGGCTGTGCTGCCTTAGTGCATAAGAGGAATACAGTAATCTTCAGCATCTCACGCCACAAATTTAGCCTTAACACTGAATGGAAAATTTCAAACATCCATTTCCTTTCCACGGTTTCCCACAATCCTGCTATGTCTGAGCTCCTCCATTCAGCAGCTCCCAGAGTTGGTTCACAGTTGCAGCCCCATGAATCATTCCAAAGCTATGTAGAAAAAAATATCAGTAACAAAGAACTTCAAAGGAAACCCAATGCACTAGGCAGAGAGCCCACAGGGTACGCTTGTGGGAGATGCTGCTAGCAGAAAGGGCATTGAGACATTCTACAGCCCAGTATCTCCTGCAATTCTCCTATGTCTGGAAAGTAGAGAGCAGTGAACAAAAGTAAGGAGGATTAAGAGGAACATGCCCTACAGCCCCTTACTGGAAAACAAGGCCTCTGCAGATGACAAAGTCCACATTGTAATGGCCTATAAAAGGCCTTTTTGAACATAGACCCAAAAATAAATCATTGTTGAGCTTTCCCTTAGTCCTGCTCAGATTAAGAGAGTCAGAAAGCTCCCCTTCTTCAGCACAGGAGGGTGAGGCAGTGAATAGTTTTTCTTGCTCCTTGTGGGTTTTTGTTTTTTACTGCTTGTGGATGTAGGTGTGCTGCTGTGGCCTTCCACAGTACCTGAAGCCTTCTAAAAACTGCCTTCTGAGTCCTGCTCTGCCAGGTCAGCCATTGGGAAGAGGGGCTTTGTTAGGAGCTCTTTCCCTACAGCATTCAGCATCTACTTCAAGATGGGGGAGGGATGGGGTGGGGCACTTGAGCCCCACAAACCTCTTGTCCTTGCATTCCAGACTTCCCCTGGGATGGCTGGATGAGGTCCTCCTAGTCACGTTTCCCTCACTGTCAGCTTGGGAGAACATTCTTTTTTCACATGGTGCTTTCAGGGGTGCTTCTTCCCATGCAGCAGAGGCTCCTGTGGTTGCAAACCCAACCCCGCTCAGTCCCAGAACAGGGAAGGAGAAAGGCAGTTAAAAGAAAGATGAGGTGGCAAGTGGGAGCCCAGACTGGGGCCTCCATCCATAGCCTTGCAATTCTAAACTGTACACCAGAATTGTGGGAGATGATGCTGGGCTGCAGAAAAGGCTTCAAATAGGCTGTATGCCTTTTCTTCAGAAAAGCAGTTAGCCACTTAATTGCTTCTTCCCCTAAGAGGAAGTGTCTCTAAATGGAAATAAACAGCATGCCCGGATTTTAAGCACAGCTCAAAAATTTCTATTGGCAGGCAGAAAAAAGAGGGTGTTGATGTAATGGGGAGGAGGGATATTTATGCTAATAAGTCTGTTTTATGGCGATCTAGACTTCAGTCAGATGTTACTGCTTTGTGTGTGTAGAAACCCCTTTGACAATTGCAAGGATGTAAACTGACTGCATCCCTCGTGTTCGATACAAGCAGAGTCTAAATTTCATTTCGAGTGTTGTACTACTTCTGCCACCATTTATTTTAAGATTAAACCAGAAAAGCGTTTTCTTTATCTCAGCTTTAGACAGGTTCTCATGGGTTAGCACACAAAGGTTTGGGGTGTAAACATTACAGGGGTATGTTTTAAAACATGGGTTTCAGCGTAACGTTTCCATACGGCTTTGGGTTGTATAGAGCTGACAAAGCTGAATTATAGGCCAGCTCTGACCCGAGAAGGGTGCAGGGAGGATTATTATTAATAGCATCCCCGTCTAGGAGCAGCTCTCAGTGCTTTCATCCTTGTCATAATATTTCCAACTACTTGAAAGAGCGGTAGGAAGATTCCTGGTGGCATGCAGAAGAGATTAAGTGATATGGTGTGTGCAAAGTACTCCATCGCAAAGCAGCAGCACAGAAGTTATGCTTCTCTGGCTGGGCCTGGCCCTTTCCAACTCCTGTGGCTCCGCCCCTTCAGTTACACAGACATTCTACACTTGTAAAAAAAAAGTAATCTAAAGTTTGTCATTGTGAATTTTCTACCTAAACAGAAGCCGAGGCAGAGCTATAGCTAGAAATCACTGTCTCCTACCCAAAAAGGGCATAAAGTAATCCCCATCCATTGTCAACAACACTGGTTTCATTTTTTGGAAAAATATATTTAACACAAGATTCACTGACCTCTCCATGCCTGATCACAATTTATCCTTCATTGCTTCCCCCCCCCCCCCCCTACTGAATCAGAATAATCTCTTCCACAACTGTCGGAACAGCCTTGATGAGTCAAGAATACGAACAGGCCTTATTCTAATCTCAGTTTTACATTGGGGGTGCTGTAGCTTCACACCAGCCCATGACTTCAATTTGTGCAAATACAAAGGCATTTCTCATCTTATTGAAAAGATGAGAGCTCTAAGCTCTTTACTATAAAACAAAGCTATGTCATTTAAGGTAGTGTTTTAATTGATTTTTCCAGCAAATAAATTTTAACACTGAAAACTAAGTGTTGACTTAAATATATTTAAGACTAGGACATAATCAAAGATTTAAAATCCATTATAATCTAGTGATTAATTTAGCTTCAATGCTTTTCAAAACAATCCTCAAAGACATGGCAAATGATGGCAAGTACATATTTTAATTTCAAAGGCTGCAAAAATGCACCTTCTAAGCAGTGTGTGTCAAGATCTTAGCTTTTGAACTGTTTCTATAAGTGAAGGAAAAAAGCCACTATATTCACAGACCAAAACATTCAAAAGTTAGGTTGCCTAAAATCAGCTTTCAGAGGCGCTGAATAAAGCTTTAAATTTATGGGAGAGAAGAGTGGTGGGTTTGCTTAGCACTTCTGAGAATTGGGCCACTTCTAGCTAAGGTGCCTAACTGCAGTGTTAGGAGCCTAATTTCAGCTACCCCATAAGAAGATTGGGGCCAGAATTTGGGCAGGGACTGAAGATGGAGTTCTAAAAACTTTAGGGGCTCATGAAATGAAGCTTGCTGTGATTGTTTTACTTCTACCTACCCAACTCTGAGAATGCTTTGCTAGTTAAAATAGTCAATCATATCTCCCTTCCATTTAACTTAAGCACCAATTTGCTGGCAAGGAAGATATTTGGAAGTGCTGGAAGGCAAGGTTCAGTGATGGTCAGGGACAACACACAATGCACAACCCACACCCGTGTTAAAATCACCTTTAACGATAGACAATCCATGGCCAAACAGCCTGACCCTTTGTACAAACAATTCTAGCACTACATTACTGTAAAGTTCAGCTCACACACTTTCCCTTCATCGGATGTGCACCATCTCCTCCAGGAAGGGGGTCTTCATACAACCGGTGCAGAGCTGATCCATCCAGAGGGGCGCCTCGTGCTGCAGAGGGGTGCGCCGGGGGAAAAAGGTGAAGTTCACATCATAGTTCAGCAGGCAGCTGATGGATGCCATGTAGATATCAGAGAACCGGATCAATCTCCGGGAGAAGTAAGTTGGGTTGTGGAAGGTTCGGAAGATGCTCCCAAATTGAGGATTGAATAGGTTCTTCGAAAGGGACCTGAAAGGAGAGGACTTGGTTTGCATGGGCTAACATTTAGAGAAATTATTAACAGAGATTTTGTAACTAATTTTGACAATTCAGACCTTGGAAACAGATACTTTGCACAAGGCTTTAAAATTTCAGGGTACCAAAACCACCAGGGCAGGTACTTTCCTTATGGGCTGTGCTGTGATAGAAAAGCCAGCAAGAGATTATTACTGGAGTCTAACCTTAATTGAAGATTACCCAGAAGTGATGGTACTAATGGACCTAGTGAACGTAAGCAGCAAGGGCTACAATTTCCTCTTAGGGAGGATGAAGACAATGGTTTGATATCCACTGCCAAGTCATTCCACGCCTGCCATAGGAGTCCTGCCCTGTGGGAAGAATTTATGTATCTATATTGCTTAAACTTTAATGTTAACAGGATAAAGCAAGACTCATCAGGGCTGAATTGAAACAAGTTTGTTCAAGATGCCTAGTTTCATCTAAGTAAACGGTGAGTAGGCTCCTTAGCCAAGCTCTTGAAGTGAACAAGGAAGATGAAAGCCTACGCATTTAGGCCTGGAGCCTACAACACTTACTCATGTGAGTAAGGACTTGCCAAGTCAGCTTCTTTGGATGGAAAAATATAGATAGCAATGAAAACAATCTGGAGTGGAATCTGTCATTTAAGTGGTTGCATCAGTGGAGTGAATGCAGGTGGAATGACAATACTTTCTGCACTGTGAAAAGATAGCTGTGTAGCTAGCTTAAAAATTCTATTCGATTTCACAGAGAAATCTCTTACAGCAGACCTCTGACTAAAGGACAAAGCTCAGCCCAGCTTCACTTTTAGAAGTTGCACTGCTTCACTAGCTACAATCAGAAACGAACTGGGCACTGGAGATCCAACCCTTGATTTCAAGATATCTACATTCATAGGAGCATATTCACAAATTTAGAGTTTCCACAGGAATATTCTGCGAGGAAGGGAAGTTTGCTCATCCTAAAGCACTCTCAGATTTAGATACATTGAGTCACCTAATTTCCTGACGCTCTTGCATCCATTCCAGCAGCACCTGCTTTGATTCTGCATCTTGATACATCTAGAACAAAAAAGCCCAGTAAAAGATTTAAATCTAAACACAGACTTTTCTCAAATCCTTTTTCCTGCAGGTGATAGTGGCACTATCAACTAGGTGCCAGTTATCTGTCTATGGCCCTTGGAGCTCAGCAACGTCTTTAATTTTCTCCTTACTGTTGATAATTGTAAGTGTCAGCGACTAAGAAAAAATACAAATTGTGAGACAGGCTGTAAATCCACCAAATTCCCTGCTTTTACTCTCTAGTATTTGTGCTCTAGGAGATGCATCACAACTATGCACTACTTGGTTTAGAGAGTAGTCACTGGTCAATCCCCCAACACTATCTAGCAGAGAGCGTTGGTTGCTTATAGCATATTAATGTCTGTGGAGGATACAAAGAATCCTCACGAAAACATCGGTTAAGTCATACACTGTGGGTTTTTTGCCTTATATTTGTGAAGGAGTTTAGGTGACTAAAGAGGGAAGCAGTAACAGCAGTGGCTTGATGTTGCCATAGCACATGCATAGGGTAATCTTCCTCCAATCAATCAGTTTTGACACCTACAAATTTCTTTGACATTAAATTGCCTTGTGCATCTCAGAAACTCATTTTCCCCAGTCCCCTATTAGACTAAGCCGGAATGAAATTCAGGTCTGCAGAGATGAAAGGTAAGTGCTCACCCACTGCTTTCTTAGTCATGATTAGCAAGTTAACAGATAACATGCAAAACCATTCTTTGAGCTCTGCAGAGGATCTATAACCTACACTGATTTAAAAACTCCATTAGCAGGGATTTGATTTTAGGACTTGCACCATCTTATGAAAAGTGCCATCATTTATTAAATTAGTGGAACTGAAAGCCTAGCGACAGACAGGAAAGCTGCTTCCAGTCTGTTTTATTTCACAAATCAGAGTAACATTCTTCTGATAGCCCTCCCACTCGCTTTTATAATTGTGGAAAGGATACTGGAGATGGTTAATTAGAACTTCAGGTTGCCATGAGACCAGCAGGATGGGGAACATATTTTGGAGGATATGTTATTCACCTGCCAGCGTAGTAGACACCCATCCCCATGTACCACCAGACTAGTATGCAGAAGGAATTGTATTTCCTCATCAAAAAAAATATGCTACCAGCAACTCCACCTCTGCCACACTACCTTAAATGCTTATTCATAAACACCACTGCTATTCTAGTCTGGGACCTAACTGGAGAATAGACAAGTAGTAATACTATGTCATGCAGCAGTTTTATCAGAATGGTCCAGTCTACAGGGGCACAAGGAGATCAAATGCAATCTGACCCAAGCCAAAAATCTAAACCCTAGTTCTGAGACTTGAAGGCTAGTTAGACTCATTAGCCTGGCTCTGCTCCATCTTACCTGCATTCTCTCCAGCAGCCCTGTGAGTGCCTGTTGCCAGGTCAGCGAGTGCATGTACTGCTCTGTATTAATGATCCGGATTTCAGGTTCCAGTTCTGGTACAATGGCTCCCGTCCTCCAGCCATGACGCAGCATCAAGTCCTAGAAAGCAACCCAGAATTTTACACTTTATCTTACAACACTCTCAGGTGTAAGTGGTTTTTGAGGAACAGGACTAGAGTTTTCAGAAAAGCAGCTTTGCTCCATTTAGTGTCACTGGCTTGACTGTTAGTGTTTTTATCCTATGGAAAATACTGGCTCATAGGGTCTGGAGCATCATTGTAATGGTGCCCTCAGCTTCCTGTAGGGCAGAGAAAATAGAGGTCTCTGCTAATCTCTTCCAAAACCAGGGCAGTTAAATTGGTTCAGAGATGAGGGCTCTTACATGGGACCCGAGGGTCCCTCTTCCACACACACCCTCCACCCCTTGTTCTGTGAGCTAAAAGACCAAGCAATCAAGTTCTGCACTAGACTGCAGGGCTACATCACCATTCTTTAATGCCAGGGGTAGAGTTTTCCATAAAGTGCCACCGACACACAGACGCAGTGAATAACAGCAGACAAAGCCAAATAAGTCCTTGCCCCATTGCAGTCTCAGTTGTATGGCCAGGTTAAAGACAGAGCCAATTTTTAGCTGCGTTTAAAAAAAATAAAATTAAATTTAAAAAAAAAAAAAGGTCTCATCTATACACAGATGTATATTTCACGGAGATAGGCCTCGAGAGCCATCAGCAAACTTGAAATAAGATCTTGCTAATTGTTACCCTTTTTAGAAAGGGAAGACCTTAAAGATTTGTTTAGACAAATGATTGGCATCTTCTGAAGCAGACATGGAATTGTTGACACCATGGATTCATTTAAGACTGTTGTATTATAAAAGCAGAATACTCTGCTCTTGCCTGAGGGAGCCAGATTGGAAAAAGGCCCAAATAGCAGGTCATGGGAAAAATATATGATCCCTTGGCACCTTAGAAACAATACTTGTTATGAAAAAAATACAGTCAACTGGGTTGAACAAATGCCAGGTTAAAAGGGAACCACCCATTAGAATGAGCCACAGCAGAAAGTCAAGAACAGCCAAGTATATTGCTTTTCTGAATATAAACTCACTGACCACACTGCCTCAGTTGGACATTAACATTTAGGATGCATATTAGGATGCATATTAAAGGCACCACTTTGGGATTTTTGTCCCCATGATGTAGTGATTCATGCACTACAGTATTAGGAGTTTATTGCCTCAGAAGCTCAGACACAATAGCCAAAACTATCCACTTGGTCTGATGCCTTCCTAGTTACTGGAGGAGATGAACCACACAGAAAATAGTAAAAAAACAGTGGGTAGTGCAATCTGTGAAACAGTGGATTCTCCATCAGTGAGAATTTTTCAATCAAGACCCAGCAGAAATTTGTTCAGGGGAATCCTATGGACTGTGTTATACAGAAGGTCAGATTAGATGATCACGAGGTCCCTTCTGGCTTTATAATCTATGAAACATGTCAGTGACAAACCACAAACACCTAAAATCATAATTCAACGATAGCATGAGTACCTGCCAAACAATATGAAAGCATATCAATGTCAGGAATAAGATGGGCAGTAGGCAATGGTATTACAACAAAAGATAGGCTAAGATAAGCATAGTGGGGATACCAAAACAAACTGAGGAAAGGTGACCATAAGTAAGGCTACGATTTAATCAAGGGTATTTTTAGTAAAAATGTCATGGACAGGTCACAGGCTTCCCCCCCCGCCCGCCTGTGATCTGTCCATGACTTTTACTAAAAATACCCCTGATTGAATCTTGGGGCGGGGGGAAGCCTGTGGCACCAGCTGTATGTATATGGGGGGGAGGGGGGGCGGGCACTGAGGCCTGAAAGGTCAGTGGCTGCTTCAGCTGCCACCCAGGAAGGGGGGGGAAGGAAGGGAGGAGAGAAGGGAGGGAGCCTCCCCAGCCACTGCTCCAGCCGTCCCAGGACTGCTGCTGGGAACTGCCAAACTGCGGCTGCTCCTGCCACCCCCGGGACTGTTGCTCAGGCGGACCCTGGGGCCAGCCACACCAGCTGATGCAGAGGTCACGGAGGTTGCAGGAAGTCAGAAAATCGGTGACTTCCACGACCTCTGTGACAAAAACAAAGCCCTAATCATGAGCAACAATTAACACGAAAAGGGAGATCATCACTGTATCTTCCAATCCATCTCTCTTCACTGCTTTCTTTCCTTCGACACAGTGGTGGTAACATAGCTCCATTCTACTCACTTTGTCCTCCAACGTTTGCCGATGGAAAGATTTTGAGCCAGTGGTTCTCAAAACAGGGGTACGCATACCCCATGGGATACGCAGAGGTCTTCCGGGGGTACATCAACTCATCTAGATATTTGCCTCGTTCAGTGTTTCTCAACCATCGCAGGACAGGTTGGAGGGGCTGGGGGTCAGGGGGAGGGTTTGCAAGTGAAGGCCAGCTTTCAGGGCTAGGAAGCAGGGCAATTGCCCGGGGCCCTGTGCCACAGTGGGCCCTGCAAAACTAAAAGTTACATGTTTCAGTCCTGGGCGGCAGGGATTGGGCACCCTGAAAAAAGTAAGTACAATATTTATATTCCAATAGATTTATTTTATAATTATATGGTAAAAACGAGAGAGTCAGCAATTTTTCAGTACTACAGTGCTGTGACACTTTTGTGTTTTTATGTCTGATTTTGTAAGCAAGTAGCTTTTAAGTGAAGTGAAACTTGGGGTATGCAGGACAAATCAAAGTCCTGAAAGGAATGCAGTAGTGTGGAAAGGTTGAGAACTACTGACCTGAGCAATTCCTATAAACTCAGTCTCTTGCTACCTGCCTCCTTCTCCCTACACACAGCCACACCATTCAGTTCAACAGGGCTTTGTTTTCTCATAGGAATATTCTAATTCCACTAAATTCAACACACACTTAAACAGGAAAACTAAGTTAAAAAAGCCACAGGAGAGGGTTCTACCTGGATCCATGCAAAGGTATCTCAGTAAAAACAGGATATAAAATTATGACAAGAATTAAGTCCTTCTTAAATTCCAGCAGACAAAAACAAAACAAAAAACAAAAAATTCAGCAGTGTTGGTATTAAACAGAAGCAGACATGGTTCTACTTACTGCAAGATCGCTGTACAGATGGTCACCAAAATAAAGTACTTTGGACCCACGCCAACCTGTTAGCCTTAGAAAATCAAACAAATTTCCCTGCAAAGAGAGGGAGAACAAACAAGAATGTGAATATAAACCAAACACCTCATTTTTCTCTGCAAGTGATGACACTTCACTGTTTTGTCAAGGAGTTCAAGAAAGCAAAGTATTCGAAGTAACTTGACTTCCTAATAAGACAATGTAAAGTTAAATTCTCATGAAATAATTTAATATATAGACACTTAAAAATCTCTCCAAAAAGAGCTAGCTGCATTTGAGAATACAATGCACCAGTGTGATAGTTATTTTGGCAATACCTTCAAGTATTAAAACAGAAATATCATTCAAAAGTCAATGTATTTGCACCATTTATATATTTTGTACTTCATTCAACTGGGGGAGTAGGACTAATTAATTTCTCTTTTATAATCAAGTTTCACTTCCTGGTTCTCATGCACTGACTAGCCACTTTTCATGGGCTGTGCTGTATATACACTGCTTACTGTATTTTTCACTCCATGCATCTGATGAAGTGGGTTTTAGCCCACGAAAGCTTATGCCCAAATAAACGTGTTAGTCTCTAAAGTGCCACAAGGACTCCTCGTTTTTGCGGATACAGACGAGCAGAGCTGCCACTCTGAAACCTGTCCCTTTTATGTAATTTGCCCTTGTTCTAATCAGATTGTCTGGCTTCCCACCACACGCATTTTCATCTACAGTCAAGAATGTCTCAAACTAGAATACAAGTTGCTTTGGAAAGCTTTTCCAGTGATGTGCCCTAGATAAGCTCATTTACTTTACAAAAAGTCAGAAAAGCATCAGAAGGAAAAGCAAAGTCCTCCAGGCTTCACATCAGCTTAGACAAACCCCATCTGACATCTAGAATAGCATGTGCACAATTACACGTTTCTCGCAATTGTTGCCGACTGTCACATATAACCTCCCTACTTTGTTATTAGGAAAACATGGGCAGCAGCTGCAGACATGAGGAAAACTAGAGCTACCAGATTGAATAGGTCAGACAGGTGGTATATTTAACATCCTTAATATTCTGGTATGTTAGACAGTCAGGATAATTGTTAGAATCCTCTCTCTTTAGGTTTTAAGACTCCGATCTTCAAAGGTATTTAGGCTCCTAACTCGATTGAAATCAATGATTTTAGGAGCCTAGAACACCTTTCAGGATCTGGGCCTAAATTTAAAAAATATATATCCAGAGGTCTCAGTCAGGGCTCCAATGTCATAAGCACTGTACAGTCAGCAGGGCTGGATTTACACCTTATGCGCTCCTAGGCACAGCATCTTCAGCGCTGCGCCTCCCCTGGCTACAGCTGACCTTCGTGTTTTTGCCATAAAAAAAATGAAACTTTTAACCCACTTTTAACTTTTAGGCACCCCTAGGCACGTGCCTGTGCCTAACTGGAAATCCATCTCTGACAGTCACATGGTAAAATGCAATCCCCCCCACCCCAGGGAGCTTACATTCTGAATGTCAGACAAAAGGCAACAAGTGAGTGCAACAAATATAAAGAGGATGGAGGGTGAGAACACGGTGTTAAAATCATATTGTTACATATGGAGATAACTTGGTTCCAAGACTATTTAAAAAACAAAGAAAAGATTTATATTAACCAACTGGAGCGGACTTTTCAAGTCAATCCATCTGTTACTGTACTATTTATTCTACAAATGTGCTATCATCCATAAACCCCATTAACTTTTACCTAACTAGTGATGACAATGCCTGCAAAGAAGCCTATAGATTCTTCCCCATTCTCCACCCCTTCTTGCTCTGCAGTAGCCCCAGCAAACCGGGCACAGGGGTTGTGTGGCTTAATGCTCACTTGGTATTGAATGCCTATGGTACAGAAATAGGCCCTCCTCAGGAAATGCCTTGAGCCTTTATCATTACTACTCAATTATGTGTGTAGCAAAAATAACGTCTTTAACAAGCAGGTAAAGATCAATTGCCAGGACATGTACTGAAAGCCCATTTTCTCATCACTACTCCAAGTGGAAAAAAAAAAAAATCTAGCTTTAAGCGTTCTTCTTATGCAGAGATTGCTTACGACCAGTCCTGTATTTGACTGACTACAAATTCATGGCTTTTCATTCAGGGCTGCTGATGCCCAACAAGACAGTCTCCAACGTGCCAGAGAGGAAGCTGATTGGATGTCTAGCCCAAAAGCTGAAATAAGAGACTTTAAAACACAGCTGCAAAAGGTTTCAGAACTAACCAGCAGCATCCAGATCATTTTTGACTCTTTCCCCTCCTCCCTCTCCCCCTGCCCTCAACCCTGAACAGTACTCGAGGAACTGGTGGCTGCAATGTAGAAAAGTTAGAGACCTTACAAAATGGTTTGGAAGTGCAAGGTGGTGCCATAGTGAAGAGGCATTACCAAACCACTACAATGGCTGGTTAGAATGTCAGTTTTGCCTTTGAACTTAACAGTTGCCTCTGGATATTGTCTCAAGGATTTTACGGTTTTCTGGGTAACGGCACCATTCAGACCCTGCCCTGCAATGCTCTAAGCACAGTCTGGTGTGGGGAAGTGAGATGGGAAAGGGAGAAGCATCAATACTGTAGAAACAGTGATCTGTGTGCTGTTTCCTGCTGGTTCAGGTAATGACCTGTGACTAGCTGCAGAAGACTGACCTAGCAGTCAGAAGAGACAACAATCCTGAGCAAAGTCACTGGTTGGGTGTGGGAGGAGAGAACACAGTCCTCTGCAACTCCTTCCCCTGGATGCTCAGGGGAAAAGCTATCAAGAAAACCTGCTCTCTTTCCATGTAGGTGAAGTAGTTCTTCACCCACCCCTTTCCCTGGTTTCCATGGGATTGGGGAGCAACCTTTCCTCATGCTTGTGGGGAGGAAAGTCAGGAGATACTCAAGGCTTTGGGTGCACTCGCCCCTGGGGAGGGAAGGGTAAACATAGGCATCAGTCCCCTGGAAGCAGGAAATCAGACCCTACAACAGCACTGAAGAGCATGATTTCTGAGAACACCAAAGAGTGAAATCACAAGGGGGGTGGGCTAGAGAAGGAGGAGGGGGAGAGGGAAACAGAATTAGTAGTCCAAGACACAGTAGGAGGGAGGAAGAGATCAAAACATTAATATAAAATGAACTCAGAACAGAGAATGATATTGGGGAAACCCAAGACGTTGCTTCAAATCCCATGTTATAAAAGGCTTATTTGACTTGTTTATCAAGGATCTATTGAAAAGAATCTCTCCTCCTCTCCCCCAATTGCTGTGCCAGACAATATTGTTTAATCCAGAATTGGGTGCATTAACAGCAAGGTTCAGGTAAGCATTTCAATCCCTTGAAAATTCAAAACCATCTAAGCATGTTCTGATACAACCAATTTAAATCCAAAACCAACCCAAAGAACACCCATATTCGTGGGCAGAAAGTCCGCAAACCAAAACGCTTTTGCAACTCAAGAGAAAAAAAAAATCCCCAGTGTCTGAACCTTTCCTAATGTCCATCTATACTCAGGAGGAGTACAAGGAGGTATGATTCCAGTTTCCCTTGAAAGTCACAAATCAAACTGGGCTTTTTAGAAAATAAGTAGCCAAATACACCCCCTTGCAGCAATGCTGACTCTCATGCCCGTTTAAACTGAAAGCTGGAATGAGCTACTCCTTGACCCAATATTAGATTCTTCCAGCAACACAATCTATTGCAGTAACAAAAACACAGGGAGCTACTGCCAAACTAATCAGCCATTTGGGCATCCTGTGTGCATATTGCACATATGCTGGACTGCCCTCCTGTCCCATAATCATCATCATCACAAAAACCTGACCCAGCCCCATGCCACAGCATGAGCAATACTGGAGGCCTTGAGTAATAATCCTGTTGTACACTGCTCCAAGAGTCTCAAAATGCTTTGCAGATTATTAAAAGCTCACAGCAGCCCCATTAGGGAGTTACACCTATCTCCTAGAGGGAGAACAGAAGTTGAATGACTTGCCCAAAGTCATTTCCAGCACTAGCAAGGCAGCCCAGTGGTCCAGACTTTCAGTTTGCTATTGTAACTGCAAAACAGTGCTTCAGGCACATTAAAGCCTGTCAAGAATTTAGAAATGCAACCTGGTATAGTACATTTCTAACCCTAAATCCTGCTCATGCTGTGCTTGGGAGCGCCCTTGGAACACCTTGCTTTTGGCAGCTTTGCGACCTACTGCATCCTCAACCAATGGCTCCTAGCTGGCTGACAATGCTACTTTAAAGCCCTAGACCTAAGGTCACCCACTTCTTGGGAAATTCTGCACCAATATTAAATATTCTGTGCATAATATTTTAAAACTCTGCAAATTTTGTCAAAAATAACACTACATAATCATCCCAGTTTCAATTACTTTGGTAATTTATTTCAATCCCTGTCAGCAAGTATGTCTAACACAAACACAAAAATTCCCCCAGGAGTAGAGAGTTAAAGAAACCCCTAATGACAACTCAGTTCCTTTTTCTCTCTACCCCTTCTTCCCCCTAGAGCCCAGCTGGGGGGCCAGACACCCACAATCTTTCCCCTCCCACAGCCAATACACCTGAACCCGCTAATCCCCAGAGCCCAGCCACGAGGCCCCAAAAGCCCAGATACCCATCCCTCCGAGAGCCCAGTCACGGGCCACCCCCTTGCCCAAATACCCACACCCCTTTCTCCCGCCCGCCCCCCGAGCCCAACCGTGCCCTCCCCCAGCCCAGACACCCACCCACCCTTTCCCCTCAGAGTCCAGGGACCCAGAGGGAGAAATAGCACGATGCTGGGCCCCATGCTTATGTGGAGTTTCCTGGGCACCACAGTCTCCTTCCCCCTGGATGTGTAGGGAACTGCAGCTGCTGGGATCCCTCTAGCTCCTTCCCCAGCCCCCTTGGCAGTGTCTTCTATGTGCAAGCTGGGTTGTGCCAGGTCCAGCAAGACCATAGTGGGAGCCAGCAGCACTGCAGCCCATTTCTGTGAGGGAAGAAATTCCACACGCACAATGTTAATTTCTGCAAAATTCTGCATTGCACAATGGTGCAGAATTCCCCCAGGAGTAAGGGTCCCAGCTACACTAGAGACCATATTGCTATCTATGAATTACCCAGACAGTTTTACTCCTCTGGGACATTGCAGATCATGAAGCCAAGGACAAGACGTGAGAGCACTGGGGACAGTTGAGGGGGATCTGGCTGTAGAAAGAAACTCTCAGACAAGAGATTCGATTAATCTATACTCATCTTTAGGAAATGCTGCAAAAGCTTCCTCTTTGAAAAAGATTTTCTGCCATAATCAGAAGGACACTCACAGTATCAACCATCCTCCCTCCACCAAAACACCCCCACACCTTTCCCTGAGCAAAGTTTTCTATAACCTAGAAAAGACGACGACAAACACTGCATGAATCCTGCCAGGGACTACGCTATTGCCAATCTACATTATGTGAAAGGTACTCAGATATAGTGATGGGTGGCAGTATAAAACTCAAAGATTGATAACTGAAGACATGGGTTAGTAAAAAGCAAGCAAGCAGACTTAGGCTGCAAAATACCTTTAGCAACTACCTAGTAAGGGAAGGGTAGTGAGGAAGGTTTGATTTGCAGAAATGAGAAAACAGGAAGCAGTGGGGTAGAAAGATCCTCTGTCATGGCACTGGAAGATGAAGGGGGCAGCAATTCCACGACATGAGTCAACTGTCATGCCACCTGCCTGCAAGGATCTTGGTAAGCAAACTACCACTGCACTAGCTTCCAAGAGCAAGAAAATTGCACTGACTAGTCTCCTCACTACACCACTGCCAGTTAGCCATTGCATGTGCATATAGCTACACTGACAACTCCATTAAATCCCTGGCATTTGTCCAGTCACAGGAAATGGCCAATTACTCAAAATTTAGAACTGTACAGCAATTTGCAATCAACATTTCAGTTTATTTTCTCAGAGCTACAATTCACTGCAAGAGTGACATTTGTACTTTTCCATGGAGTTTGTACATTTCTTCAGGCAGCCCATGATCTACTGTATGTTGCTAGGAGTCTGCTATTTCTGTGGTTAGCCTGTAACCACCAGTTCACAGAAGGCAGGAAATAGTGCTTACTCTGGGAACTTGCAGGAAGCTGTATTTTAAGTGTAAATTGTATTTAAATTGCCATGCTACTAACCAGAAGAAATCAGCCGCCATTCTGCAGTTACCCCTGGGAGTGGACTGATCAGCCACCATTCTGCAGTTACCCCTGGGAGTGACTGATCAGCCAACAGTTTTCTCCATAGCTCATTTTCTGAGACTGATCATTTATACTGTTCATTGTTAAAGCTCTTATTTTGGCTTTCCAACTTGTATTAATGAAAGCTAGAAATTAGTTTACAATTCCCGCACTGGGCTCTCACATTGCCAGTGTCACTTCTCACTCACTAACATGGCCTCCAGAGAAAACAAAGAAAGGCCAATTCTAATTGAAGTTTAGTTTCAAAAGTAAGTGACAGATTAGACACAGTCAGGTGCTTTTCAGCCCTTTCTGTGAATTTCCTAATCTGCTGAGTAGAGAAAAATTGAGGGGTTTGCTCTCTTTAGAATTAATCCTAAAAGACAAGACATGAGCAGCGGCAGTCCTCAGGATCAAGGCATAGGAAGGGCTGAGTGTACCTATTTACACAGGAGGGGTATATAGCATTGCCTGGGAAATGGATTAGACAGACAGACAATCATGCAAACCTCAAATCTTGCCGCACTTGACCATTATGTCAGTCTGGTTCTGAATAAAGAAAGGGATGCCAGTTTTCCCTGCCCACCTACTTTTCTTTAAGTGCTCATACACATGTGCAATGCTTTGCAGAGAGTAACCAATCAGTCCTCACAATATCCTCATTAGGAAGGGAACTCTCTCGTTATCTAGAGGGAGAGCATTTTGGAAAACAACAACAAACAGCAACAACAGTATTTAGGGTGCCAAGTACTTGGTCAGCACAGGCATCTGATTTTCAACTAGGTAAAGAAGAAATCTGCAATCGCGTTGCATGAGTCACGTACAGACAGGGATAACAAGGCAAACTGTTTTAATCATGCTGTTAGGTATCAACACTAGAGCTTTGCAAAAGCTATACAGCATCATCAGGATGCAAGACGACGTGCTTTGTTCTATTTGAGACAGGGTTTTTATAGGGTGGACACCCTTTTCGTAGGAAGATGGTCTTGTAGACCACATCCCTTCTTATCCATGCAAAGGCCATCTTTTACTACTTGCAAACAGACAACACCACAGCTAGTATAAACAACTTACCAGAAAATAGGAAAATACTTTAAATTAATTTTTGACAGACTACTATGCATGAAATAATGAGAGTAAGCACCTCAGTACGCTATCGATAATAGTCCATGGACCAGAGCATGAGAACCCCCAACTTGGAAGATTCTTGTAAATGTAGGATTTACGAATACTACTTGGATTAAAAGATCTCAAAGCAATTCACAAGTCATTCTCACAACATGCCTATGAGGTAGGAACTCAATTTCTGGCTCTCCTATGGGACTGTGTGAGATCTTAGGAAAGTCAGGAATCTTTATATTTGTAACCACATGTAAGATTGAGTTAATATCTACCTCAGAGGCAATTACCTTCTCCTTGAGTAGCAAAAGACGCAATGTGTAAAATATAATCCATTCTGCAGGAGGATAAATGCTCCCCTTCTCAGTTACACTGAAACAAGCCTTTTTCATCCAAAGTAGCTGAGCAGGGTCTGTTTCTAGGTAATTACAGAGTTTGATAATTGGGTCCGGTGTCTCAGCCCCTGAGCTACACAAGAAGTCCATAGGGAAAGCAAGCTCAGTTGTATACTTTTCTGGACACATAACCTGGATAACAAACTGGATCAGAGATGTGGACAAGAGACTTTTCTGCCAGGTAGTATTTTTGTGTAACTTAAGTTTTGGGCCAGGCTAACAATAATCTCTCTAATACAGGGCTAGATATTTTTAAGCCATTTTATGATACTGTTTCTGCAAGACAGCTAACAAAATACTTGTATTTAACATACTTTGATCAGAGTCTCAGAGCTATGTCAGTCATCGACAGAAGCCTTAAAGAGAAGCTGTCCTTTGACCTCAGACGAGGGTAATGGCTTTGGGTACAAGGTCTCTGAAATGAAGGGTTTGAATCTTGCTCCCCCAAAGCAGGTCTGCACAAGCTCCCAATCACCCTTGTAAGCACCATTGGGACATCTGGGAGAATTCAGTAACTGGTAAAGTTATGAATTAATTTTGCTGCCTAAGAAAGCTAAGGGAATAATAATGGAGACTATCAGACACTCCCACTAAGTTGTCTCGAAAATTCCAGTTACAAAAAGGCAAATCTTTATTTTAAAGTGTTACAAAGAAGGTTACAAGATTAAGCAGAGAACACTATTGACTATTCATACAAACTGCTTATTACCAGAATAACCTTAACCCATTATTAACTATTAAATGCTCTACTGAAATTAATTATTGGAATCAAAAACAAATATTTTCCAGTTCTCCTTTCTTCCTGTGCAAGGAAAGTAAATGAAGTCAAAATCTGCTTGCAGTTACCTTGGAAATAATAGCAGAATCTAATTCACAAGCCTGCTGCTAAAGCAAGTAGACATAGCTGTTACTGATCTTTGCCCAAATTCCTCCATATTGACTACTAGGGAGGGTAAGTGTTAAGATATAGCAGTGATGGAAAGCTTTTGGCCTGTGCAATACGAGTACCAGAACTGAGACATATACAAGTAGAACTTGTCACTGAGGTCCAACACCGAAGATTAAAAATCTTGTCAAATCAACAGGGAGCCATGCCATTAAAGGGGCTTTTTTGCCATCACTCCCATCCTGTACTACAGAACATGGGACATAAGTCTGCAATATTTAAAAACTGGAAGACAAATGAAATGCAACAGTCACTCAAATACACAAATGGCCACATTCTCCTGTTACATTAACACAACTGCATTGACTGAAATGAGTTTGTGTCAGTATAACCAAGAGAAGAATTTCTCTCTGAAGAATGCATGAAGTACACCGTCTATTGAAGAACAGAGCAACATCCAACTTTGGTACATTCATGAAACAGAACAAAGACAGCTTTTTATTTATTTGCTATCTTAGATATTTGTTTCACTTATTGCTTTTCAAGGAGAAACTAATACATGAGAAATAGGGAAAAGATGAAAGAATTTGATGTTCTTGGGGCAAGTCTACACACAGAAAGTGCACTGGTTTAATTAAATCAGTGTACCTTCTGTATGTGGACTCTCTTGTACAACTAGTTATATCAGTTCAGTTTGCATCTGTTAAGTGCACAGGCACAAGCTAAACTGATATAAACCAAATTTAAACTGATTTAAGAAAGTCTCCATATAAAGTTACATTGGTTTAACTAAATAGTTATGTAACGAAAGATGTGACTTTTTAATAAGTACAACTGTGTTTAGACTAGGCCTTACAGTTGCAAGGGTCTTAATCAGACCTATTATCCCTAGAACAGAAGAATCCCAGTTTTAAAGATCTGAAGCATAATAGCAGAGATCTGACAGATGTACTGGAGGTTCTGAAAGCATCTGAGAGTGGAGGTGAGGGAAAGGGATAGGATGAGTCTTCAACACCATGGGAATCTTCAGGGTGAGAGAGAAAAAAAAATAAGGAATGGAAGATGCTATCTGTAACATTAGCAACCAGTGTGTGTGGATTCTGACCCATGCCACATGCCCTCTTGCCCTTGTCACGTAACTGAGACCAAGACTCCCTTTCCAGCACTCCTGTGTTTCACACCCCATTACACCAGTCACCCCAAATATGCAGATGAGCTATTTTTCATATCACCAAGACTGTACAGCTTTTCTGCTTAAAAGAAGGGAAAAAACTTTCACCAGGCTTTCCCAGGAACTTCGAAGAACATAGGAATTATATTAGTCCCCATGATTTTAGAGGTAATGAGCAAAGGAAATACAAGGCTTTATATTTTTATTTACCTGTTTGTAGATCTTTCCCTTTTCTAGTTTGTTTATTTTGTCCCATTGGAGTGAGCCTTTGTCATCCAATTTTCTAAAAGGTCTAAAAAGGAAACGGGGGAGCAAGAGTTAAGTAACTCACATTTTTCCAATGGCCATACACAGCTGTAAATCATATCATGAAGCTCCTAAATTAATGTTATGTAACTTGTACAGAGTGAATTTTAAGCAAAAAAAGTGACCTTTAGCTTCCTCTTCTCATGAGGATAAAATCTAGTTCTAGCCTATTAAAGTTTTTGTATTAACCCTCCCTACACTACAACACCTGAAAGGTCTGTATTGCTTTTGAGGGACCAGGAAAACAAATACTACAGTCAGTCAGTCTTTTGCCCAAACATGTTCCTACCCTGGCTGCTATCTCGTTTTTGAGGCAAAACACACCCCATTACATACTACACTACTAGGGAATCTCAGAAGAGGGAAAAGCAGCTCTTGTAGCAGCAGAAACTGGGAGCTGGTGGAATGGGGATGTAGCCTCCTTTCCTAACAGTATCTTGGCCATGATACAACCTAGAAGTAGAAGAGACTCCTCTGTGTGCCATCTTGCTGGTATCCCATCAATGTAGGAGTGGTCTCTGTTGTATAGTTTCTGTCCTAGTGTTGTGACTAAAAAGCAACAGGGATGCTAGCCATTTCCTTGGGAGATGGTTCCACAGTGTAATACAGCTCATGACCAGCAAGCTCTTCCTGATATGCAGCCTGTGTTTTCTTTCACCCTATTAACCCTTATTATATGACTTGCTGCTCTGCTAACAGTCCATCTCATTTTGGGGTATGTGCCCTTCAAATATTTGTAGGGTTATGTCTCCCACAACCTCACTTAGTCATTTAGCCAAATTCTACTTAAGATTAATTCATTCTCTCATAAATCATGCATATCTGGCTCCATTTAAACTTTATCTTACAATTTATAGCACTAAGGCATTGGTATTCAAAAACCCCAAGGTCTACCTGTTGTACCTAGATACCAAGACAAGCTGTAAATCTTTCTCATCATAATGTAGATTAGTCACCTCCTCATGCCTGAAACGAAGGGAGGTGCCCACCTCTGAGTGGATGTTAGGTTCCTAATAATGAGGAAGGCTGACTTGAGATTAAATAAATGAAAAAATAAAAAACATTCTGATGCCGCTTTCCTACGCTATTAGGAGCTTATGGATGTGAGAGGGGGAAATAAGGAAAACTAGTTTTATCTAGTGTGCATATTCCAAGATACTGTACCAAGAATGCTTGTAACCCTCAGCCTTTCAGAGTACTCTCACTTTCTGATCCTGTTTTGGAATGTTACTTATTATTAGGATTTATACAAAAAAACAAAAGGGGGCATCTAACCAGAGCGGTCATAAAATTACAGACACAAAATTATACCATCCACAGAACAAACTCCCCTCTCCCACACATAGTAAAGCTTTGAAAGAAATTCAAACAGCATTCATTATTTAACATGGTTTATAATGATGTACAGAAAACAGAATATGAAATAAGATATAAAGGTTTAGCGCTACATAATAAGGAGCAGCATAGTAAGAACAGGACTATTATTCACTATTTGCACAGAATCAAATACTAGGTCCTGGAGATGGGCCTGGGACCGTGTCCCCATACCTAAGAGTTTCCAAACCAAGGATGATTAGAGATGGAGAAACATTATTAAAAACAGTAGTAAATTTAAGAGTTCTCTGAGAGAACAAGTGTGCCTAACACCAAGATACAGTTATTTAGATCTTTTGATAATTATTCAAACAATAGCGTTATTTATACATAGCATTGTCTGCTAACCAGTTGGTTCAACACAACTGTGAATTGTGCAGTATTTTATGTAAATTATAGTGGTGCCCCCTAGTGCTGCCCTGGAACAAATGAACTGGTTGTGACAAACTCAGTGTTTATATGCAGAGGTCTCGTATTAAAAATAATAATAATAAAAATATTTAAGTTGAAAGCATTCACTGAAAGTTACAGGAATGTTAGAAGGTAGAAGTTAACTCTCTCCAATGTGCTACTGTTTCTGCAGATCTGTAGCATAAGTGGTCTTTGGTGGGTCAGTAAGCAGCATTGTATGGCCACGTCACAGGATGAATGGCTCTCAGGGAACATGGGTCCTCCCCCACCAGACATACTTCGTGCACTTCCCCAGGCGGAGAAAATGAGCAAAGTACATGACAGGCAGGCCTTGAGTGGGCTGGAGGAAGGAGACAGCAAGGAGACAAGACGGATGCCTGTGGAGACCTAGAGGGGAGACTCCAAGTAGGAAACCCAGGGAGAATCAGCATTCAGTACTGACACAAAGGAGCACAAGAGGGGAGCTCAAGGGCTGCTAGGAGGCTGCAGAGCCTAGGAAGAGCTACAAGTTGAGCTCAGAGGGCAAGCTGAAGGTTGTTTTGAAGTCTGAAAGAGAAGACCGATCCTCAGAAAAGAAGGGCTCTGCTCAGCTTGAAACTGGGGTGGAAGACTTTGTTCTGGACTTGGATTTTTTTTTATGACTTAGCTAGAAGGCCAAGTCACCACAGCAACCAAACCAGGATGGACAATTGGGCGAGCCACATACAGATTGAAAGTACCAAGTAACCACCCAACTTAAGTTACTTTGCCATTTGTTGGAAGGCTTGTTAAGTGCAGTAGGGGGAAAAAAATTGGCACCTTCACAAGTTATACAATGTCCAGGCATATTCAGCTTTCATACAAAAGCATTCTGCTACTCCGTTCCTTTCCATTTCTTCTTCTGTATCATAAAACTTCTGATTTTACTTTGTTAATGTCCCAAATTTAGGAACAAATTCTGCTTAGGATTTCAATAGAATTTTTTATTAACTGAGGAATATATTTGCCCTAATAGATGCTAATGAATATCAGGAAGCAGGGGACCCAATTCTGCACCAGGCTTAGAATTTATGATCTAATACACACACACACACACGCACGCACGCTCCCACAAGAGGGTGGATGGTTTTTATAACAACATTTTTGAGATGGGTGGAGGGAGAAAACAAAGAAATGTTGGCTTCTGAAAAGTTCTACAAGCCACCATGCAGCAGTGCAACACGCTACAATGGAACATACTTGCGTCTGTCAGTGAAAAAGGTGGGTTTATCAGCTTGCACAATGACCATGTCAAAGAGGTCCCGCCAGTTCTTGCCAACCATGTGTTTCATTCCTTTATCTCTGCAAACAGATGGAAAGGTTAATATTCCAAGTAATCCCCTCTCTGGCATACACAACCCAGAGTAAAATCCATAAAAAGCTTTTTTCAATTGGGCTTAAAACTTTTTTTAATGTAATAAACCTTGAAGCGCAGAGACTTCAAAAACCTTCTGACTCCATTTGACTGTACATAGGAGTTGCACACCAGTTGTTGATCACTAACTTACTCCTACCATGACCTAAGGAATTCTCCCTCTACCCTACCCTCAAAGCTCAGCAGCTGTCCACACAACTCTGTGCCTTCAGGAAGCAGAGCAAGTCTGCTGGCTCAGGAGATATTGTTCTGTTGGTATCAGTAGTAAAAATGATGGCAAAATAATACTGGCCAGTCACAGCCCCAAAAGAAAGTCAGAACAGCTCCTCCCTCAAAGACAAAAGAACTCTTGTGTGGTATGTGTGTTTAATAATCTTTTACCACAAGCCACTGCTCTCTTCCCCCACATTGAATAGCATTCCACTGAAACATCCCATTAAAAATAGCCAGTTTACTGTCTTCAAATCCTCATTGAGGAAAATAGGCCCCAAATCCCACGGTCTAATGCATGCAACTATAACCATTAATTCATATTATTTTTGTAATAGAGGATACTCACACAAAGCTGAAGGGGCTGTTTGTAATAAGGAAGAGTTTCTTGTTGAGGTTAACCAGTCTGTTTAGGACAGCATAAGTTTCATCCCCATGAAGAATGTATTTCTCTATTTTTAAAAAAAAAGTCCGTATCACCTTTTACTATCAATTTTTTCCACCCGCATATTGGTAAACATTTTGCCAGAGGGTTTTTAAAAAGGTTACATATGACATCGCCTGGAATGCAGAGGCCCATACTCTTGGGTACACAGCATTATAATTATTGAAATAATAAGCAAGATGAATAGAGCATCACAGCAACAACAAAATAAAAAGCTAGCTTTACGTACTAGAAGAGTTTGCCACCCCCATACACAACTGAGTGAACGTGCTTTTGGGAGGCAGGTAAATGTGAGAAGGCTCCCTGTATGTGAAGAGACAAGATGAACAATTACAGTGTCATAGGGCTGACTATATTGTGGGGGAAAAAAAGAGCTCATCTACAATAGCTATGGCCTTCCCATATGGCATGTTTTCCACTTAACTGCTAATATCCCCAACTTATAGGCAAAGAAAATAATGCTGGAGGAATGAAAGGACTGTTCTTTTCTTTGTAAAGCATCCTTGGTCAGTACCAAAATACCTCTTTCAACTCCTTGGATAGCTTTAAGCATAAGCTATGAACATGACCTTACTGTATCTTGCTATTATCACTATCATTTCTAGTCTGGTGATGTACTGTAAAACCAATAAATCCATTTACACATGTAAACATTCAATAAAATATGCATTAGCACTGAAAATTAAGAACAATGGATTTAAACTTAACTGACCCATGTCCTTCTCAATCCATTTGTACATCATTCCTTTCACGTGCACATCTTTAATGGCATCCTAAAAAAGCGGAAAACAGCTTTCAGTTTTAAATCTGGCATTAACGGGACTATTTTCTACTGCCTCAAATGCAACCTTGTTGTCAAGATGGATCAACAGAACAACAACGCATCTGCTTCATTTGCTGCAAGGACAAAGAGCTAAGAGGACAATAAGCCAAGGACATTCTGCAAGGGGATTCACTATTGTAAGTATAAACAACTACATTTATGAATTTGAACATGGTAGGGAGAGAACAAAAAACTTGGTTTTATTCCAGCCAATGGAAATAAAGACATGAACTGTAATTACCATAATGTGTTTCAGAGGGGTACCCATGTTAGTTGTTTTTGTTGATACAGACAAGGAGTCCTTGTGGCACCTTAGAGACTAAAATTTATTTGGGCATAAGTTTTCAGATGCATCTGACGAAGTGGGTTATAGCCCACGAAAGCTTATGCCCAAATAAATTTATTAGTCTTCAAGGTGCCACAAGAACTCCTCGTTGTTTTTGCAATTAATATGTTTACATAAACAATGAAAGTCTAAATTAAATTATGCTTTGGGCAACTCGATTGATCCTGAAATAATGACCACCTGGCTTTGAGTCCCAAGCAGGGTCTGGGAGTGCTCCGTAAAGGCAACACAAAAAACCCTATGGAAAGAAGTGATCACAGTTATCAGGCTTGGTACACCACTGTTCCTTTGCAGGGTCTCTGGGAGTACACCCTTCCAGATGTCAGGCTTCAAGCCTCATCTCTCCTGGGGTGGAATTCTGCAGTTTACCTATTCTCAGACCAGGTTATAGCCCCTGGGTACCAAATCATGACTAAATTCAGCAGGACGGAACGGATGGAACCAGCCAACTCCTCTGCAACTGTGGATTTGAGGCTGACTTATCTGTCTCACTGTATTACCTTTCCTGGTTGGCCCTCAACAGCCCCTTTCAGCCTCTGTGACTGAGCTTTGGTCGACACTACAAACTTATGTTGGTATAACTAAGTCGCTAAGGAGAGTGGAAAAACCACACCCAGAGGGGCACGGTTATACCTGCTGAACTCCTGACATAAACAGGAGGGCTTCTCCCCAACATATCTACCACCTCTCAGGGAGGTGAAGTACCTATGCCAAGGGTACATAGCATCTTCACCAAGTGTAGACAAGACCTTACTCTATTCATTACCTATGCTGATGGGAGTAGGTGTACATAGTGTCTACAGTGAAGTGCTGCAGATGAACCACTGTAGCATTTTAAATGAAGATGTAACCACAGAGTTTAATAGAGCCAGAGAGTTTAAGGCCTGAAGGGAACATTTAGTTTGATGCAGAACTTCAATTTTAACCTGTTCTGTGCAGGTGTCTGTGTCAAGATTTAGGGGGTGTTGGAATGACAGTGTTCTTCAAGCCATCTACCAAAAAAATTCTCCCTATATAAACAAGGATCATTTAAAAAATATATTGATCTGCCTATGTGTCTCTCTTTCATTATATATAATAAGGTGAGGAAGCCCAAATGGTGCACAGGTCCTGGTCTCTTTCATACATATAGGAAAGAGACAGATACCCATGCACTATTTGGACCTGTCCAACCAAGAATCCCGACATCCCCCCCATCTACTAAGGCTTGCAAGCTACACACATTTGTTCCAAGAGCGTCACTCCTTAAATCAGCTCATTTTCAGATTGTGTTTGTTAAATTTGTTTTACTTCTGTTTTTCAAAGCCAAAACCAAATTCGGAGGGGGGGGGGGGGAGAAGGAGAGCGAGTGAGTGAGTTACAGACACTTTTCATTTGTAACGGTTTGGAGTTATATAGAAGTTTAAGCTCCCTAGGAAAAACTTTAACTGGACATTTTTAGATCAGACACGTTCCATCATATCACATGTTGTACCCCTTCACTGCAGATTCCTATATCAGGGTCTACAATAATTTTAAACGTTTATATGCAGCAGTAGCTGCTTACCAGGTTCCTTTGTGGTGGTGGCAGAGCTGATGTTCAGCAGCCGCTCGAAGGCCATTTAATTGCTTGCTGACGGAGGACCAGCATTGAAGATTTGAACTGCACATCGGGACATGTTTAATAAATTGCGCTTAAGACTTTCAACATTTGGCGTTCAGAGATAAAAATCTGGTTAAACCCTAAAAACCGATGCCCCATGTCATTCACCAGTAGATCGGTCTACTGGATTAAGAGGCACAGGTACCAAACTGTGATGGAGTTATCACCACAAGTGCAAGCTCCTGTGCAGAAAAAGTCTCTCTTCTGATGGCCTACCATTGGTGACGCAAGCAGACAACAGTAAGTACTTATGTGCCAAATCTACATTCATAGTGGAGAAAAGAATGCAGGTTTGCTAGGCTCCTTGGTCAGACTCCTTAGCCCACACAAATAAAAAGAGAGCCCACATTTATATTGCAGCTGGAACCTTGAAAACCCTGGGAGATGCCACGTGATGTTAGAAAAGCTCTCTGAAGGATGGCACAGTCAACAAACAGTTATGCCCTTCGTCCGCCAGTACCAAGATTGCAGATCAACCTGAGCCTGTGAACAAATTGCTCACTTGCTTTAATCCCTGTGGCAACCAGTTAATATTTGACCTTTCAACCAGTACAGAGTGCCCAGCTTCATATTAAAGACAACAGCAGGTCTTTGAGAAGTGCCCCAAGATAACTGTGAATGTTTAGATTGCCCATGATAAATGTTTCTTGCCCACTAACAGCACCAGTTAGGATAAGTGTTGCCAACATGAGCCTGATCCTAAAAATACCTTTTAGTTCACTGAAAAAGATTTCCTGCAAGGGTGGAGGAGGGGCTGCCAGTTTGTTTCCAAAGCTATTCCCAAAGTATGTGCATCGTTATTCTGAGAATGCTCAGTTCTAGGAGTTGGCAACAGAGTGGGAGGAGTTTTGTATTTATTTCTTCACAAGAACTTCTGTCCTACTTTGCTGAATAACATTCTGAACCATGCCTGGCAGATTCTTTGCCTTCCAAAACACAAGAATTAGCCTCAGGGAGTAGTTACACCAAACAGGTAAGGTTTTAAAGAAGTATATTTACCCTCATTAGTTCTCAAATCAGACAAGATTTCCCCCCTTTCCCCAATTCTGCACTCGCTGGACACCCATCAGAACACATCACAGCAGGTTGATTAATAATTATTGTGCTTTACATGTTCAGAGTGCTGTGTAGGTATCAACCCACACAATGCACCCAGTGAGGTATATGCTGTAAGCATCCACTTTATACATATGAGAAACTGCAGAAGATAAAGTGAAGTAACTTGAGGCCAAAGAGCAAGCCAATGCAACAGCCAGGATTAGAATTTAAGAATCTGAAAGTGCACTCATTCTTCTGGATCACACTGTAGTGAATATTGTTGCCATCCATTAATAAATGGCATTGTTTTAAATGTGCTTGTCTATACCTATAGTACAATCATTTGGTCCCAAGCTGTAAATCCATCCAATGGCTTTGAAGAAACCATCAACATGACTCCTCAGGACTCACTCCAAAACCAGACTAAATAAGTGTAATGCAATTCAGGAAGGCCTTTACGACCTTGATAACCAGCCACTAAAATAAAATATGCCATGTACATTTGTCTCTGTAGTCTTTTTCCCTGCTCTGTATATTACAACATTGGTAGGACTGCTCCCAGAAGCTAAAAGTTACACAGCTGTTTTATATACTTTCATCTACTATGCAAGGTGAAAATTTCAGAGACTGTAATGGTGAAAAGCATATCTTCAGATTAATCTACTTAATGAATTGTCCTTTAGAATGTTTAAAATAACCAGACACTAAGTTAGTACTAACTGTATAGAGATTTTTTTTCAACGCTTAGCAGCAAAAAGAGAAAAAGGATTCCATGTTTTGATCATACAAATACCTGTATTTTAAATCTGAACATCAGTTTGACAGAAAACTCTAGGTTAGGTTAAAGTTAGAACAAAGCTTCCCATGTTCTGAAGTGTAAACAGTCAGTTGGTGTTTTGAAACACCAACATCTTTTAGCTCACAGGTCTTTTTCTATTTTGCAATCAAATTATAAAAAAAGTGATGCTCAAAGTATCCGTGCTCTTAACATCACATAACCTCATAAAGACAGGATAAACCCATCTGTCCTCTAATCACCCCAGCAGGATATTAAGGCCACAGAGTAAAATAGAACATCATCAGTTAGCCCTTATCCAGTTGTTCTTACACTTTGGAATAGTATGGGTTGAAAGGATGCATCTTCCCTAGGAAAATGATGAGTTAACACAAGGTAAAAATCTTAGTGAACATGAGTTAAGACAAACCAGTTGGAGTTTTCACACGTTAGCAGGATGAGGTAAACCAGGTTTACCTTGAACTACCTTGTCGTCACTAGGATTTTACCTTGAGTTAGAATGTTCTAACCTTGTGTTAACTTTTTTCCCCACCAGGGAGGGCAAAAAGCATGTTGATGAAGTCCTTACCTTTAGGTGAAAGTTTGTACGCTGCTCCTCACAAGACCCCACTTAATCAAGTAGGAATTGAGAGCCCCTGCCCATGGAGGAGAAACCGTATGTCCTGCATAGGGGGAGACCTGGAGTCTTTTAGGGCTCTATCTAGGTCAAAGGACTCATGGGACTCACCCAAATTTTACCTATAAATTAACTGAAAATTCAGAATACAACCATGCCATTAAGCTAGTCAATAATCCCCTCACATGAGTGAAGAGATATCCTGCCCATATTGGTGGGCAACATCATAATAATTAAATCAATGCTAAGGGTTTGGGGTTGTTGTTTTTTTTTCCAGGGGTAGTGGGCCGATTTTATTTTATTAAATTGCTCCTTTTAAATAAGGGAGGATCAGACAATGGTCTACAGATAAAAGCTGGGACTTCCTGAAGCAAGTTGAATGAAATAATTCAAGTCTTCTGTCATTTCTGGGGCCCTGACCTAGCAGGCCTCTAAACACTACCAAAATAAATGTTAAAATAAATAATAAATAATAATAATAATAAATAATAATATAGTGATCTAATAGTATACAAAGAGAGCTCAAATGTTGTGGGTTTTTTTTTTTTTAAAAGCACTGTATGTGCACCAATGTTCCCCAATTAAAAAACTAGATGTTAGAAATAATAAAAGCTTGAGTTTGGATAGTACAGAATTCACAAGCAAAAACAAAAAGGCATAAGATTAACTGTGCCATATATATACGCACTATTGCATCAGCATTTCAAGTGTTCCTTATACTCACAGATATGTCCTTGTAAAGATGAACCTGGTCAAACTCAATGCCATGATTTATGAAATAGTCAATGACTGAGGAGAGCAGGGTCATTTCAGGAAGGGAGAAGATGTCCATGAATTGTTTAATTGAAGGACCCTGATCAGAAAGGGGAAAAAAAAGTTGTATTAGAAATTGCAAGAAAGCTGTGAACGTGGTGTTAAAGAGTTCAGAATGGTTTCCCACACCAATTAAGGTGGGGGGAGGCCCCACCACAGGATGGGAAGAAGAGAAGAGAAACATGTGGCTTGTAGCCATACCAACTTGTGCTGGGTTCCAGTCAAGCTCCACCAGCTAATTAGGGCTGGCTCACACGAGTTTCCAGACAAGACTCCAAAGAAAGCCTGTGTACTGCCGGATGTGTCAGCAACTTGCAGGTGACACTCTGCCCTTAAATTAGGTACTTATATAATGTAACAGTTCTTTGGAGCAAACAGGTTGCCTGACCACTGTGGTCATTCGATAACCACAGCACTTTCGACAAGATATGGGGAATTAGCCAACCTAATACAGAATTCTTCACTTCCTGTTCAGAACTGCTGTATAACATTGCAGTGCACTGAGAAATGGTTGTGTTCCACTCCCAAAGTGGCTACAGGTATCCCTGTAAATCCCCCTCATCCCTCTTACAAGACTGCCAGGAGGCTGTGTTAAATGTTTATTATGTGTTTCAAGACTCTCGTATGCAAAGGTATCAACACTTCAAAGTATTATGCTTAATTATTCTCCTGGTGAGGTTTCAGATGGTATTTAACTCATCAACAAGTAGCAAGATGATTTAAACAATGTGTGCCCAAAGATAACAATGGCCCGAAAACTCCTGCCACACAATGAGATAGAAAAAGGGAGAGAAAGAAACAGTTAAAGGCATCTTTGAAAAATAGCTATTATTGGTATAGTTCTAATCTTCAGTTTCCATGCAACTCCCCACAGTTATTTCAATCCCGTTAATTATGCAAAGGCTGAGTTTATTGTAAAAGTTATAAGATTAGTAATAAAAAATTAAATGACTATGGGCCTAATTTGGCCCCACTGTGAGCAGATATTACTCCACAGATTGCATCATCAAACAGCAGTTTTTGGACCATGAATTCTAGTTTAATACAATTTGCTAGCTTTATACATGAGGAGCTCTCTCCCTCAATACAACACAGATGCAGTGGTGGTTATTTTGTATCTCTTTCTGACGTACTAATATTTGGAAAAGATTCCCAAAATCTCTCCTGAGAGCTGCAGATGAATGAGTAATTTAGCTTTTCATTTGTCTAGTGCCAGAGCGGCTGTGATCATAATTAAAGACGTCTGGTGACGGAAAAACAGTTTGGGAAGTGCTCGGAACTGCTCAAGAATCTATCATATATCTAGCTATCAAGGATGTCTGTGCACTCATTGTATACCCCAGAGCCTGGAAGTTTGACCCGTAAACAAATTCCCTAGCAAATAGAGACCTATAGGCCCAGCACACTCCAGCACGTCCATGGCCTCAAAGTCAATGCATATAAAGACAATAACACGGAAATATACACACAAAGTATACAGATATGAGGAAGTGATCACGGAAGGCCTGTACCCCTGAAGGAAAGAGGGTGAGTGCTGACTCACTAAAACGTATGTCATCAAACCTTCTAGACGTAGTAGGCATTTTTCACCAGGCACAAAAGATAGAGCATTTCCAGAAACATTTTCCAGATGTTTAGTGTCCCCAACCCCATGGTGACAAAAGCACTACCACAGAGCTCAATGAGAGCTCCTTCTCCTCCCCCTCCACGGCCAGCCATTACTGAGGGAAACTATGCGCCAGTTCCTCAAACCAGACCACAAAAAAAGTGTTGCATCCAGGCAACCTGCACAGAGTTAAGATACTGTTCCATTTCATCCCAGATGGAAGAATCCACTGATTCATCCACTGTATTAGACTATATCTATTACAAGAGTGTCAAAACACAGGTGACATTTTAATTGATAAAACATAACTTGGAATTTGGTTAGCAGACTCATGTGGAGACCTTTGCTCTTGCAAAAGTGTCATGTGATTGTTAATGACCAGAAGTAGTCAGGACCTGTTTTTACATCTCATCCAAGAGACGGAACCTTCTTTATTAACTGATGTAACAACTTGTATTACTTTTCATCCTTCAGTATGAAGAGATTTAATTATATTTGTTGTACAAGAGCACTTTGGCACTACTAAGATGACATGAACACTGAATCTGTCTATTTAATCCGACCATTGGTCCACCAAGACTAATGCCCTGCCTTTGGCAGAGGTCAATAACGGATACTTCAGGGGAAAACCAAAACCTTGTAGAATGCATGTATGCAGCAACAGAATGTCAAGAGGTACGTGAAGAATTCCGTCCTGAACCTTACGGCAAGGAGATCATGATGGTCCCTCCTGATGTTAAAGTCTATGAGATTAGACTACAAAGTGGTTTATTTATATTTTAACTTGGACATAGAATTACCTAACCCCTTTTAAAATCTAGTTACAATATTTAGTCCATGACCTCGTTACAGTGCATTCCACAGAGTAACTGAATACTCATCTCCCCATACTATGGGAGTTGTATAACAAGGAGGAGGGATTGATCAGTTTCTGCTATGCCCTCCATAATGTAATTCATATACTTCAGTCAAGTCCCCTTCTAATGCTTCTCCCTTCCAGGCTTTAAAAAACAGTTGGAAGTTCAGAGCCCAATGTTACACCTCTGAACTAAAAAGGCATGTAAATCCTTTTGAGACACTGTCTCATAGCTCGTCAAAGGATACGGCAAATATTCAGCTCAAGAAAGAATACAAATGGGTTTTGAAAGTGATTTTGCTATCCTTACTATAAGCCCCTGTAGTTTAAAAACTGACCATTAAAAAGAGATCCAGTGTAGCTATGAAGTGATTGTGAGGGAATTTCTTCTCCTCCTTTACAGCAGGGTCACTCAAAGGAGTTTAAATTTGTGCACAGTGATTTTAACAAATACCTTGCAGGTCTAGGTTAGAAACCAAGACGGCAAGCCAAACATCTATGATGAACTTCAGGAGTTTAGGGAGAATCTGTTTTAATTAGTAAGCAATCAGCAGAAGCACAGAAAACATTAGCTTGAGTTCGTCGGAAAGTACTTGTAGGAACTTTGCACTGATGTTCTATATTTCTGATTCTAATATACACTTCCAATTCTCTCTATGCATTTTATTTAATTCAGTTGATCTTTAATGGTTTAGAATTGAATAATTCCTTCGAAGTACACTACAGACACAGGAAGTTTAAAAGTTTGCATTCAGCTGTGAAAGATACAGTAGAGAGGATTTGCTGAACCAGTAATAATACCTAATGGCAGATGAGAGACTTGTTGGATCTCTGGGTCTTTCTGACCACAAATCCTATGCAACATGTACTGTTGTGTTTGGAATGATAATATTAAAAGTCTGGAAGGGAATACAAAAATAGACTTTTTTCCTAATTAGGATTAAGATTGGTTCAACCAAGTTTGTCATCACTGCATAAACAAGCTGAAGAGGGAGAATTCCAGTTTTTCTAGTTCCATAAAATAGACCTGACACTCTCTAAAACTGATGTGCTCATCTTACCCCATGGCAGGGCACTGCTTCCAGAAGGAGCCATAAAAAGCATTATACACATTAATCCTTTAATACATGTAATAAAGTCTTAACATGCTTAAGTGTCAGTCATCTGCCTACTAGCAAGGGTCAATAATAAAATCTACCATGGATTGCCCAACATGTGAGCAAAATTAAGTCCCGATTTCCCAGTAGGGACTGGAGTATGGTTCTGGGATATTTGAGGGGCCTTTGCACATGTCTCTCACATGCACAGACCTGGAGAAGAGCTCCATGTAAATTCAAAAGCTTGTCTCTCACCAACAGAAGATGGTCCAGTAAAAAAATATTACCTCCCCCACCCTGTCTCTCCAACATGCACAGAGTATCATTGACTGGCTCCTGAACAAGCCAGATCCTCATTGCTCATCACCAAAGGAAGATTCTCCTTGTGAAAAAGGGGAAAAAATTAAAAAATAAATAAATAAAACAATCTCCCTGGTATCAAAAATGGGAACAAAAGGAAAAAATTGATGAAAATGTTAATGTGTCTAAGAGATCACAAAGAAAGGTAGCTAGTTATATTAGAGCACAAGTACTACCGTAGCTATACTTCATATTTAGGGCAAGTGCAAGTCTAAAAATTTGGAAATTTGCTATTCACAAAAAGGGCTACATTTATGAGTGCTGTGTGTACAGATATTTCACATTCTAAACAGACATACACACAACTTAAGAGCTGTGAATAATTCTCAGTCACAAACAAAGCCCTTTGGAAAAGCAAATACTAACAGCTTAGATTAGCCTTTCCCATGATAGAGAAATCAAAGTGACCTTGGGTTGTTGATTTAGCACAGCTGACTTAAAGGGGCATTACTGGAATGTTTTCGAGGAAGCCTGCAGTTCAGCTACCAGATGATTCACCAATGACAGAAGAACTAACTCAGGGTCTGAAACGAGGTTGGGGGTGGGATTTATTAATTTAGTTTTTCCCAAAGCTTCCATGACACAAAGCTAGACAGTTCTTCCAAAAAAAACAAACAAACAAAAAAAAACAAAACAAAACAAAACACATTTGACTCCAGCCCAGTTCCTTTTCAGCCAATATAGACAAATTTGAAAGGTGCTAGTGGAAGAAACTTAATATTGCCAGACCTCTGAATGTGCAAAAAACCCAAAACACAGTGAATCTGATCCACAGAGAATAATTAAAAAGCAGTTTCTGGAGCCCTATGCAGTGTTGAAGGCAGATGGATTTCTCTGGCTGTCTGTTCTGCTCATACATGCACTTGAATAATAATCCAGGCTCAAGGTTAGCTGATGCACATTCATTCTCTGGAAATAGTATTCAAGCCAAATGGAACCATTAAATCCAACATACCTTTTATATTTAACATTTTAAAATGCTTTTTGAGGAAAAAACCTATCTAAAGATACATTATAGCTCAAAGATATCTCATCATGGAATAGGGATTATAAATTCTAATTCTATAGTACAAGATGATGTATTCATGTAATATTTAAGAAAAGTTTTGTAAAAGAGTTCCAATAGTTCATGGATTAGGGACCCAATTTTATGGGGCTCCTGTATAGATTATTTAGGTTAATCTTTCTATCTACCCAATGGGACTCAGTGCTCAGTCTAGAAGATACCATCAGAGATGCTTAGTTTTGCAGTTCTCAAACTGGATTTGTGTCTCCAGAGATAACATGCTTGTTAACAGCAAAAATGTTTTTAAATAATATATAGAGGTGAGAAATAACAGATCTTAACCCAATTGTCCCTCTGCAAATTTGTGTACACAGAGTCAATCCCTTACCTATCTCTAAAAGTGAAAAGTTTCAAAAAGTTAAATGAATAGAAGATTGTTGGGGGCAGAATAGATCTGGACAAGGAGAAGAAGTCTGGAGATAAATGTGAGAAGGGTGGAACAGGCAGTAAAAACAAAGAAGTGAAACTGTTTGAGCAGCATATTGCAGAAGTCTTGAGGTCTTTCTGAGTGTAGCCTTCATTGATTTGAGATCTACCATACCATTCTCTCACTAGAAGGGAAAATCTATAATGGCAGCAGGCCATAAAAGAGACCCAGTTTGGGAATATTTTAATTAAGTTCCTCTACCTGTGGGTAAGACAGGCATATGTGCAAAATGCAAACAGTGCAAGAAAGAAATGCAAGGCCTGATTGCCCAACTGAAACAACATCATGAGAAGTGTTCCTTCTCAGGAGAAAGCTGTGTTGAAGATGATGAAAGGAACATGTCTGAACATGCAGGATCTTCAGGTGGGTAAACTTTTTTATTTCATACTTCGTTCTTAAGGACTGCCCGTCTTCCTTCTGGACTATTCTTGAATTCTCATGTTTGAGCAAAAAATATAGTTGTTACTCTACGGTACTAGCTAGCATTTTAGATGCAATTGTGATAAAAAATAAATAGCTGAAACACGCAGATCTTCCTTTTACAAATTCACCTTTAAAGTAGTACTGAGTGTCAGTGAATGCAATGAGTAATACTAAATGAGCAGTATGGTAATTATTAAATAACTGCATTGACTTATTTTGTTTAGGAGAATCCATCCTCAACATACAGGATTCTATCTACCTTCAAGATCACCATCATTTTCTATAGTTTCAGAGTTATCTGCCAATTATAGTGTTTCAGTGGCACCATGTATGTCATATAGCCACAGTATATCACCTGAAGCAAAAAGAAAAAAATCTCCATCACCCAGAAACAACCATAGATAAGTTTGTGGTAAGAACCAGCAGATTACAAAAGGAGGTAATTGATGAAAAAATTTCCCAGTTTGTTTATGCAACAAACTCTCTTTTCCATATGATTGAGAACTTTACAGGGTTCAGTCATTAAGATCAGGATACCCAACAGAGCAGATGTCGCAGGCAACTTGCTGGATAAAGTGTATGAAAGAGAAATTGAGTGGTGTGCAAAAGGTCTAGAGGGTAAAATTGTTAACCTGAGTCCTGATGGGTAGACCATTATCCACAATGATCCTGTTGTATGTGCATGTGTGACAACAGAAGGGGGGAGAATGTCATCCTTACAGAAACAATTGATATATCAGGAAATCCACACACAGCAGAATACTTACAAGAAGTAGCAGTAAAAGCTATAACAAACTGTGGAAAAAAAAAAATCAAATGTCTAGTATGCAGCTTGGTCACAGACAACGCTGCAAATGTATCCAAGATTAGAAGAAATTATTTAGAAGAGAGTCCCAAGCTAACATACAGTTGCACTGCTCATTTGATGCACCTCCCAGCCAAAGGCTTCAGTGATCCAGAAATAAAGGCTAATGTTGTTGAAACTGCAAAATACTTCCGTAACAACCACTTTGCAGCAGCTGCTCTGAAAAAAGTGGGAGGAACCAAGTTCACTCTCCCACAAGACGTGCAATGGAACTCAGTAGTGGACTATTTTGAGCACTAGATCAAGAACTGGCCTAATCTGATGTCACAATTTTGTTCACAAACTGTCAAAAACAGATGGCACTGTCACAGCCAAAGTTCTCAACATTGGGCTTAAGAGAAATGTTGAAGACATGCTGAGTACCCTGAAGCCTATTTCTATAGCTTTGAACAAAATGCAGGGAAACAGCTGTTTTATTGCTGACGCTGATGAAATTTGGAAGGAACTGAGTGAGATCTTAAAAAGAGAAATATGCAATGACAGTATTACGTTACAAGCATTAAAAAAAACAAATGGGACAAGCACTATCTCCAGCTCATTGTCTTGCAAATATTCTCAATACTCGGTACCAAGGTCAAACCTTAACTGCTGAAGAAGAGGAGTTGGCTATGACATGTAATCATCCCTCCATAATGTCAACTATAATAAACTTCAGAGCTAAGGGTGAAACATTCAAGCAATATATGTTTGCTGATGATGTTTTAAAGAAAGTCACACCAATGAACTGGTGGAAGTCACTTAAGCACTTGGATTCAGAGACTGTTGAAGTGATAATCTCACTTTTAACAGCAGTAGCTTCTTCTGCCAGTGTAGAAAGAATATTTTCTTCCTTTGGAATAATTCATTCCAAATGGAGAAATCGTTTGGGACCTGAAAAAGCAGGAAAACTTGTTTTTCTTTTCCAATTATGAACAAACAGGAAAATGAAGGTGAAGATGACTGAGTTAGCTGCAGAAGCCAATATTTTAAGTTTCTCATGTTGACCTGGCTGACACGTCAATTTTTGTTTTTTTAAATATTTCATTTAACTATTTTAATTAAAAACAATTTTAACAAAAACAAACCTGATTTTAAAAAACTTGAATGTTTAACTAAATTCAAAAAGTCAGATGCTTGTTTTGTTAAAATATTATATGTTTGCTGTTGGGGAAAAAAAAGCCAGTATACATAATGTTGTTGTTTTAGTTAAACAACACAATTTAAATGTCTATCCGGTGACGTTCTCCTCCTGATACAGCATAGCAAGATAGTCCTTCAAATATTAATGATTAACCTGGTGAATTGGAGATAGTTCACCTCCCAATGACTTCATAAATATCTGCTTCAATTACCTTTGGTAAATGAAATAACCAAACAATCATTCATTTTCTGATATAGCTGAAAAATGAATCTGAAAAGTTTTCAAAATAAATCACTTTAAAAATGTATATAGTGTATACCTTCTAAAAATGAAACCTACATCTATCTCTGAGTTGTGAACAATATGTATTAAGGTTATAACAATCAACAAGAATGCACTTTTATTTAGAAATCCATGATTACATCGAGTCTTCCTGACTAGTGATTTAAATCAAATCCACCTTGGTACCAACTATACTGGGATGCTTGTTCATTAGAGAACACACACACGAGTTGGCTCTTTGCAGATATCAATTGCTGTTAAATGGCCTGATGACTGTCATTAATTAGGTGGGCTGGAATTGAATGGGTGACCTGAATGTGAAATACACCATACCTCATTATCAATCGAGAGCCATTGAGTCCTGGACCAAATACCCCAACAATTAAAAAAAATATTTCCGCAGGTAGTTCTCAATTTCTACATCCGCTTGAATAAGCTCTGGGGTAAATTCCCACAAAAACAGAATGTGTTTAAACTAGCAAGCGTTGTCCTTTTCTAATCTGGAAGAAGCTATAGTCATTCTCACTTACTCCTTATGCAGGAAGGTTCCCAGCTGACAGTAAAAGCCAACATATCAGTTTTAAAGAATGCACTGAAGTGCTGCCTACAATACCTTGCCATAGAAGTCACTCATCTGGTACAGCGGGATGTGCTGCGTACCACCATACAATTCAATAACCTCTTCATCAGGCACTGGCTTTAGCCCTCTACAAGACAAATCACAAAAAAAATTGCATCACTAAATGTTAGCAGCCACTGGGCTGCAAACCAGAGGGGAGAGAGGAAAGATGAGTAACCTCCTTCTATAACGCTCTAAAGTGGAAAAGAAGTGGATCTTAGCATGAAGTCTGCTTTTACCACCACATGACATTTCACTCATATCCACAATTCTGAAAGAGCAGAGATAATCTTCCATAGGATATTTGTAAACAGATACATAAGATCATAATATAAGAACAGCCATACTGGGTCAGACCAAAGGTCCATCTAGCCCAGTATCCTGTCTTCTGACCGTGGCCAATGCCAGGTGCCCCAGACGGAATGAACAGAACAGGTAATCAAGGGATCCATCCCGTCACCCATTCCCAGGTTCCAACACCATCCCTCTCCATCCTGGCTAACAGCCATGGGTGGACCTATCCTCCATGAACTTATCTAGTTCTTTTTTGAACCCTGTTATAGTCTTAGCCTTCACAACATCCTGTGGCAAGGAGTTCCACAGGACTGCTGCTGCACATTGAGTGGATGTTTTCAGAGAACTATCCACGACTCCAAGATCTCTTTCTTCAGTGGTAACAGCTAATTTAGACCCCATCAATTTATATGTATAGTTGGGATTATGTTTTCCAATGTGCATTACTTTGCATTTATCAACACTGAATTTCATCTGCCATTTTGTTGCCTAGTCACCCAGTTTTGAGAGATCCTTTTGTAGCTCTTCACAGTCTGCCAGGGACTTAACTATCTTGAGTAGGTAACAGGCTCTAGCTTGATTGAGAAGTTTCTCTATACCTTGATTTAGTGAACACGGGAAAGAGATTCGGGTTCCATATATTTTTATCTCAAGGAGGACAAACACCATTTAACAGAGGTGGCTGGCTTTGATCTTGCCATAGCAAGGTCAGACTAATCCAAGATGCAAAACTTCTCCTTCTCAGAGAGGCAGCACATGTATCAACCAAAGACCAATGTACAATTCAAGCTAGTCAGCATTGTATAATTAAAACTCATTCAGAGTTCCTTCAGTAATTATTGTATTACTAACTTAACATGGCAAGAAACTGTGATGGTGTACAAAAAAGTTTCATGTGGCTTTGTATAACTTGTGCAAATATTTTTAACACAGAACTGAGGCTAAAATATATTTTACTGGTTAGTTTAGCTTTCATAACCAAGAAGGTTGTCTCCATAAAAGACTATTAAACCTGGGTAAACCTTACCTAATATGTCCCCCTAACATTCAACTATGCTTTCAGGATTTAAAAAGCTACATAAAATTATCTCCACATCTGCAGACTGAGGCACACATTTATGCAGGGTTTTTTTGTAATTACTTGTTTTGCAAACTATTTACTCATCAAGCCTTTATGACCCTTTCTTCTGACTCAACAGATCAGAACATTCTCTTTGAAGAGTTTTTTTTAAAGTTACCCTACTTGTTAAAAGAAAATTTAAATATTTACACAAAGTCAATTTCTATAAACAGCTTTAAAAAAAAAGTTATTTGAATTAACCCTCTTATACAGGTTCAGTGAAGGATGTTGCAATGCCTGGGAACCATAAACAGGGTAGTGTTGAAAAAGAAATTCTCTTTGATTTTGGAACTCTGCCTCTGGTAATCTTGGGGGTTTAACGTAATCAGAGCTTAACTGCGAAAAGGCACTGTTCCACAAGTAAAACAGTCAGCTTCCATAGTCAAAAGGCTCACGAAACAAAACAAACACCATTTTATGAGTACTTCTTTTAATACAGAATCCTAACACGCACCAAAAAAACCCAGGAACGGCTTATTTCTTAAGGCCAGTGCAGTATGGTTCCCAACTGCAGAGTCTCCCATGCTTTGTCAGGTCTGCTTCAAATATATAGGATATTGGTACTTGGGAGAGGATAACAGAACAGCCAGAATGATTGATCATTTTTGAAAAGAGACTTTTCTTGCTTTTGCCATATCATCATTAGGAGCCAAATCCCACATCCATACTCCCACAAACTGTTTTTAAGAACTGTCAAGGGAGTCCGTGTCTTCGAATGGACATTCTTAGGTCTCTATTGTAAATCTAAAATAAACTCATTACAATCAGTAGAAATCTGCCCAAATTAGGACCTCAAAAGTTGGCCCTCACTGATTTAGTTCCCTGAATTAATTAAAAAAATATTCCCCTTCACTGTCTATTCTTGCTTGGCAAAGCTGAATCAGAGAAACATATTCAATGGCTTTAGACCAGCCTTCACTGCAGAGGGCAACTTCAATATTAGTGGATTTGTATGCACACACTGTCCCCTGTATAGAACTGCTGTTATGAGCTACTTGTTCTTAAAAGGGATGTAGTCCCACTGATCCACCCTTTTGCAATCTTAGACAGGGGCCGTGATATGGGGAAAGGAATGCAAGGGCTGACTGAGTCCGCCTGCCAATTGCAATACGCTGAAAAGCAAAGGGGAATTCATTAGGCAGGAGACAGATCTCGGGGATGGGAGGGTTAAGAAGTTATGCCATCTCACTGTGCACGTACAGGTACATGTGTATCTCAGCATCATAGCGTGGGACATTTCCAGCCAAACATCAGACCAATAGCTCATTGCAGAATTCTCTAGCCACCCTCCCCCACGTAGAATGCTGTGCTTTGGCTGCATCTTCTGGCCTCGTCCCAATCCAAAGAGACTGGGGGAGAGGGAGCAGGGCTGCAACAGTGCCTCAAAAAAAATAAAATAAAAAAAATTAAAAGTGGGATGCCACCACAGCCTGTGGCAGAGGAAGCTGATGTTGACACACATTTGTTACTTTGTTTAGGTCCCTGAAAATCCTAGGGCCAGGTCCAGACAGAGTTCCACATGACATTAATTCTATCCTTCCCAGTCTAATGATGCTGTATATTGCTAAAAGTAATGCACAATTGTTATTGAAGGTGCTGAGAGCAGTGGTGAAAGTCTGCAGACTATTTACTATTTCGGGTACCTGTTTCCTATTTGGGGGAGTTGAAGGAGGGGGAGAAGAGAGACAGAGTGGACAATCAATACTGAAGCTTTACCACGCTCCCTCAGTGTAAATGAATTGTTTGCTTAACATTGGCAAATATTTGATGTGCTTCATTTTGGGAGTCATTGGCCCAAAGTAGAGTTTAAAAGTATGGTGGGGACATTAGCCATTAGTTGCCTTCATTTGGGAAAAAGTATTTAACTATTCCAGCCACCAAAAAAGTAGCAAAATAATATTTTGCTTTATGTTCTCTGAAGCGCTTCAGAGTTTTTGCATTGGAGCATTCATGTGTTCTATTGCTCTGGATCGGTCTCCTTGCTTCTCAAAGGAGAGTCTTCAAGTCCAATCCTGCAAGGTGCTGAGCAGGTTAAAGTCTCCCAGGGAAGTCAGTGGGACTTGCTGGTGCTTACACAACCAGACAGGATTAGGACTTGAAAAGCTTTTATATCGAGTGTGTCACTCCAACCGCCAGGATGCAGCATGTAGTGAACGCAAGAGCAGCCAAAGTAATCTGTGTGCTACATACCAATGCTCTATTCAAGGACTTCTGGCCCACTTGTTTAAGAAAGGCACTCCCTATTACTTTCCTTGGCACTTTACTCAACTTTTTCCACTCAAGAAAAATGCCTCCATCCAATGGAGTTAAAATCCATATCCTTATTTTCATCTCCAAACAGCTTTCTTTCCAGCATTGGTGAGCATACTCCTGTCAGGATAGGCTTTTTTCATGTATGGACGGCTCTATGAGAGTGAGTCTTTCTCCAGTCCAATGACATAGGGCAATTTTTCTGACTAATTAGACTGCACTGCAACCTGCAGACTTAGTGGGTTAAGTGATCAGATGCATCACTGTCCATTAAAAAAAATTACATTTTCACTCCCACACTTAGCTCCATATGCTTGATAAAAGCAGCCACCTGTAACTGCATGTCAGGCAACAGCTTGTAATCATTACTTAGCAAGTGGAGACAGGATAAGCTAGAGAAGGTTGCTTTCCCCATTTAAGTCAAAAACTTTACAGACGTGAGACTTTGCACTCCATCTTCAGCATGAACCCTTGGGGCATTTAGTAAATGCATTAATATATGACAAACCTATATGCAGTCCCCAACTGGACATAATGGAAAGCATCAATCTTCATCAGAAGACTCTGTGAAGAGAGAAAGGTGAACAGTCTTCATTGGTTGCATTTGGTATAAATTTAGTCAGGAAAAACAAACAGATTAAGTTTACTGATGTCCCAAAGAAATAATAAAAAGTAGAAAAATGAATTCTAGTTAAAAATACATTCAGATTAGGTTAGTTTTAAGTTGTGCTTAAATCACTTCTCTCTTCATAGCGACATTTTAGAACATCACAGGGAAAAATGCCAAATTGCCATGAACTGAAGCATTACATAATATTACATTCCAACTCAGGACCTATTACAAACTTTTTCTGGGGGCTGCAGGTGGAAGAGGAATGGAGTACAGGAGTTCTTTAACATTAAGACAAATCCTTTGTGTACACATAGCAAGGGAGGGGCTTATGTGTAAGGAGATTTAAGGTGAGTCACATCTTACTTAAGCAGAACTAATAGTTCAAGTTTTTGTGCCAAATCTTATTTTCTTTTTACTTTTTTACTCCATGCTCAAGTTCCCATTCTTGTACCTGAATGGAAATATTAGACCTTCTCTCTTTTTGTATTGATATTCTTTATTCACAAGGTATCCCTTCTTTTTTATTTCCCCAGGCATTATGCAATAGCCATAATGGAATTTAACCAAGTATGGCCTCGGAGACTAACCCAGCACCACTCTGAGAATCAGAGATAACAGTGTAGTATCAGAACAATTTATCCCTTCACTACTATGAGTGCATGTTACATTGTTCCCTAATGTTCCTAAACTAAGAGGCACTCCCATATCTAGCATATTATCATACTACTGTCAAGCCTCCATTCCCACCTTCTGAACAGGAATAAGCAGTTATGCTGAACCAAAGCAAACAGGCAGTACACGCTTTTTGCACAGAGCTTGATTTTCATGTTTTGAAATGAGAAATGAGGCAGCCCACACTACTACCCACCCATTGAAAGGAACAGTTTTCTTGGCATCTGAGCGATGTGTGCTCTTATTTCAGAAATCTGTGCTTGGATAGTCGCAAGCAGAACACGGAAAGTGATTGGACAATCTCTCCTGCTGCAAAGTCAGAAACATACATTCAGGACAGACTGTTGCCATAATGTCAGTTTCAGCATTACAGCTTAGCTTGGGCAGAAGAGAAGACAACCTGGGAAATATAAAATTCCTTCATTCCTCTTTAAAAGGGTGCATTCTCTAGTTACGCTGAAGTGATTGAACACACTTAATTGGTTCAGAAATAACCAGACTATCAAAAGAACACTAGCTTGTACCAGTAATTGTCTGTCTCCCTACTGAATATAAGCTGTTTAACTGCAGCGAGGTGATATATTTTTCAGAACTATACTTTTATGTGGTTGTCTAAAGTTATTGAAAAAGGAGGGTTAAAACAAAAGCTTGTACTCTGTGTGCTCCTAAGCCTCTCAAACATTACAGGGCTTCAGAAGGAATGTCTGAGAAGCTACAAAGCTTAATGAGTTGTTCTGGCCCTCTATTTCAAATACTGGTAGTAGTGAAAGAAAAAAACCTCTTCAGTGAGTAAAGGCTGTAGCTACATACCTTTTAAATCACTGAAGGCTATTAAAATACTGAGAAAGAGAAACGAGAGAGAGAGAGAGAGAAAAACACGAGAGACTCCATGTAGCCAGCCTTTTATATTAGTTCCATTTGTCCCAAGGAGATTACAATCTAAAAGAACCTATGCAGGGACAGATACAACAATCCCTAGTGCATATTCTTCTGAAAGCTGTTCTATCAGATGTCAGTACAGGAAAGAGATGGGACTGAGTTATGTGACAGGCAGATCAATACTGTGCAAGAGAAAACAAGTATGAAATTTAAATTTGTGTCGTTCACCTTTTGCACATCATAGTGAAGCCCTCTGATGGCAAATCCTGGAAGGTAATCGTATTTCTTGAGTCCTTCTGGATACTGGAAAATATTTCATGAGAAAACAGTTAGTTCAGTGAAGCAGTGCCGGATATTTAAGAAATTTTTTCCAGTTGACAAGAGAATGAAGAATTTGGTATACTGAATTAGCCCCCTAGACCACCAAATCCCAGTACCCTCCATCCAACAGTGGCCTAAGTGAACCAAAAGATGCCCAAAAACTATACTGCAACTGCCAAGATTTGGGATTCTACAAACTGGAATGTTTGCTTGGGCAATTGATCCCTAACTCCTATACCAAATACCTAGTGCCCTGAAAAGAGTAACTGTATCTTGAGACGGGCTTGAAAGCCACTTACTAAACCCATCATATAAGGGAAGTTTTTCCCAAACAGCATGAGAAAAAGCTATACTAAGCCACCAATTTCTGAATGATTTAAACTTTTGGAGTTTTATTTCATTTTAATAAAAAAAGAAGCTATTCTAAATCTTTGTGCTCATTATGATGAACTTCAAAATGTGAAACACCTCATGGCTCTCTTCCCAGGTGTGCAGACAGACAATTGCATTGTATTTACTGTTGCTCAGAGCTCTGCCGAGCAGCCACCAAACAAAACTGACATAGTTGAAATCTTTTCTGAGCAGCAATGAAATGAAAGAAGCTTGTCAGTTTCATGCTGCTGCAGTTGGGGAAAAAAAGCTTATACCGTCCCCCCCAAAAAACAGCATAGGTAGACACTGGAGCTACTCCCTGGGGGATGACAACTCTCTCCCCCGCACCCACCTACACATGAAAAATTATTAAGAAGGGGGGGCAGGGGGCTTGAAAGAGGTTGATGAATCAGAGCTTTCTGCTGCCCACACTTTCTCACTTAATCACAGAAAGGAAGCTGAGAAATGGGTAGAGTACTACTAGAGGGAGTGGAGTTTCAAGTTGCAGATACTTTCTAGCTAGAACTCATGCCAGACAATGAGAGAGATCCTAATACCCTCCACCCTTCCCAGTATCTGGGACTCTTCATCAGAGAGTTCCCCCTGGACCTTGCAAATACAGATTCTCTCCCCACCCAGTCTTTTACAGCTACCTATGGCTAGTAGGTGTCTACTATGTTTTCCAAGCCCTAGTAATGATAGGTATTATTAGTCAATATCATACATTCCCTATTTAAAAATTCCTGGCATCTATGTCATCCTACACCCACAAATTCTACACAGACTGCCTTTTTGTATGGTCAGTGATTTATTTATAAGCCATATTCATCATGGCAGATGCCACATCTGTTAGCCTGCGGTGAGCAGACTATTCATTCTGAAGATTGTAAGTGTCCTATTCTGTATGCATTAGTTGGGTTCCCTAAAGAATCACAATAAATATGTAAAAAGAAAAGGAGTACTTGTGGCACCTTAGAGACTAACCAATTTAATTTAAAATTGGTTAGTCTCTAAGGTGCCACAAGTACTCCTTTTCTTTTTGCGAATACAGACTAACACGGCTGTTACTCTGAAACCAATAAATATGTAGGATCTCATTCCATACCCATCACTATGATATCAGAGATCCTGGCAGAAGATGTAGGCTGGAATTTAAGAGAGAGAGAGAGAGAGAGAGAGAGAGAGCACGCGTGCGCGCGCCAGGGTGTTAAGATGCCTAACTTATCAGGCTCTTTTGAAAATCCTAGCATAAATATACTGGTTCTTTTGATAATATTTTTTTCCATTTTCTGGAAGAATCCTGCATCCCAATTTTAAATGGATTGGTACAGGCTGTCCTATGTCCCAATACTTAGTTTTGCTCCACTGTGAAAGAATGGGTGAGGCACAGAGGGTGTGGGGAGAGAGAATGAGAATGGACCTGAAGCCCTAAAATGACAGGGGGAAATACCATTGCAAAACCATTGTGTGACATGGTTAGGACACTAGGGAAAGTAGTGCAGCTTCGGCCACACACCTATAGGAATTTGTATATATTGAAGTACTCAGCTTTGTATTTCTTTTCTTAAACGCAAAAAGTGCTGCTAACCTGTCAAATAAAACAAGACAAGAGAACATAGGCACATCCAATTATATGATATATTTAACAACTTAGTCTAGAGAACTCATTAAGTCCCATATAACTAACTATAAAAATAAAATCACTTGTTTCTAGGGCTACATGGGCCCATCATTAGCTCAGTACTGGCTGTTGCCCATCTTCTGATTTGGGGTTAGGAGGAAAGAGGAGGATAGACAGATATATAGATATAGATAGAGTGGTGGCAATGTTTTTTGTTTCTTTGTTTTTTTTAAAATAGTGGCAACTCTGAAGACGCTCAGACATTTGCAATGTTACAATAAGTCTCAAGGGAAACGGATTAGCAGACAGAGTGCCAGATTCATGAAATATATAATTACATAGCTATCACTACAACAGACAATGTATACATACACAGTGGTAATAAAACAAACTTTACAGGGAATGCTTTACTAAAAGATTTTGCGGAAAAGAAAACAGTAAGATTAATGAAAGAAACCCATCCTATTATCAGAAGTTTACCTTGTACTGTTCAATTAGTATGTCTCTGGCAGTGTTGAATATCATAGAGTGTAATAAATTAGAGTACTGTGCTAATGTATAATCATAATCAAAGCCATAGATCTCAACATCTCTCAAGCTGATCTCATTATTTGCGTAGATAGCTGCAGGGTTAAGGAGATTGCAGACTCCTGGTGGAAGAAGATCTGGAGGGAGGATTGGGGCAGGGTGGAGAGAAAAGAAACCATACATTAAATTTAATTTATTTTTAATCTGGAAGCAGTTACTTTGTAAAACAGTGCTATTTTTCCCCTCCAAGGAAAGGGATTTGTAATCCTGCTGTCAAAGTCTAATATTAAAACTACTAAAATATTTCTTCCCATGAAAAGGCATTATAAAGTTTCCAGCCACGCCTAGTGAACATGGCACCTGTTTAAAACAGCAAGATTAACATTTATTTAGTGACAAGATGTAAAACAATGTTACTGATTTTCTGACCTATGTAACATTAAATAAAACGGATTTGGGGATTTAAACCTGCCAAATTTCTGGATCACAGCAGCTAGTCACCTGTAGCACCAGCTGGACATGCTGTGTGATAGGTAACTGTGGTATGCAGAAAACATATCCTTTTGTTCATATTTTGACATCAAAACAATCTAGACATCAGTTGTAAGAAGTCAGAATTATTAAACCAAAGGTCTAGAAGATACTGTTTGTCATCCACTTGCCATGGAACTAGAAAGACTTCACAAAAGAAAGAGTTATTCACATTTCGTCTGGTTGGTTATTTTATTTTCTCTACTCTTACTGCACCCTCTGCTCCCCATGTACACTGAGAAAGATAAGCAGTTTAAAAACACACACACGGCTCCTAGAAAGCGCAATGCTGATAAAAATTGTTTATCAGAGTGAAGCAGAGAACCTATTGCCAAAACAGATCTCCCAGACCTTACAAATTTTCTGTGACTTTACAGGAAGGTACATTTTAAGTCAATCATGAGTGCAGTGTTTAGCTCAGTTGCATAATGGCACAAAAAAGTTTTTAAACAACCTGGTCATTCTGAGTGCTTATGTATCCTCTCCCCCAACTGGCTACCGTAACACCACAATGAAGCAGGGCAGACACCATCTCAAGCTTGCCATTGTCCACAAACTTTCGCTACAAGATGACCAACTGCAGTAAGTGCTACTTCCTTACATAAAGTTCCCTAACTTGCTCACATGGGGGCGGGGGGGGAGACACAGAAGGGAAGGGGAATAGAAAGGGGACACAACATAGCACATTACTCACCCCACCCCATAAATAAAATAAAATGTGCTTTCTTCCCTTAGAGATGAGCCTCTGTTATGGGTTCCGTTCCTGAGCACTCCTATCTGCCTCCCATTCAGTTGTACACACAAACCAAAACAGTGTTTGGCTATTCCAAAATCAACTCCGATTCTCAATTTGGAGCAAATCAAACTATTATACATTAGATAGTGGCACTGGCTGGTTTCAATTAAGACTTAATCTGTTACCGTTACAGAAAAGGTGAGGCTCACTGCTGTATTATCCTATGTGAAACCCACAAGTGCACCTATTGCTGACTCAGTAACAGACAAGTGATCACAGTAGCAGTAATACTTGAGCTATTTTGAAGGTAGGAAAGGGAAACCAACATTATGAAAATGTACCTCACCTCTGGTCAGAATCCCCCTCCAAGATTAGTCTGAATTCTTCTATACTGCAAGAACTGCAGCAGAACTGTTATAATGGAAAGCAAACCTCTGAAGCTGAGTGGATGGCTTGGTGACTACACAGCAAACACAAGAGCTCTCTTCCAGCTTTAAAGCGCTCTGACTTGCTGTGCTCAAGGGGGTGATTTTTCACACCTCTGAGCCAGCAAGTTAGAGCACTATAAAATGTAAGTATAGCCAAGCCCTAAGCTGGAGACAGAGTTCCTGGAAGAGGCTGAAGAGTGTGAATGCATTTGTGGACATATAGAGTCCTTCAAGATCTTAAAGAAAGAAAACAAAACAAAACCCCCAACAGCAATGTAAACAATATTTCAGAGGTTTGTTTATGAGGTGATAAATATTTATGTTTAGAGAAAGTCTCAACAGGCCCTTTATTTCTTTCTGACCCTGAAAACAATGCATGAATGTGTGACATGCTGACTTTTTCATGGCTGGAGGGCATAAGTTTTTGGAAGGAGAAGGGAAGGGGTGGGGGGAAGCAAGAGGATCCACCCAGCTCACCACAACAGGATCCAAACCAGAGGGGTGAGCACCTTCATCTCCTGTTGAAGTCAGGGTAGAACAAACCACTTGCAAGCTTGCACCACACACCCTGTGACACTTTAGGGTTCAGTGAGAGGTTGGGTCACCACCTGCCCTGCAACTTTGGGTGCCTTAATGATATGCTGCTGTGACTCTCAGCCCAGACACCACCACAGCCAGCAGACAAGCACACAGGTCATACCCCGATTTCCACCAACCAGGTACTGTTTGTTGAATCACCCCAACACCCTCACAGTCCCGAATTCCCCCAAAACATTCTGCCCTGTGACACTCTGCTGGGTTTCCCAGCAGTGTGAGTTGCTGCGTTACCCATCTCAGCCCCAGCAAGTGAAAGTTTCACTACTGCTAAGCTCTATGACAACTCCTTGAAACACCAGCTTGTCAAACCATCAAACTAGAATGTGGAAGAGAGACAGCCTCTTCGCTATAAAGACATGGGGGCTGAATCTCAAAGGATAAGCAATTGAATCAACTGATTGTATACAGTATTACTGTATTATAAAGGTGTATTGAGTAACAGGGTTTCATAAAAGACCTGACACTCTGTTGATTAATATAATTGTGAAATGTATGCATCAACACAATATGAGGAATTATGGATATTCACAAATAAGATTTAAAGTCTGACTAAATACAGGGAGAAACAGGTTCTCCCCCAGACAGGAGGGAAGGTAGCTGTCTACCTTTCTCCAGTGTAAATTAAGCATTGCAGAATCAAAACAATCAAGCTCCATTTACATACAAATCAGCAGGGAGATGAGAAGTCAAGACGAAGGGAAGAACAGCAGGAAACCTGCCTGCCTCCTGAAACAAAGTCAATTTGCTTGGTCTGGTCTTACTTTTCAAAGAACATATTTCAAAAGTTACTGAACTATAAAAACAAAGGGAGAGAACCCCATAGTTGTCCATCACTTTGGGGGAATCAAGGGGCCAGAGCTCTTGAAATCACAGGAACACTGGATCCTTCGACCAAGTGGGCTGAAGTCTCTGGAAACCGAATACAGGTGAGAAACTTACTCAGGCAAAGATTGCACCTTGCTGAAGTTAAGTTTTAGTCTTAAGCCCGGTCTACACTAGAAAATGAGGTCAGTGAAAAATCCACACCCCTGAGTGGCATTGTTAAGTCGACCAAAGTTCCCATATAGACAGCGCTAGGTTGACGGAAGAGTTCTTCCATCGACCTAGTTACTGCATGTTGGTAGGCAGATTATGTACTCCAAAGGAGAATGCCTCCCTTCAGCTTAGGTAGCATCTACATGGAATTGCTACAATGGTGCAGCCGTGACACTAGCATTTTAAGTGCAGACACATCCTCAGAAGCATATTTTTACTGTTAGTTTGTAACCATTTCTCTCTTTACTCCTTTTACCTGGTATCAGTTAAACCTGACTTTGTTCAATAAACTTGTTTTACTTTAACTAAAAACCAATTCAGTGCTGCGATTGAAACAAAGAGTGTTTGTCAAACCCCAGTTAAATTGCTGAGCTGCAGTGTACTGTTTCTTTAAAGGAGCAAAAAACTTAGCTGTCACAGAGTCTGGCGGTAGCAACATTCTCACTTGCTGAGGCCGAGAAGGGTAACAGTAATTCACAATTGTGGGCAGAGGCAGTACTGGCCCACTGGAGGCCTAAGCAGGAATATTTTTGGGTGTCTTTCCTTCCCCCCCCCACACACACACTCTAAAAAAAGAGAATGGAGGGCCCTCCCCTTGAGCTGCTTGGGGCCCTAAGCAATTTCTTAGCCTGCTTATGCCTAGCACCAGCACTGCCTCTGGGAACCTCAGCAGATGGTTTGGGGGAAATTTGGGACTGGGTGGGTGTTGGGGCCACTTGGGCAGTAGAAGTCAGGGTGTAACCTGCAGACGTGTCTGCAGGTTGTTGGTATCAGAGCCGAGAGCCACAGCAGAATAGCATTTAAGGTACTGCCTGCCTTGCAACTCTGGGTGACAACCCCTCGCTGGTCTGAATCCCAAAGCTCCGCGCACCCCTGCATCCCCTCTCCTGTAACGCCATGCGCAGACTGACTTCTCGCTCTGCAACTGCATAGTGCTTTGCTAATTCTATCCAGACGCAGTGTGATGGTGCGGGGAAAATACGTTATGCTATTGCTTGAGCCGTGACTCTTTTGTAGGGGGGATGGGGGAAGAACTCCATAGCTATCCATCCCACAACTGTCACCAAGTCAAAAATAAAACTGTGCTGGTCCTTTTTGAAGTTCTTTAGGCGTAGGGAGCAAGTTTTATGTGTGTGCATAATGGGAGTTAACCAGTTTACCAGGCATCAAGTGTTTCTTTGAAACCAATCAGTTTCAGATGTTTCTCTCCCATCCAGCCTACATTGCCACCTGTCCCCTCTGGTACTCTCCCACCCCTATGCTGGCCACTAACTTTGTTCCACTCCAACACCTTAGGTGGTCATCCATGCCATTGGCACTCACAGAATACATGTCCACCCACCTTATTTAAAACCTTAAGGGAACCAATGCTGTAACAGAAAAACTTTTCCATTTTCACCTTCTTTGCTACAACCACTTTGTGATCCACACACTCCCTTCTTGGATCTCTCCCCAAAATTAAATCTCAGTGCAATGTTTTCACCACACAACAGTATTTAACCACTCAAGTACTCATACTATGATTTTTCCCCATTCCTGAAATACTCCTCTCTTTGTTCAACTCCATCTTTAGGTAGATCAAAGAACAGTTGCAACATCACTTGGCTCTGGATAAAAAGAGCTTTTCCTCTGCAACGTACGTGGCTCTCCCCACGTATTTGACTGCATCTTAAAACAAAAGCTCCAGATGCTAACCTGAGATGCCCATTGAAGGAAGGCTGTATACTGCACAGACACATATTAGGTCAGTGCCAGGCCTGTGATACATATCAGCTTCATTATAAATCATTTTGTCTTTGGCAAGAAATCA